GTATACAGAATGAAAAGGATTCTCTGCTAAATACAGAAGAAATGCATTCAAGTGAATTTAACACTTACTCTTTCTCCCCAACTGATACAGTGAAACCAAAGGAAATTAGCATAACTAAAGAAACAGGGAGAGTTACCTGTCAAAATACTGAAAATGTTCTTAAAAACGTTTCAGAAAACAAAAGCAGCAATGGTAGTGAATTTTCCCCAATAAAAGCAGATGCTTTAGGAGGTATTGAGGATGCCAAAGAATCGGGGGATGGGAGTGAAGTGCTATCTTCTGGGAGTCATACCGATACCACTGATGTTTCTTCTGCAATTCTGAGCAGCATAGGGGCTGACTTGAATTCTGGTGCCCAGAAAGAACATGAGATGCTGAAAAACAAAAAGGGAGAAAATATCACGGCCAGAGAGACTTCTTCCCTTGGAAATGGTTTCAAAAAACAAATGTCCATGCAGTCATTGCAAAAGGAAATGGGACCCTGCAAAGATTTTCAAGTAAGGGAAGGTATTTCACAATCACCAGAAATGTCTGACACGCTAATGGAAGACTTAAAGAATGTACTACAAAGGAAATTGAAAATGGAACATGTTTACTGCAAGCAGGAGGGTGAACCCCTAAGTTACTCTGATACCAAAGTTTTAATGCAAAATTTACTTACAATGGTTAGAAGCACCCAGCTTGGGAGTGACAAGTCTAGTGGGTCAAATCTCAAGCAAATAAGAAATGCTGTTAGAGCTGCATTAATGGTTACCACACCACGTACAGAGCCGAAGGACAGTGATGCTGTTTCATTGCTTTGGCCTGATTGCAGAAGTCCCGATCTTCTTCGTGATATTCTGAAGCAGGAATCCTGCAAGCAAAAGATGGCTGATCCAGATGAAAGGAAGAGTGAAACAGAAGTGAAAGGTCCTGTTCCAAAACTTAGTACTTCTGAACTTCTGGAGATTTTTCAAATCTCACCTGGAGATGAAAGTACAAGCAAGTTAGAGGAGCTGATAAGTGGTTTGCTTTCAAGCTCACAGGTTGCTGGTATCATCACAGAACATGAGGGTAAAGGCAAAGTAGATGGGCTTTGTACTCTTTTCTCAACAGAACAGTCGGGGGTTGGATCAGAAATTGCTAAAGAGAAAACATTGGCAAATGATGCAGCCGTTGCTTGGAAAAGTGAGCAGGAGCATTGGAAGACAGAGAGCCTGTCCAAAGACTTTACTGAGCCCATTTTCAAAACAAAAGAAGCAGTCCTGGGAGACACCCCCATTAGCACGGTAAGTAGCAACAGCTGGTATCTGCTACATGTCCTGTGTTAAAGGAATTGAATGAATGCTTCCGAGTGTCAGAAAGAATAATTACTGAAAAAATGGTTGAAAAATTAAATGATAAATTTAAAATAAATTATAATTAAAAAAAATTACTTTTATTGCTTATTTTCAAGTCTGTCAGTTTGGAAAACCTTTTCGTACTGTTAAAACTCATTTTCAGGTTAATGGAGTACAGCAATGTTTAAAGCTAATAGAGAAAATGCAAGGACATTTGGCAGTGCTTCAAGATATGAAAAGCCACCTAGATAACCAACAGCCTATTAGTAACAACCTGGAAATACTAAAAGATGAACTGGAACAGCTAGAGGTAAGTAAAGTGTTCTTTATGCTTGTACTTCAGTGATGGGTGCTAGGAAAAGCCCTTAAATTAAAAAAAAAGAGAGATTTCAAATATAATTAAAGTAATTCAGATTTAAATCTTTCTTGCCCAGTAACTTAATGCATTTGATGTATATTCTCTTTATAGTCATTTGAATCAGGACTGGCTACCTTTACAATTATCCTAAAAAAGGACATGAAGTTGACAGAAGAGTTTTTCAAGTTTTGTAACAGGGATATTCCTGAAGAGAAACTTAAAGAGCTAAAGATAAGCTATGACTATTTGCAGGAAGCATTTTTGGTGGTCTGTGATGCGTCTTCAAAACGAGCAAAACAAATAGTCTGTGCTGTTGACTCAGAAATGGTATGTTTTTATCAGTGTATGTTTTTACCTTGGTTTTCTTCAAGGTAATTTGACTGCAAAGAAGGAATTTGGTTTTGCTTTGTTCTGTTTTGTCTTAATATAAAAATACATGTATGATTCTATTTAATATGATAGAAAATGTGACTAGATGCCAAGGGCGTAACTAAATATACAACTTTCCTTTCTAGTCTAAGCTTGCAGTGTTACACCAGCAACTCCTAAGCAAACTGCAGAGATTTTCAGACTGGATCACAGAATACAGTAAAATTGTGAATGACTTCACAGTGAATACTAATGATATAGAAGAGATGAAGAAAAGTTTACAGCTATTTAAAGTAAGTATCCTTTATGGCAGTTGTCAGTGCTTCTGACAAATGTTGCTACTTATTGTGAATTATTAGCTAGATTTTGTATACCTGCTCATTAACCTCTATCGCTTAGACAGAGAGCTAGAACTAATTACTTAAGAAGATAACTACTTGATAATCCAGTAAAACAATCATGTTGATTTGCTTTTTCTCTTGAAAAAAATTTTGATAGAGTTTGGCTTACTGAGAAAGCTATTGGTTCTGCTTACATTTGTTGCAATAAATCTGAACCTTTTTGGAAATCTAATTTATAATACAAATATTTCAGTGATTAAAATTGGATCTTTATGCTTAAGGTCCAGAATCTTTACTGAAGTTTAACTACCTTCAGAATCAATTATACGTGAGAACAGAAGATGGGGAAAGACAAAAAGCCTCTTCATTGCACACTCCATGAAATGAGTCATGAAAAACAAATCAGATCAAATTTTTAGGAAAGTTCATACCCTTCTGTATGTATGAATGATAAAAATGACATTATTTTACTGTGCTTTAATAGGTTTCCAGTATGCATGGTAATGTCATAGGGGCTGCACAGTGCATAACTATGGGCAGAATTTGCCACACTACTGGAAATGGGGGTTCTCACTGTGGAGTTAAGAATAGAAATGCTTTCAAGTAAATATTTTAATATTTCTGAGTCTTCAGGCCTAGAAGCTGGAAACATTAAACCTAATCTGCCATAAATCTTCCAGAGTTGAAGGTCAGTCAGTTTTCAGACATCCATGAGAGAGCAAGGAAATAGAGATGTTCACGGTCATCTCATTTATTACTTGGACATGGACTGTCCCAGAGGCAAACCATGCACAAATTCAAATGTTGTATCTGAATGTGTCAGAATGATTCTGACACAGAGTTTTGATTTGCTGTGGCTGAACTGTCTCCCAAAAGCATTTTGGAACAGGGGCTAAGAAAAGAGGGTAGCGATACTTGTGTTTTATTTGTACCAAATTTGTCTTCATTGCTAGTCATTTCCTTCTCTTCATTTACAGAACAGTGCTGCAGAGCTCAGCTGTAAAAAAATGCAACTGGAGTCCACTGCATTTGATGTTCAGTTCTTCGTTTCTGAACACGCTCAAGATCTTTCTCCTAATCAGAGCAAACAGCTGCTGAGGCTCTTAAATACCACCCAGAAATCTTTTCAGGAAGTACAGGAAGCACTAATATCTCAAGTGGAAAGTTCAGAGACTCAGTTACAGGCAGCACAAGAGCTGGGTGATCAGAAGGTTTGCTTTTCTGTGTAAATGTGTGCTGAGTGTTTCTGTCTATGGATGAGGAGTTTTAATACCAGCATGCAGTATTAAGTATATTCCTATCTTCTCATGTTTTTACTACAGATACATTCATAGTTCTACAAAGATGGTATTGATCAAGTTTGGTGAATTGCCATTTTTGTCTTTCCTTGGTACAGTCACAGAAACAGCATATTAGATTATGGACAGATGCAGTTTTATGCATTAGGATCTGTACAGCCTGAAGTGACCAGGTCTGCTCTTTCTAGCAATGAGAGAAGTTTACTTGAGGTTTCTCACAGGTGTTGTTTGTTTAGTAGCTATATCAGTAATTAAATGAAGCAGTGAACTCTTCTGGCTGCAGCTGTATTGATCAGTGAATTTACTACCACACCATTGCTAATCACTTCTGTCTTGCTGAAGATTTTCTTTTCTTTTCATTTGCCAGGTTGTCTGCTTCTGTGATCTTTTTTCTAGGTCTTTATAGTCAAAGAACCAGATTTGTTTAAATCCCTGCTACCATGGTTTGACTGAGACAGGTTAGAGGGACAAACATATGAGTAAATCAGCTGTGATATTTGCAATTGTAGCCATGGGCACTGGGAAAGCTATGAGTCAGGTTGGGACAGTTACCTTTTCAGCTGGCAGGGCTGCAGTTGGCAAGCATTAGCAGCCTTTGTAGAGCCAAAGGAGGCTGATAAGATGCTGCAGTGTAACTGCATTTCCTCTTCTCTCACAGAAGCACTGTTAAGACTGAGAATCACCACCTCAGCCCCAAGTTTATGTGTAATGAAAGGTGTTTTAGCATTCTGAAGACTTTGTATTATTTTGCTATTCTGAGAATGTATCTTTCCACCGTACTTTGTGAAAGAAACGTAAAATTGAGTAAAGGAAAGGTACAGGTAATTTTTCTAGGACTTAGTAACAATAATGAGCTTGCATGTTTTGTTCTTTTTTACTGCTTAAAAAGTCAACATTTTCTACTCGGGTAACATGCATACCAACAAGAGCTAACTCAGGATCACAACTAACCTCTGTTTTGATATCCTTTTTTCAGAATTAATAGTGTTTATCACAGGTTTCAAGCAGATAAGAGACTGGATTTTCACTCCTGTCGTTTGGAGATGTCATCTTTCACATATGTGCATGGCCAGACTTCTATTGGGCAATTCCATCAAACATGGTCTCTTTTACTTACAACATATTTGAGGTCTACCCATAACTTCTCTATGTTCATCTTGCTCTTTGTACCACTGCTATCATGTTTACAGCATACTTTTAAAATGATCGCTTTGCAATATTGATGTTCAAAGGTAATTCCTATTAGAGTGTCTGTTAGTTCCTGAAGTGAGGATGGTTTTGTTTTATTGTTCAATTGTACTTGGCTCTAATATAGGATGTGGCTGAACGGCAGCAGGAATGCAAAGAGAAACTCCAGGAAATCTGTGATTTGCTTACACAGACTGAAAATCGACTCATCGGACAGCAAGAGTCTCTTGTTATTGGAGACAGCAAGGCTGAGCTAGAACAATACCAGACCAAACAGGAGGTATGCACAATTCTAGTCAGATAAGTTAAAGAAGACGTGAGTACAGAGGAGAGTGACTAGACTCTTTTGTTGACTAACAAGACTTGTCATGTGAAAGGAGAGTAAAATAGATTTGTTTGACCTACCAAAAGTAAAGGCTTAATGGTGTGAATTTAAACTGCTGCCCATGAATACACTGCAGTACGTGGCAGTGGGAAAAAACCTTTCAAACTAGGAGACTCTAGAATAGCGAATATGTACTAGACATTTCAAGAAGCACTCGTGGAGCAGGCATGAAATTTGTTCTATATTAGCTTAAGATTGTTCGTGTCAAATGTGATAAAGTCACGCTTGTTTATTATGCTAAAATAATTTAACCAGCTTTTTAACTGGTATCAGGGAGCACTTATTCCTCTTCACAGTATTTTGAAGAATTTTGCTGCAAGGCTTTTTCTTGTCTGAGGCTTTCCATGGCCTCTCTCTTGTTTTGGTTTGAATTCTGTTTTTTCTAGTGTTGCTTGCAATCTCCTTGGTGTCCTTGTGTAACAGAGGCCTTTCAGTTTGTTCGCTTCCCTATTGAGACCTTGCTTTTCAGCTGTACCCTGTCATCTGTAAGCTTTTACTCTGTCCTGACTAATACTAACTGAGTTTATGATAGTTAAAGGACTGAAGGACTTGGTACTCTTCTTTTTCCTCCTTCTCCTAGTAGTAGTTTGCTATACTGTAGACCTCCATATCAGGTTTAGTAATCTAGAAGGCAGAAATTTCCTTATTCATCTTGCCTTGCTTTACTTATCTTGGAAGTAACACATCTGGTTTGTTGAAGTTCTCCTTACAGTCAGTGGAGAGATACAGACACTCTGGGGGTACCTCTTAATATTGCTTACCTGTCTTAAGAAATTGTGACCTACATGGGGTACCCATGGGAGTGAAGAACTGATATAACATTTTCTTCTTTTTTTTCCATCAGCTGTTTGTGACTGCCTAGCAGACTAGTTGTTATTTGCTGACTGATTTCTTGTAGACACTATTGTAGAAGTGAGTCTCAGGAGGGGAATGGGGGCTTAAAAAAGGTCTTTCACAGATCAAGTCAGAGCTTTCTTCCTCAGCAAGCTGTTTGAAAGGGAGCACACAGATCTTTGTCAGAGAATCTTGTTTTGATACAGTGTCCCCAGGAAAATCATTCTAACATACTTGCTGAAGCGTTAAAATAAGCTGCAGTTTTAGCTGCCAAACTATATTCTATAATTGCTGCAAAATCTGTAGTGTAGAATGAGAATCAAATGTTTTGTCCTGCAGCTTCAAGAGTGTTATACTGCATATAAAGGAAAAAAGCTTCATTGTTTCAGTAACTGGGTGAATGTATTCAACAGCATAATTATTGTTGTAATTAAAGCTCCCCTCATAACTGGGAGGCAGATTTTTTTATCTGACTCTATCATAGGACTAGGCAAACTGCTTTGGATAAACTATAACTAAATATCTGTCCTCTATGAAATTTAATGGCCTTATTTCAGTCTCCAAAGCATGTTTATTATGATCAATTACAATTAAAGAAAAATATTCTTAAGGCCTTTTTGGCCTGAACAAAACCAAGAAATATGGGAATACTTCCACCTGGGAAAGATGACTACAATTTTCTAGCTTTTATTCAGTCCCCTTATTTTCCGCAGCTTTCTGTTAGAGTAGTAATGGAACAGAATTTGTCAGGAGACTGACCTTACTAACTACAGTGTAGCAGATTTACTTTATCTCTTGATATCTAAAAAATAAGATATATTTTCTTCTGTGTACATGGAAATACAATATTTGAGCTGATAAACAAAACAAAAAAAAATAGTGGCCTCAGCCTGAATAGGAGTGTAAGCCAACAGACTTGCAATTTTTTTAAAAAAAAAAGGCAGATTGAGCTACAGCAACAATGTCAGATATTGAATTGATTTTTTTTTTTTTTAAATAATCCTATCTGCAATTCAGTAATGTATCATGCGCTCTCCCAAGTTACAAAAGACCAGTGTGGTGCTTACCCCTAGGTCAGAGAGGGTTCCAATAAAGTTAATTGGAAAGATCTGGTGAATAATTTGCTTACTCCTATTTGCTTTCTTTTTTCTCAAAAGGAGATACAAAAAGACATGAGAATGAGCGCCCAGACACTGGCAGAGATTGTGAAAAATACTGAAAACTTCTTGAAAGAGAATGGAGAAAAGTTGTCACAAGAAGACAAGACTATACTTGAACAGAAGCTGAATGAAGCTAAGACAAAGTGTTTGGTCCTTAGCCAGAAGGCAGAAGAGTCCAAAAAAGAACTGGATAGAGCTATGACAACAGCAATTAAGCAGGAAACAGAAAAGGTTTTTAGGCAACCATTTCATACCTTTATTCAAACTTTTTCATGTCTTATGGGGTTAGTCTTGCAACTTACCACTTAGTGGTGGGTTGACCCTGGCTGGACACCAGGTGCCCACCAAAGCCGCTCTATCACTCCCCTCCTCAGCTGGACAGGGGAGAGAAAATATAACGAAAGGCTCGTGGGTCAAGATAAGGACAGGGTGAGATTACTCAGCAATTACCATCACCGGCAAAACAGACTTCACTTGGGGAAATTAGTTTAATTTTTTACCAATCCAATTGGAGTAGGATAATGAGAAATAAAACCAAATCTTAAAAACACCTTGCCCCCACCCCTCCCTCCTTCCTGGCTTAACTCCACTCCTGGTTTTCTGTACCTTGCAGAGGGACGGGGAATGGGGGTTGGGGTCAGTTCCTCACACCATGTCTCTACCGCTCCTTCCTCCTCAGGGGGAGGACTCCTCACTCTTCCCCTGCTCCACCATGGGGTCCCTCCCATGGGAGACAGTCCTTCACAAACTTCTCCAATGTGAGTCCTTCCCCCAGGCTGCAGTTCTTCACAAAGTGCTCCAGCGTGGGTCCCCTCCACGGGCTGCAGTCCTTCAGGCACAGACTGCTCCAGCGTGGGTCCCCCGCGGGGTCACAAGTCCTGCCAGCAAACCTGCTCCAGCGTGGGCTTCTCTCTCCATGGGGCCACAGGTCCTGCCAGGAGCCTGCTCCAGCGCGGGCTTCCCACCGGGTCACAGCCTCCTTTGGGAACCCACCTGCGTGGGGTCCTCCCCGGGCTGCAGGTGGAGATCTGCTCCCCCATGGACCTCCCTGGGCTGGGGGGGACACAGCCTGCCTCACCATGGTCTTCCCCACGGGCTGCAGGGGAATCTCTGCTCCGGTGCCTGGAGCACCTCCTCCTCCTCCTCCTCCTTCACTGACCTGGGGGTCTGCAGGGTTGTTTCTCTCACATATTCTCACTTTTCTCTCTGGCTGCCGTTGAGCAGGTTTTTTTCCCCTTAAATCTGTTCTCCCAGAGGTGTTCCCATCATCACTGATGGGCTCGGCCTTGGCCAGTGGCGGGTCCGTCTTGGAGCCAACTGGTATTGGCTCTGTTGGACATGGGGGAAGCTTCTAGCAGCTTCTCACAGAAGCCACCCCTGTAACACCCCACTACCAAAACCTTGCCACGCAAACCCAATATATATTGATACACTAGAGAGAGATTAAAATCATATTTCATTTGGGTGACTAATAACCTGTTTTCTGGTTTCTTTTCTTTATAAAAGAAACAGCAACTTATATGTCAATCAAAAATTTTGTTTAATGTTAATGTATTTTAAATGGTCTGTTTGCATATGCTATTTTGTAGTGCTTAAAGACGATTTCTAAACTGACACTGTGAAATTTCAATGTAGGTTGCAGCCATAGAACAGCTGGAAGAAAGTAAAAATACAATAGAAAATCTCTTGGATTGGTTATCAAATGTGGATAAAGAAGCGGAGCACAGCCGGAAATTTAAGCAGGCGATAGAACAGAATGGAACACACTTTGAAGAGGGAGATCTGAAGGCTTTGGAAGGAGACGAGGATGATGTCAATGGTAATCTGCTGGAAATTCAGCAAGACATTGAAACTCAGGTGGATGGGCTAGTAAAAAGCACAGAAGATAATCTGAACCAGCAGTATCAGAAAGTCAAGGTACTGTTACTAGGTTTATTCAACATTTAGGTGCTAAGTGTATCAGTTCTCATTCAACATGAAGGAATTCAATCTCACCCTTTCTGTCATAGACTTTGGAACAGGCATTAGGAAGTAAGTGGTACACAGTGGTAGGAATTGCAGTAGTTAGAATGTATTGCAAATTTGTCACTTTTTTGCTCTTACTATGGTTGTTTCCTGCAAAATAAGAAAAAGGACGTATTGTACAAGGTAAATGTTAAGAATCCTGATGGTGAGTCTATTCTTAATTTTTATCGTGAGAAACTAATGCAGGTAAGTAAACTGCAAAAAGCAGCAACATAAATTCATACACTTTATGTGACTTTTTCAAAAATCTTTGTAATAGCCAACTGATTCAACCCCCTGCAATTCCCTGTGAACACTGATTACCAATAGCTGCAAATAATAGTTTGCTGAAATCACAATCTTCATTCCCTGTAACTTAACACATGGGCAAAGCACTGTTTGAAGGCTTCAGAAGGATGAGTTACATAAAACTACAGCGCAGCATTTTAAAAATAGATTTTCCAGATAAGACAATTGGAAGCATTTAAAATAATAAGAACTCAGTTTTATGGCTTGTCTTGACTTATAGTTGAGCAACCAAAAACATTTAAGTGTGGTTTGATGGACATGTTGATGAAAATTATTATGCCGATAGCTGATACCATTTCCTTATTAAAAAAAACCCTAAGAAAATCAGATCGTTTGTTTTTGTGAACATGGCAGTTTTACTTCCACTTTTTTGACAGTTCTTTTCTGCACCTAATGCCTACAGGATTGTTGTCCACTGTACTCATGGAAGAAAAGCATAGCAGTCTATTTTACATAGCTATTTTATGTGGGAGTAGAAGACCTTCAAGAATGGAGTTTTTTTGAAAGAATATGTTCGAATGATGGGGGGTTTTGGCATACAGTTCTGTTTCCTGTGACTTAACGATTTTTTAATGAGATTCAGACAATTTACATGCATAGAATGTGTCTTGATTTTTAATGTCAGAAGGACCTATTTTATGACCAAGTATATTTGATAAGAAGCACTGCTCTTGAAATTGAAAAATGAAATTTAAAAAATTGGATAATAATGTTTGTTCACTCAATGTAAGAAGAAAGTATCTCTATGCTTTTTAATATTTGATGCTTTCACTCCTTTTGGTCTGTTTGTCTGAAACAGTAGCTACAATATGTGTACCAGGAAATGGAACTGTTTTGGTTTGGAAAGTTGACTACCTTTGAATGCTTTATTTGATAAATCCTATTTTCAGTCAGGGAATTAGGAAAATTTTGATTACACTAAGCATGCTACCCTAAATGTTAATTAATATGCAAATAATTTTTATTAGGAAAAAAATTAAAGAGATTGATAATGTCTAGTTTTACTATACAGAGTTGTCTTTTAGAAGTACAAGGGGAAGTGTTTGTGTGATGAATATACCCTAGTATTTCCAAGTTCCAGCGATATTTGAAGACTCATTTGGTTGTGGCCTGCATATCTGGCTAAAATTACCATTGGACGTTTCGTAAAATTTTGAAACTGCGTAGAAGTATGATGACCAGGAGTCATGCTTTCACTTAGATTACTCACAGAATGTTTTTAAAATAAATAATACAAAAATGAGAAAAGCTTTTTATTGTTTTGATGGACTTTATTTCACTCGTTGTTTCCAAGGAACCATCTGAGAAGGTGATAGTCTTAATTTATTCTTTTTTTTTCTTGTAGGCCCAACATGAGAAAATTATTTCACAGCAGCAGGCGGTCATAATAGCAACACAGTCTGCTCAGGCACTGCTTGAGAAACAAGGACACTACCTTTCCCCTGAAGAAAAAGACAAGATGCAAAGGAACATGAAAGAGCTGAAGGCTCAGTATGAGACTGCTTTAGCTGAGTCAGAACGGAAAATGAAATTAACTCATTCTCTAAGAGAAGAACTTGAGAAATTTGAGGCAGATTATAGTGAATTTGAAACCTGGCTGCAGCAAGCAGAACAAGAACTTGATAATTTGGAGGCAGGTGCTTCTGACTTCAGTGGTGTTATGGTCAAACTGAAAAGGCAAAAGAGTTTTTCAGAAGATGTTATATCTCATAAAGGTGATTTACGGTATATTACAATATCTGGCCAAAGAGTTTTAGATGCTGCAAGGTCATGTAGCAAAAGAGATGGTGTGAAGGTTGACAAAGATGGTGTCGATACTTCGGCTACATATGCTGAAGTGCAAAATAAACTGGATAGTGCTTCAGATCGTTTCAAATCTCTCTATACTAAGGTAAGTTTTACTTATACTGAGTAGGTAAGGCTACGATAATTGATTTGGCAGTTTGTATAAAAAAGGGTTAGCTGATGAAACAAATACTCTGGGAAGTTGCAAATTCTTTGTTTCTTAAAGTTAGATAACAGAACAAGATGCTTTTCTAGAAGATCTGCTTTAGTCAAGTGCCAGACTATTTAAGGTCTGTATGGATGAAATTTTTTACCTTGTGTTATAAAGGAGAAGTAAGACCAGATTTCTTCATTGTTCTTTCCAGCCTTAAACAAACTCTTTGAGTTTATGACAGTACAGGATGTCTGAGTAACATTTTGGGGTGGAAAGAACTTCTAATACTTTTAGATGGATAACATTTCTTTATGTTCCTTGCGTTATTTCCCACACCTGCTTATTTACTTGGCTTCCTACTAATGAAATGAATATAGAAAGAGTGAGCCTATGCCAAGATTAACATTGAAAATTTCAATTTTATTTGTATCCTGAAATAGTTTGTCCCAATGTGACCTTTGCTGTCAGCACTAAGAATGCAAGGACGTAATGATTTGAGGATAGCAATTCTTTTCCACTACTCTGCCAAATAAAAATTTTATCCTTAACAATCTGAGATGTCTAACTAATGGGCAACTAGCAGTGCAAAACCCTCCATGTATCTTAGAGAGGGAAGATAATCCAGTTCTCTGTGCCAGGTTCACTTCTGGAATCTGTCTGGTAGAACTAGACAAACATCACCAACTGGTCTTGCATGCCAACTTTCCAGCTGTTTTCAAAAAAACAGTAAAGTGGTGTTCAATATTGATAATATTCTGGAATTGTAAACTTCTGAGGTAATTATTAATTGAACCATTTAAGAGACAGTTATTGTCAGTATCCTTTGCCTATGCCTTTTCATAATTTTCTAAGATCATCGGTTCAGACTCCTTAGTAGAGCTTCAGTGTCCACTGATACAGTGTTGGTCTGCAGCAGTTGCCATCTTTGGGAATTTTCATCTCTTTAACGTTTTCTTGCTCAGAAATGTAAATTCTGTAAAGACATGGATTTGATTACTTGATTACAAAAACAGTGTAAAGCCTGTTCTCTCAGTTTGTGAAGAAGGCTCTCCACTTACAGAAGCTCATTTCATTTTCCAGCTTAACTTATATGAACAGTGAAGCTAAAAGCTTGTATTAACAGGTTAGATTTCCTGCAGTTGATTTATTGGATTAGTTTGAGTGTGAGTGTAAAGATTTCATCAGAAACTTTTCAGAGAGCTTAGTTCTATGCACATAAAAATCCTATGCCAGCAGCTTGATTTGTGGTCTCAGATTTGTCAGCTTGCCAATTCAATCCTTTCTATATATATATATTTAGCACAGACATAATAGACATGCTCTAAATATTTGACTATAAATATGCAGAGCAAAGTAGACTTTTCTTATTAAATCAAGTCTTGAAAGACAGACTTAAAATGGAGATCTTCCCCAATTTCTAAGTGAGATCTTCCAGGTTATAAAAGGGTTTGTAGTAACCTTTTTGCCTTTTGTAAAAGCTTCTTGCTTTTAATAAATATTTATATTGCCTTTTTTTTTAATATATATATTCACACACACACATATGACTTCATACGCTTATATGTTGAAGGTATCTTAATATGTCTGTTCTTAGTTAACTGGTTATGTAAATGAGTGCATTCTATGTTTGCCCACTTGATGGAGCCCAAGTACCATGTGTAAATACTACAATACAGCGTATGGAAGGTTCAGAATATAAATATTTACAGTAACTGTTTATAAATATTATTACTTGATACAATCAGATTTTGTTTGTGAAATCATCTCCAAAAAGTCTGGAAGAGTTCCACTGACCTTTTTATGTGACAACGCACTGTATACATTTGGGGGCATGATAACATATAAGACTAATAGGATCTTTGGTCAGATGACATTCTTAAGTGACCAAACCAAAGCATATGTGCAATACCGAGCCATATCACTTTGATTCACTGTGCAGATAAGGTATTTATGAAAGCAATACTCTGCTGTCTGTATTTTTATGAACATACACGTATCTTCTGATTTTTTGGAAAATTTCTAGCTTCCACTAGCTACATTTTTGGTGTCAGAGTGCTGATAAAGAATCTTTACGTTGATCGATCAAAAAGTATTCCTAAAGCTTTTCCTATTCTAGTACAATGGGTTAGATTCCAGTTTCCCACCTGCATCAGTGTATTGATCCTAAATCACGCTTGAGGAGCACAAACTGGGAAGACCTGCATAGCCTGTCCAGCTGTCATGCCTTAGTTCAGAAATGAGTTAGACAGTGGAATGATATCAGGAAAAAATCATGCAGTACTTCAGGAAGGAAAGTATGACCTTGAGATTGGTGTGAAATGCAGCACACAGTTTAATGCCTGGGTATTTTCTTGTTTGTTTTCTACTCTTTCAGTGTAGCATCCTTGGAAATAACCTTAAAGACTTGGTGGATAAATACCAGCATTATGAAGATGCCTCATCTGGACTTCTTTCAGGTCTCCAGGCTTCTGAAATAGCTGTGAACAAACAACTATCAGAGCCAATTGCAGTGGATCCCAAAAATCTCCAGAGACAGCTAGAAGAAACCAAGGTGAAAGGTTTAAAAAGCAGAATTACTTTTGTCCTAAAAGGAAGTGCTTTTTGTCTGAAAACCAGGATAACAATATAATCCGAGTGGCTGCAGGCCAAATTCTTGCCTTGCACGTGGGCATGCAACTTTTATAGTTCTGAAATTCAGCTATCCAGAGTGTTACCTGCAAAGCACTAGGGTGAAAAAGAATGGGGGACCAAGATGCCATTAGCAGTGGTGAAAGCACGATGGGTTTCATATCACTTAGCAAATGATAGGGTGAAATCTAGAAAGTTTTTGAACTAAGAAAGGATTTAGCGATTATAGTTTGCTATCAGAGGAGGGCTTGGGACTAAGCTCCTGACAGAGACCATTTGCTGTTTGTTGTCTGTGACTCTTGTTTTTTTCTGTTCACATTTGTGTGTTACTGCATTATGAAAGGGATCATACTGGATAAGCAGTGTGATGTGACTAGTCTGTTTCCCTGCTTCAGCTGGATCCAGTACTGCCCTGCAGAAAGCGAATATAACATAATTTGGGTTGCAGTATTTTGTTTCTTTTTTTTTTTTTTTCCGCCACTGAAGGAGTAACTCACAACTTTATGTTAAGTCCTAGTAGAGGCAAGACAGGTTAGTGATGAAGATTGTGAAGGTAAAACTCAGGTTAGCTGCATAAAATATAGGTTTACAGAAGGCTTTAAGAACCCCAAGTATAAGGTGAGTTATATAAAGTCTCATACAGTCTGTCATCTTTGAACTGAGTCTTATATTTTCATAAACATTCAGTCATCTATACTATAACTAATATGCAAGATTATTTTTCAGTGAGCAAGGTTATTGGTTGGGCATTTCCTTGCTGTTTTGTCTGTGCTATGAGGGGTATTAGTGGAGGTCTGATATGTTTACTGTTGACAAATGATAGTCAACAGCTCTTGGAAATTACATGTTTTAACCATTTCCCTTACATCAGCCTAAGTAGTAGTTATCTTTACCACATGGTATCTTTCAAATCTGCTACTGGAATTGCCCAGCACTTTGGTGTGTGACACATCAGAGGAGGCGAATCACAGCGATGTTTTAAGACAGCAAAATTAAAAGTGTAAATTTTGAACTCCTAACAGTGGAACATTTTAGGTACGTTTGTGCTTCCATGCACTAGAAAAGTAGGAATAACACCAATTACAATTTGAGGCTTCATTTAAACTTTTTGTTCCTTATGCCAAAACGAATTATATTCTGTATAATGCCAATTTTCATGCAAGTAATACAAAAGGAGTGAGTACTGGGGTTCTTTTATAAAACGCCTACATGGATTACTTGCCACACAAAAGAGCACTCAATGAATATGAGCTGGGAAGAAAGGAGGGGGTACAATGTGTCAAAAGATTCAAAGGAAGAGAAAAATAAGGAGGCTGAAGAAAGCAAGCCAATTAATGAAAGCAAAACAAAGAGTATTTTTGAAGAAGTCAGGTGTTGCAAGTTAAAGCTGTCCCTTGTAGCCAACACATGCAGCTGATAATCCAGCTAGACACAGACCTTAGCAGCATGGTGGGGTCTAATCTTTTTATGGGGATTAACTGTTCTTCAGAATATTCTTCAGTGCCTCTGGCATCAGCTTGCTTGCTTTCTGTCAGCATACAAGGTTTTCTGGTATGTCTTTTTTTCTTCCCTGCCCCACCTACTATATTTCTCTAGTGTAAGGAAAATTCCTCTTCAGGTCTATCTGAGTTTTATTGTGTCAAGTGGGTCAGCAAGACATACTATGTTCTGGCATACTGTTGTGCTCTGGATACCAGTGCTGAATGCACTGACATGACTTCTTTGTCCTGGTAGGGCAGATAGGATTACTTTTTGAGTCATCTGTTCATTGAGATAGTGTGTATCAAAAAATAAATGAGCAGTCCCTACATTTTGGACTTGTATAAAGTTCAAGTGAATCCAAGCAAACATACGTCATATATAGTAGCACAGAGGCCTGAAATAATTTAAAGACTGTTCACCCTAAAGTACTTTTATACACTGGAGAAAGCCCCTTTCAGAAGTTGATTCAGCCTTCCTGTCTTTCTCTGTTGACTCTGGAGCAAGTCATGGCTGGGCAAGTCTCTAAACCTGTGTTCCTTGGTTAGATGGACAAACTTAGGCAAAATTCAGTGACACGAGCTCCAGGAGGTTCCTCAACTGTGAACGCCATGATATTGTTTCAAGCTGTTCCTGTTTACACCACAATATCAGCCTGATCCTTTGTCAATGAAACTGATGGTGAATGTGTAACTACTGCTGATGACTGCATGTTTTTCCCCCTGAATTGTTCTCTGGTGCTGAGTTGGAAAATAAACATATTTTTCTTTTGGGTAGTATTGAGTCTGTACAAGTGGACTTTAAAAACAGTTAATCAAAAGACACATTTTGAAGTTACATGCAAGAAATCAGTTGAGTCAGAGAAGTATTGTAAAACAGAAGATAAAAAAGATGGTGAAGAAACTAAAACAAGGGCCAGAAGGTCAACAGCAGTCACAGCCACTGGTGAAGATTTTTCTTAAGGAGAAGTCACAAATTTAGTTAGTTTATTCACAGCACTAAGTTTAGGTTGTGTGACATATCTCAAGACTTGCATGTGTAACTATTAGCTGTATTGAAAAGCGTAACTGATAATTGTGGAATTTTACAGGTTCTTCAGGGACAAGTGTCTAACCACCAAATTGCTGTAGAAAAACTGAAAAAAGCTGCTGAAGTGTTATTGGATACAAGGGGAGAGTTAACACAAGACAAAGATGAGATTCAGAAAACACTGGGTAAAATGTTTACTTTTCTTAATACCTCTTTTTATTGCTTGTGGCTGCATGCAGGTACCAAAAGAGACAAAATACAGTTTCCACATTCTTGTGTCACTGTTCAAGTCCATGTTTTGTTGAGTCATAAGCTATTACAGCACAGTAGCTTCATTGTTGGTCTGTCTCCTACGTTGATCCATACACTTTTCACTTAAAAGCTGTCATTTGATTTTTGACTTTTTTTTTTCAGAAATAGGGATTGTGTTTAATTCCCACATTGCAGATGGGCATGCTAAACAGAGGTGGTGATTTGCTGAGGATCATAAATTCTCCAGTGGAAACGAGCATGTTCATGTGCAAGGAACATGACTCCAGCTATCTGAAGGTCTCTGCTCCAGCGCCTGGAGCACCTCTTCCTCCTCTTTCTTGTCTGACCTTGATGTCTGCAGGGCTGTTTTTCACACCTTCTTTTCCTTTACTTCTCAGTCCCAGGCAGCATTTTCCCCTTTCTTAAACACGTTTTCCCAGAGGCACCACCAGCTTGGCTGAGGGGCTCCACTGTGCCCTGTGGTGGGTCAGCTGGAGCTGGCTGGAACTGTCTGCGTCTGCATGGGGCAGTCCCTGGCATCTTCTCACAGAGGCCAAAACCCTTGCCACTTCAAAAAGCTTACCACCTACACCCAATACTCTTTCCTGTCAGTTGTGAGAAGTAGCACAGCATGACATTCACCAGTGTCTGAAGTTTGAAGACTCTCTATGTGTATCACACAACTATCTTTTACTGGAATCCCATAAGTAACTTGCAGAGCAACAAAATAAAACAACTGTGGGCTTGCCTCTTTGGAGTGGGTGATGAAACTCCATGGGAGGAACATGGAACTTGTAACTAACTTTCAGAGGCTTATCCCGAATGTGTTGAGGGTCTAATGAAGAACCATCTGGAAGAACCTTTCAGCTCTAACAATAACATAAGAGACATAATTGTAGAAGAACTGTCTTAATATCTGCTATTTTATTTCTTGGGAAAAGTCAACAGCTGTCATAAGCTAGAGCTGCATGGGAACCAGCTTCTAAAAGCTGGGGAGTACAGCTGTAAGCTGCTCCCTCATTTCCCTTGTCCTGTGGGCTTCTTGGCTCTATTTGAAGATTTTGCTTGTGTGTTTTTACTGAATAAAGCTGATGGTTTTGCTTCGTTCTAATGTAAGCAATTTTTGACTCACACTCACCTGGTAAGAACTGGTAAAATGAGTTAAAAGCTTAGTTTGGCTCAAGGAAAAAATTGAAATATATTTTCTCTTTATCAGATGATATTGTGGAGAGGTATGACAATTTATCCAAGTCTGTGAATGAAAGGAATGAGAAGCTCCAAATAACTCTGACACGATCCCTAAGTGTGCAGGATGGTTTGGATGAAATGCTGGATTGGATGGAAGGAGTTGAAAAGAGTCTTGAAGAACAAGATCAAGTGCCTTTGAATTCTGCTGCTATTCAGGATATTATTAGTAAAAGCATTGTAAGTAGCATTCTCTGAAAGAAGAAACATTTGTTTGATAATTCAGATTTCAAGAAAGAATTAAAATCTTAGTTTGGCACCTTTAATGGATTCAAAATACTTAATAAAGAGGACCGTTGCGTGAAGTGAAACTGCACATAAGGATTTTTGTAGCTGAAATAATCTACACTGATGGTCTAGCTGTACTGATTTGTTGCTTCATATGGTGGATCAGTTTCGCTTCTTAAAATTTAGTTATAAGCAATACTATATATTGTATATGTATTGCTGTAAGCAATAGTTCTTGCTTTTTTCAGATGCTAGAACAAGACATCATGGGTCGCCAAAGCAGTATAAACACTATGAATGAAAAAGTGAAGAAGTTCACGGAAACAGCAGATCCATCCACTGCATCCACACTGCAAGCTAAAATGAGTGAACTTGCAGGACGGTTTTCTGAAGCAGGTAACAAGCATAAAGAGAAGCTTATGAAAATGGAGGAGTTGAAGACTAAAGTGGAGTTATTTGAAGGTCTTTCAGAAAAACTTCAGTCATTTCTAGATGAGAAAAACCAGGCCCTCAGTGAGACGGAGGCACCAAGAAAGGATGTTAGTGAAGTGTCTCAGTATATACAGGTACTATACCATTCCATTTGTATATATTGTGCATTTCTAGTCTAACTCATCTAAGTGATTGAACAATAAATAAGGCATGCTTGTTTCCCAACTTTGGTCGGTTAGCTAAAATCAAGAATTTAATTTTGAACAAGTGATTGTAAAGTCTAATATGAAGAATGTAACCCTATTTTGCAGGAAGCTAGTGTAGAATTGGCACAACATAAGAAGGATCTGGAAGTTTTGCAGCAGCTTCTTGAAGAACTTTCATTCCATGCTCTTCCTGGAGATAAAGCATTGGTATTAGAAAAAGTAAATGCTTTGTCAAAGAAATTCAGAGAGGTAGAGGAGACTGTAAAGGAAAAGTAAGTTGAATAATTAAAGTGTTTCTGCTTTGGCTAATAATACAGTGTGAACGTGGTGATGACTGCTATCTTCTTGCATGCGATCTCAAGAGATTGCAGTTAACCACAGAGTAGACACGTTTTTTATTTTAAAAATGAGATTCTATTTGGAAATGCATCTGTAGTTAGTCTGTCTGGTTCAAGAGCTCTAATGTGGGCTGTAAAAGCAAGTGACTTTTCAAATTTTTTGACATTCCCAGGAGTCCTGTCAGTTCTAAGCAAACTCTACTTCTCCCCTTCTCTGATAGAATATAAATTGATGCTTGTGCAAATTGCTTTAGAGTACCATTTGGAATCAGGCTGCAAAGGAAAACTGGAGAAATTATTAGAGCTTCCATATAAGTTACCTGTACAGCAAGACTAGATTTTCCACATTCTGCTCATATCCATAAAATTAGTTTTTGTGACTCTTTGAATTTAGGAATAGCAATACCGTATTGATTTAAATGTTGGTTTAATTACTAGAAGGAATACTGACATTCCTTTAATTGTCTTTAATTGTCCAGAGAAGAGGATGTATCATCTTGTCAGAAACAAATGGATACTTTTGAGCTTCTTGTAGAATCACTGAAGAAATGGATAAAAGAAACAACAGAACGAATTCCAGCAGCACAACCCTCTCTGAATACAGAGGAGTTAAAGAAACCTTTGGAAGATACATTGGTAAGACATTGTAGAGAAGAAGTCAAATATGGCTGAAGTAAATAGGGCATCTGTTAGTAGCATAAAAGTACAGACTTAAGGTGTGAGCAGTCACAGTAATTGGGACTAGGGAGCTTGCAGCCTGCATTTACATTCGTATTTCCTTTGCATGTTTAGATATACTACAGGGGATTCCCAAGTAGCAAGGTTGTTCCTTTCTCTATACTGAATCTTTTAGGTCTGAAATCAGTTTTGTAATCAACAAATGACTGTCTTTCTTAACCAGAATTTAAAAGATGAATGGACATTAAAAGCACCTGAACTGCAGAAAATGAATAACCAAGGAACATTGCTGTGTAATCTAATTACTGCTGTGACTTCTCCTGCCAAACTGAGAGCAGTTGCAAAATCAGGTACGCATTTGTATAATCAGGTAAGCCTAATACTTAAGGAATTTTTAAAACATTTAAGACAAAAATTAAAATATTTCACCCTTGGATTAGCTTTCTGAATATTATGGCTTGTGAGAAGTCAGTTAGGTATGTCTGTTCTGACCATTGTTTGCTGTGACTCTCATTTAAACTGTCTTAACTGCTGTAGTAATTCAGTGCACATTCTGATTGCTTTACACTGTCAAAATAGTGTAAAAGTGCTTTGATGTAAATGATTAACAGGTCCTAAAGCTGTTACTTCAGTATGTAATTCCCAGATAATGAACAAAATGAACAGGATCATAGTTGCCTTCACCTCACCTCAGAAAGCTTCTGATAATGAGAAACTGGCTGACTCTGATTGGTGTTCAGTGCTTCACACAGCCACCAAGTCTGCAAGTAGGACAAACACAAACCCTGCTTTTGCAAACACTGATGTGCCTGCACACCTTTGCTGCCACAGAGATACCTCTTCAATGGCCATAAGGCTATTCTGTGTGATGCCAAGCAAACACATAAAGGTTCGCAGAGTCACGGAGTTTTTGTTAGAAGGGTGATGAGGACGTGGTTTATCTAAAAAGTGAGCCTAGGCAAACCTGCTCATCCCAGTATGATAGCATAATTAATGCTGGTCAATATTTTAGTTGAAATAACAGCACGGAAGCAAATCAACTCCAAATCCCAGCATGACTCTCCTGGGCCAAAATGTGTTTCCAGTCTGGAGCTTCAGCTAAATCCTTTTTACTAGTAATCTGATTTTAAAGACAGCAAATCTGTTTCCATGATTTTCTGTACTCTAGTGTTTAAATGTGAATTTGCTTTACAGAAACAAGTAATTCTGCTAAGTATCATTCAAGCCATAGTTCAAGGCATGTGGTACCTAGGGTATTTTAATGGCCATAAGCACATTTTCAGTCAGTTCTTGAACTGACTAGATATGGAAATAAATTCAAGTGTGTTGGCCTACATTGGTCATCTGCAAAGGACTGGGAGGATGGGGACAGCCAGAGGATACCTATTTGGCAAGAGTAGAACACTTTCTTTCTCACATCTCTTTGTAGTAGCTGCCTCTGGTTTCATTCTCTTTTGAATTTTAAATAAAAATCTTTCAAAGAACATTTTGGAACCTTATATGGGATATTTGGGCTCCTTCTTCTGCCCTTTCTCTACTCCTATGCATCCAGATAGAAAAATAATTAAATAACTAGCATATAAGAGCAGCTGTAATCCTCCAGACTACACTATTCACCCTCTTAGACAAGAGCTGTACTGTGTATCACTTAATCACAGTTATAAATACCAGAGTCCAGCTAATAGAGCATGAAGATTTACAAGGTTCTGGCTGGGGTCTGTGACTTCTCTTATCTGTTTGTTTTCTCTTGCCATCCTCCAGCTGCCACTAATGTGGTTCTCACTGCCCAGCTGGTACTGTGGGGTGGATGCATAGCCTTTTCCAAGGCAACCGCTAATCTTTCTCTGTTAATTGCTCATCTGGAAATACATATGTTCAGGAGAGTGGGAAGTGATTCTCCTTGCAGTTCTCTGTGGCTTGACCACATGCCCCAGCTCTGTGTTCTGACAGCATTTTACAAAGCCCATGTAGCCCTGGTTAGAGAGGCTTTGAAATTATGTTTAATTAGTAGGGCTGCCTGGGTGAGTGGCTGCCTCCAAGCGGCAGTAAGGACTTCAGGTGTAACAGTAAGGACTCCGCATTGCAATCCCTGTCATGGAGCACATGCTTAAATCTCGCTCATGACAAGATAGGGAGGGATCCGTCCAGTTGGTATCAAGAGCTTTTTGTGCAGAGGTACGGTGCTGCTAAATCGTAGAGTCATTTAGGTTGGAAAAGACCCTTAAGATCATCAAGTAAAACTGTTAACCTAACACTGCCAAGTCCAGCACCCATGTCCCTAAGCACCACATCTACACGTCTTTTAAATACTTTCAGGGATGGTGACTCAACCACTTCCCTGGTGGGTAAAGGTGTCCTGAGTAAGCAGTGCCTTTGGTTGCGGTGTCTGCAATGACCGCTCTGGGCTCCTCTGCTGTTTAATGTTTAGTGCTCTCCTCAGAGTCTCTGCGTTTGCCAGCGAGCCCTCTCCCAGGCCATACCCAGACATGGCTGGGTAAAACCATGTTCTCAGTAGGCAGTAGGGAACAGATTCCTTTTGGGGATAGGAAGGAAGTGATGTTAGCCATATGGATGTGAGTAAGCCTCATAGCTAGGGCATAGACCTTTGTCCACTATAGTTGTTTATTTAGCATGATATTGTGAACGCTAGGACTGCTTATGCATCATGCACGTGTGCATCCATGTGCACACAGACCCGCTATGCATATGCTGTGCACATGTGGTACCGCTTATGGTACTAGCTGGCTGGAGCAGCTTAAAACATAAAACAACCTTAAAATAGTTAAAGTTTAAATAAAGTACTTGCTATTACAAGGTTAGCATTCAGATATTTCTGTAATGGTATAATGAGAGCTACGTATCATGCTGTTTTGAAGAGGAAATGCAGTGCTGGGGTTTTGGTGGGAAAAAGCCCAGATAAGCATGGGACTTCATCTTCCCTGATCCACAGGTGGCACAATGTTAAATGGTGAAGGAGGACCTCCAGGAACTCAGGATTTCCTGAAAAATAAAGGTCAGTAAAAATTCCAGGGTGTGATAAAGGAATGTACTTGCCAATTACTGTTAAATATGTAAGTATTTTTTAAATGTTGTACATAAATCTGCTTGTAGCAGTCACTACTGGACTGAAATTTCACATCACCATCACATAAGGCAACTATATTGACGAGGACATGATACTAAAATTAATTGTAAAAATACCTACCTTCAGTATTTTCTTTGAAGACAGAACAAATCTGGCAGCATTTTCTGAATCAGTATGTAATTCTATAAATGTATACAGGGATAGCTATTTTAATATAACACATGGCTTTTGAGAAAATTCTAATGCACGTGTATGTGGTTTGAAACTTTTAACACCCACCAGCATTCACAACACACACAAACACAAACACACATATACAAAGACACCCATTTTACATATGTTTGTATCACTGTATGTGACCAACCCCTTTAAAGAAACAAAAGAACTTACACAGCCACTTTATATGTGCTTATGGATAGCCATGTACCTGCATCCCAAGTCTGCAGTGTCTGTTCTGGTAAACTATAGACTTCTTAGTACACAGTTTGCCTGCTGTGCTCTCTCAGTGATAAAACACGTTTATAATGGTACATGAATGTGAGCAAAATACTGTTGCAGTAATGTTAGGCTCTCATGTAAGTAACTGAACTGTAGTCCAGTATGTTCAACTTTTTGTCACGGAATTGTTGCTTAAAATACTAAAATAACAATGGGTAGAAAGATTGAAAGGTATTTGTGTACCTGTGTGTATTAAAAGTAAAGATTTCTGTGAAATGAGAAGCTCTTGTAAATAGGACCTTACATTAGGTCATTCAGATGTAGTGTTACCACATTTAGAGTGAATTGAAATAATTTGTAACATATTCAGCAACTTCTTATTTGGGGGACTTCTATCTATGGTAACTCTGAATACTGTTTAGAAGTTCTTGAAGTCTATTGTTTGAAGGGCTTGCAACCTATAACATAGTCTCTGTGCATCTCTCCTTTTACAGAACTGACAACTGTTCAACAAGCCATGTCTGATGTAAATCACGGTTATGAAGATTTGGGAGTTTTACTGAAGGAGAAGATTTCAGAACTAGAAAGTATGCTTTCAAAAATGCAGAATATTCAGGAAGAATCAACTTCAATGATGCAGTGGCTGCAAAAAATGGACAAAACTGCATCAGACTGGGAAGCTGCTCCAACTGATAGTGAAGCGGTTAAAGCCCAAGTTGAGCAACATAAGGTACTTTGTGCCTTCAAAAAAATACTCTTTCTTGCAGTTATTGGGTAAATTCTATTTGAACAACTGATAGCTCAGCCTAGCTTAATGTTGCAGAGAGTATTTAAATGATCTTAGTATGCGTGCTAATCAGGCTTAGAGCAAATCTGGCAAACTATGTCAGTGGAGTGAAAGGAGCACTGTGTCAGAGAGGAGTTGTGCAGGTCAGAAAATAAAAATTTTGGTGGCCAGTTTAAATAGGTGAGGCTATACTGATTATGCAATAAACTTTTTTGATCTCCTTAGTGGTTTAGAGATATATACTGGATTGCTTGTAAGGTCTGAAGGGCTGTATCTATCCAAAAGCTGTTTCTGCAGCTGCTGGTTCACTGATAGTCCACAGACCCCCCCGGTCTCTACAGCTTCAGCGGCTTATGTCTATTCCAAGGCAGTGTTTCTCTTCAGCAGCCATGTCATGCTTGTTAAGTTATATAGCTGCACAACAGTCTCCTCCCTGCTTTTTAATTGATTTGAGAAAACCACTGAATCAGCAGTAAGTTTCTGTCGTGTTTAAGCATTGGAGACGTATGCTTCTCTAGCAATGAAGGACAATATTTACACGTGTAAAGGTTCATCTATAAAGGGAAATGTAATGCATAGGGGAAATTCTTTCCTTGCCTGTGATTGTGGAGAAACAAGGACAGAATTTGATTCAACTGAGGTTCTTCTTTTATATTTGGCGGGTCACCCTTAAAACTTAATCTAAACAGCTACTAACTTACCTCAGACTTGGATAACTTCAGTCCTAAAACTTAGACTAAATGTGGAAGAAAACTAGCTCCTTATTTTTTAACAGAGAATGGGCAAAGCTAACATGACCATCTTACCCCCGGTGTAGTAACAGAAGAGTATTCACAGATAGTTGGAAAACTGAGCCAAGTGCTCAGGCAAGAGTCATCCTTCTGATGCAGTTGGACCTTTTACTAGAAGTTCTAAATCAAGCATAGTTTATTCAGTGTTTTATGTTAGTGGGTGTGGGATATTTAAAATGCAGCTCCATGGGGCAAGCTTTCTTACTTAGAATATTCATGTAAGAGCCCTTTGCCAGGCATATAAGGACTGTTCACTTCTGTCTATAAGAACAGCATGAATTAGGAATTGCTGGGACATGTCAGTCTCCTGCTACGTCTACACTTTAAGCTGTGGTGCTCTTTAAACTATAGTTCCACATGATCTAGAAGAAGCAGTCTATCTGTGATAGCAGGACTTCCATTGAGGTAAATGAGGCCACACCACACTCCTCTCTGTTGGTGCTAGCTGGGTTATTTCTGCTGTGAACTGTACTGTGCATTAGTCAGTTTGCCTTCTATACAAGAATAGATTCCAAGAGTATGTGAATATGATGGGACCTAGTGGATCTTATTTATGTGAATTCTTCTAGTTCTGTCACTGTTCAAGTTAAACAATAATGGTTATTATTAACATAGATTAAATCTGTCAGTTTATCTCTTAAAAAAAAAAAAATTACCAGCAACATATGCCATTACAAAGTGTTTTGAGATTCATAGCAGAAAAATAGTACATAAGTGTTAGATATTTATTGTTTATCTTCATGCTTGGCTTCTCAGTATTATGGACTTTAAACTTTACACTTTACCGTTCTTCTTTAGTCTCTCTTTTTTTTTATCACTTGAATTTGCAGCTTTTTGAAACTGAATTAAAGCAAAGTGCAAATAAAGTGCAGGAACTAAAGGACAAAGTGACAGAGCTGTTGGAGAAGAACCCCGACTCTCCTGAGGCACCCAAGTGGAGACAAATGTTGGATAAAATAGGTACTTCAGTAAAGCTGTATTACAGCTCAGACTGATTTGGAAGTTGTTTTATTATGAGGCTTTTAATGTTAGCAATTATTGGTATTTTTAATGTCTTGTTCCCTCTTACTCCTTAAATTCTGTGGAAATAACTCCCTTTACAAGAGTGTAGGTCTAGAACAATTCCACTGATGTCCATGGGCTTTGAATTTATATCAGTGCAATTGAGAGAGGCTATAGCTTGACTCCCTGTTTCAGAGGGCTTTATCTTTTTCACAGTGTGCAGCTAAAACTTGACTGGTCAGTTACTGCTCCAGATAAATATGTTGTTCTTCTTACAAAATAAATTAAGTTAATTCTAATTACATGTAAAGAACAGTTTGAGTTGTTGGTAATGCTCTTCTGCATGTTTTTTCCCATGCATTAGTGGCTTTTGTCATTTTGTGGTTTTGATGGCTTTCTGCCATTTTCTAAAACTGACTCCGTAAATTTTGTCAAAAAAAATTTGGAAATTACCATATGTGGACAATAGATTTTGAGATACTGTAGTGCATAATTGTCATGAGCTTTTGAAAGTTCTTCTTAGGTTTGTCATATTTTAAATAAAAGGTCAATCTTGCTTCATACTGCTAGGAATTTGTATAGCTACACCAACAGTAGTTTTAAAGATTAGAATTTTTGTGATCTGTCCTGTTTGTAAGTGAAACTCTGAAAAGTTTAAGTAGCAGGTAAGGTCTCCGAGAGAACTTGAGTAGTGTTGAAAGGGAATTAATACAGAATGAGCAGAGTTCAAAGACAGTGAAGTGGCAAAAGAAACTGAGAAAACATGGCTTAAATTCAGGGACAAGGAGAGTTAGCAAAATATCAGAGCTGACTGAGCAAGCACTGATAGTATCACAGAGGGAAGGGAGAAGTTACAAGATCGTTAAGACTCCATGGCTGCATTGGAAGCCACTTGCTACAAGTGGAAGAGACCATAGATTGGCCTACGTGTGAACCTAAGCTCACTCAGCACTTTTGAAATACCTGTGTGCAGAAGTATTCTCATTGCCTGTCATTAGGTACCTGCTTTAGATGTCTAAATGAGGCAAATCTCCACAGGCTCTTAATACAGACATTTGAAAGAGGTGTGCTCCTTCACAGGGCTGTTCAGATTAGCCTAAATTAGGGCTTCTGCTCAGCCTTGGAAAGGTATCTGTTTCTTTTTACGGAATAAGCAGGAAGATTTGTATCTAAAGCAGGCACCTAAGTTATAATTGAGTACAGCCTTTTGGCTTTTACATCATTTGAGGCTGAAGCCTGAACTTGGTGGTATTTCATTTAGTAATACTCTAATCCAATTTTATTACGTGTTGTATATTCATTGCTCTAAAAATTCCGCACATGGCTGTGCTAAACTGCAGACCTTCATCCAAGTGTAAATGGATCTGACTGTTAAAAGATGTATTTGCTGAGTCACTGCAATAAGGCATCTGGAGTTAATCAGCAAGAAGCCTTATGAGAAAGCTCTGTTTATGATTCATATATAGCCTGCTGTCTGACAGCCAATCTGCTAGAAGGTGCATGCAATATGTTAACATTATCATTGTTAGATTCCAAATGGAAAGAGCTCAATCAAGTTACATCTGAGAGACAACAAAAACTGGAGGAGTCCTCAAATTACCTGACCCAGTTCCAGACAGCAGAAGCTCAGCTAAAGCACTGGCTTGTAGAAAAGGAGCTAATGGTCAGCGTGCTGGGACCACTGTCAATTGATCCTAACATGCTGAGTACACAAAAGCAACAGGTTCAGGTGAGTAGTGCCAACATGCGTTACTGATTTAAGTTTCCTCTGCTTTTTTGCTATTAGCAAAGTTGTATTTTGCATCTAAATAGAGTACAGCACAGTTAGTATGAGCCATTTACATTTGTTTATCAGCAAGTATCAGCTTAAGTCATACTTGACTACATAATTACAAGAAGAAATTACAAGACTGAAAAGAGATCAGAACAGCTAAAGAAAAAAAACGTTGAGGAGATACTGATCCTCTGATACATTCTTTTGTTTGACCATGGGTAACTCTGTAGTCAAATGAAAATGTTCCTTTAAAGTTTTATTAATTTGAGTGTATATGTAACATTTTATGGTCAGTCCTCATATAAAGTCTATGCTGTAGAACTAGCTTTTTGAGATTTTATTCACTTGACTGTGCCAGTAGATAATAAAAATATGAAGGCAAGTGAAATGCTTTACTGTGAATAGATACAGGGCCAAGAGTGTGAAAGACAGAAGAAATAGTGAAAAAGTGGAGTAGTTTACCTACAGAATAGAGCAAACTGCAGGCAAAAGAAATAAAAGTTAAATCAAGGTTGCAGAAATGAGAAATTTTAATTTCAAACATTTCTATTGCTGCCAGTTATTTTAAACTGTGATGAGAAATAACTTTTTTATTTTGCAAAAATATTATTAAAGCTGGCATATCAATATTCATTAAAACTAAGTGTTTAAAACATGAGCTATGTTCTAATACTAAGTGAAAATGACTTAATATTGTTTTCTAAGTGCTTCAAAAATCTAGACAGCTGGCATAAGACTATCATGTATCACATAACAGTCCTTAAAAGTTAAACCCAATTGACTTAAAAAGAAAGGGTTTGGAATGCTCCGTAAAGTAAAACCATGATATCTGTCCCTTCTTGTGCAAGCACTGTGACTTACTGTCAAAAAAAAAAAAAAAACAAAACTGGGAACCAGTGATATAAACTATAAAGGTCTTACAGTACACATTCAGTCATTTTGTGAATTATCCAAATATTCTCTGTGCTATAATAATACATTGCAATATTATGTGAGAATACACCTTCTTTGAAGTTCTATCTTAAGACAAATATGGAAACTGTCTAGGAAAGAAGACACTGCTTGAAACTAAACAGTGATTATTTTACTTGGTGCTGTTACTTAATTACTGTAGTATTAACAGATTTCATTGTTTACTTGTATCTGCTGATTGAATTTCCATTAGATGATGTGTAAATGAACCTCATTTTTGCTGGTTCTTTGATGTAAATGCTTGGAAACAACACAGTTTATGTGTAGAAGATGCAACTGTTTCACTGGCTTTTAAACTTGGAGATTGGTTACTCAGTAAGAGAACTTAGCTACAACAAAGTCTACTTTGCTTTTGTCAGAAGCACTTTGCTTCTTTTTTTCATGAGGTAAATGCTTTTTAAAATTTCCTTTCTTCCCAGATTCTGCTCAAAGAGTTTGACACCAGAAAGCCACAATACGAGCAGTTAACTATGGCTGGTGAAGGGATTCTGATGAGACCTGGTGAACACCCACCCTCCCATGAAATTGTAAAAGAGCAACTGGCAGCTGTGGCACAAAAATGGGACAGTCTAACTGGCCAGCTGAGGAACAGATGTGACCGAATTGACCAAGCCATTGTGAAAAGCACAGAGTATCAAAGTCTACTCAGAAGTCTATCTGATAAACTAAGTGCATGGGATAGTAAACTAAGCAGCAGCCAGGCTGTGAGTACACAACCTGATGCTGTGAAACAACAACTGGAAATTGCTAGAGAAATGAAGGAGGAAATAGAACAGGAAACGAAGAATATAAATGCAGCTCAAGCTCTTTGTGAAGAGCTGTCAGTACTGGTTGGAGAAGAGTATTTGAAAGCAGAACTTACGAGACAATTAGATGGCATCTTAAAATTGTTTAAGGATATTGAGCAAAAAGCAGGTTAGTATTTATTTAAAGAAAAACAGTAACTAAGGCATAAAGTAAAGCATCATAGTCTCTTTTGTCTTTATTGAGATGTTGAATGAGCTGAGTCTAATGCCAGTTCTCTATCCAGTCCAACCCCCAGGCAGTTGTACATTAGAATTTAGGAGAGTGCCCATACCTTGAAAAGGTAAAAACAATACTTGGGATCTCTAGTAAGTAGTTTAGGAGAGAATCTGAAGCACTGTAGCAGGGCTGCTTTTCTCATCTTTTGCTTCAGGTGCATCTTCACTGAATTAGAATACCAAAAGAGGAATACTGTTCATTGAGCTACCTAACTGCATAGGTGCAGAGTGTAAGCCAAAATTGTAATTTTTAGGCAAGCACCAGCTAAAGGCTTGGTGAAACACAGTGGAAATTGCATAAAACTGCCTGTGACAGAAGGGGGCTGGTAGTCTGCAGCCTTCCCTTACCCTGTGAACAACAGAACTGAGCAAGTAATATACTGCAAGCAGTATCATACTTTGTTCTCCCTAACAGCCTCAGTTATAACTTTTTAATTTCTTTGGGTCATGAGGAACTTTAAAAGGTCTCCCTAAGAACACATATTGCCTGCAGGCCACGAGTTAGACATTATTAGGCTAGATGACTTAATATTCCCTGTGCTTATATTTCATAACACCATGAAACATGACTGTGTTTTTTTACCCCTGAAATCTGCCTGAATGAGATTCATGTAGACACAGATTGGCTAAGCTCACCTCATTTGATTCATGTCCAAATGCCTTCACTGCTCTGCTGTAGTACAGGCACAAGTCTGTCCCTTGAAAGAAGCTTGGTTGATTTGGTTGTCTTCCAGTCGAACACAACATACTAAGGACCAGCTTTCCTTACATTAATGATCATTCATAATAGAATCAATATTAATTATTATTTTTTCACTGAATACTAGCAGGTTCTGATAATGAACCTCTGTGCTGTCTTCTCTTTTGTAGATAACCATGTTCAGCAGCTTCAATCGGCATATGCCACTTCTCATCAGTTCCAGCAAATGTCTAAGGACTTTCAAGCCTGGCTAGGCAAAAAGAAAGAAGAGCTGAACCAGGCTCATCCTATATCAGCCAAACTTGATGCCTTGCAATCACTAATTGAAGAACAGAAAGATTTTAAGAAGACCATGACCGATCAGATTTGTTCATATGAAAGAATTGTTGCAGAAGGAGAAAGTATCTTACAGAAGACTCAAGGAGCTGACAAGGCAGCATTACAATCCCAAATTGCCGCACTCAGAAGTAACTGGGATGAAATGAATAAGCAGGTAAAAGAAAGGCAAGATAAATTAACAGATTGTCTGGAGAAAGCCCTCAAGTACAAGCAGCATGTAGAAAATCTGCAGCCATGGATAGAGAAGTGCCAAAGCAACCTGTGTGAATTAAAAGTTGGCATAAACCCCGTTGAAATAGAGAATTCTGTTGTTCAGGTGAGGGCCTGGCAGAAAGACCTGGATAAACACCATGGGATGGTGGAGCTGTTAAATAATACTGCTGAGAGTTTGCTCAGTGCAAGTCAAACAGATAAAGAAATTGTTCAAGAAGAAACTAAGGTGTTGAATCAGAAAGTGTATGTGGTCACAGAACAATTACATAAGAAGAGAGAGTGTTTGGAGAATATGGCACAAAGGCTGAAACAGTTTCAGGAATCATCCAGGGAAACCGAAAGACAGCTTAAAAGTGCCAGAGAGCATCTGGAAGCTCATGACTCACTTGGACCTCAGTCATTCAGTAACAAACACCTGACGATGATGCAGGCCCAGCAGAAAGCTTTGCAGGCTTTAAGGCCTCATGTTGATTTAGCAAAAAAGCTTGCCCAAGACCTGGTGATAGAAGCTTCTGATTCAGCAGGTGTTTCTGACCTTTTGCTCCAAGCTGAATCTTTGGAGCGAGAATACACTGCAGTGAACCAGCAGGTTGAAGATAGGTGCTCATTCTTAGAGACAAAACTTCAGGGAATCGGCCATTTCCAAAACAGCATCCGAGAGATGTTCTCTCAGTTTGCAGAGTTTGACGATGAACTTGATAGCATGGCTCCAGTGGGGAGAGATCTCAAGGTACTGCAATCACAGAGAGAGGACATAAAAAGTTTCCTGAAAAAGCTGGAGGATCTTATAATGAATAATGAAAATGCTAACAAAAACTGTAAAATTATGCTAGCCACAGAAGCTGAAGCTTCTCCTGATCTTGTTGGTATAAAAAGAGACTTGGAAGCTTTAAATAAACAGTGCAACAAGCTACTAGACAGAGCAAAAGCCAGGGAAGATCAAGTGGAGGGTACTTTTAGCCGTGTTGAGGACTTTTACAGTAAGCTAAAAGAATTTTCCAGTCTGCTTGGGAGAGCCGAGGAACATGAAGAGTCACAAGGTCCTGTTGGAATGGAAACAGAGACTATTAATCAGCAGCTGAATACGTTCAAGGTAGGAAGATTTCTTTCTTATTACTATAAAGTATTTTACCACAATGCAATTTTATTAAATATTGTGACAGGGATTGGTTAAGTGCAGACCTTGGAGGAGTCTTGTTTCACAGCAGTCAGTTCTATCTGTATGTTCTTTATCTGTTTTAAATGGGGTATCTTCTCATGCTCCAGAGAAGCCTTCCTTTGCTATGGCTTGGCAGACATTGGTAACTTTGCATCCCAGCTCTCAGTTCCTGCACCCCAGTTCCCTCTTCGCCTCTCTTCACTATCTTGTTTCCTTATGTGATCCGTGTACCTTTTCTGTTTTTGAGAACTGCGTTTTGTATCTATTCTGATGTCTATGTATTGCACAAACTTTCTTCTTCACTGTGGTGTGAGTTTTAGACTCCAGTGTTCACATACCAGCTCATAATTCACTTTGCTCATCTGAGTAGTTCAGGTGTTTTCACATGGGTATAGGCTTCAGCATATGTAGGTTTAAGACCTTATGTTTTGCTGTTTTCTGTTCTGATACACTGGGCAGGTTTACCTCACTGAATCCCACCCTTACCTAGAAACATCCTAGTAAGAAGAAATCAAGTAAAATAAGACCCCTTTTATATTGGGAGTTTACTGTAGCATCCTTATCCAAAATGCCCTTTGGAGCTTCTGTAGGTAGCTTTTTAAAGATGCCAGTTAGCAATCCTTGTGCAGCTCAAAAAAATATATTGCAGTGATAGAGGGTGTTAATTGTGCTTTGGTGCTGAAATGAAGTACAGATACTGGCTTGGTTTAGGTTACAATAAATTAATTTCCAGTGCTTGCTGGAAAGATTTATAAATCCTACAGATGTAAGCAGTGTTCAAAAAGACATCATAAATCTCCTAATGGCTATATAGTAGCACTGGATATTCTGTGCTGGTTTGGTATCATTTCAGTCTAATATTGATTCAAATGTTTGTATGACTTGTACGTTAGTTGCAGTTAATCACAAAAACAAACCTTCATAACAGGATTTGATAAACCATGCTGTTAAAAAGATGACCTTGGAAAGAAGTCATTACATGCTTGGCCCAACAGAGGGTGCATTTTGCTTGTTTGAACTAAACGGTATTAGAAAGGAAAACTAAACCTGAAAACTTTAATCTGGGAATTTTGGATGCACGTTACTGTGAGTTTTGATTATCTTTCAGAAGGCATAAATAGAGACAAAAATCTTGAACAGTTACATTATGAGGAGATTCCATTAGACTGGGAGGATTAAAACTGTATGCCAGTCTGTCCTAACAAGTCAATCTCAATTTAAAAGAGAAACAAATAGCTTTTCTTGGTATATGGCTAGTAAAACACTTTGGATATCAGAAAATAGGAAAAGCTCCTGCTGTGATTGCTCTTGCTTACGCTGACTGTACAGGATTTCAGTTGTAGCCAATTTGTCATCTCTGACTTTACCACATTTCTTGCATTTTCAAACATTAGGTGCAGCTTCAGGTCTTTGTTACTATATATATATATATTTTTATATATATATATATTTTTTTTTTTTTTTGGCTACAAAGAACAGTGTTTTTAGGGGGAAGCAGCCTGATGAGCAGACAGTAGAAGAATACAATTCCCTGTGTGTTGTCTTAGTGTTGTACTTCATCAGGGCAGTGGACAAGACACAGCAATCGTACAATTCAGGAGTGAGAGCCTCCTCTGGTCTGTGCAGACCTGTGGGGAGATAAATGTCCCTGCAACCGAAGAGCTTGTATGGTAAAAAGACCAAAAAACCTGAAGAGGCATAAAGGAGAATAGTGATAGCAGCATGTTTATTCTATCCAGAAGCCTACTCCAGAATTGTGTTTATATTAGATATTTATAAGCTTAGAAATGTGCTTTGCTCAAAGCAACTATTTTAGGCCATGCTTTTGCTTACGAGTGAAAACACAATGCCATTAAACAGGAGGTGAAAAATGATGAAAAGGTGCAGTTGTTTAGACAAGTGAAAAGCAAATGCAGGAATAAAGAAGCAGAGTGGGGAGCCTTTGCAGAAAGAAAATAGGAAGACCAGAATGTGAAATTTTACAAGGTGGGGGTGGTAGGCAGCAAAGGGATGCTGGTAGCAGGAGGGTCAGGATCAACAATTACTCTCCTAATATTCAGTGTGAGTGCCACTGAGGCACAGCAAAATTACAGTAGGTAATGTACCTGTTCATACTTTTTACCCTTCCAGAGGGCAGTTTTACCTGAGGCAGCAAACTGTAAGGAGACTGGCTTCCACAAATCTTTCTCTACTCTCAGTGTATTTGCACGTACGCAAACACACACAACCTGAAAATGTGGCTGTGGCCACAAAACCACAGTCTAGCTCCTTATGACTTAAGTTTCTGTGGTCAAGTACAATCAAATTCTGTTCCTCAAGAGTAAAGCAAAAGAGTTGTTCTCTGGTGGATAGATTTATTCACGTGAAATCTTCACTCTCTTCAGGGAAGGATCTCGTGTAATGGACCAGAAATGGTTCTTGTGGTTTGCCCAATTGTTATGTACAAAGAGTTAGAGCTTTGTGCATCTTCTTGGCATGACATTAAAATGCATAGTTATTTAAAACAAACAAACAAACAGGCTTTGAGTTTTATTTTTATATATATATACATATACAAACTTGTTTTATTTATATTCCAGCTTTGTAATCCAGTCAGTATATAGTGTTAAATTGACAGTACTTATTTTCAGTGTTAAACTATATTTATTTACAATGCAGATATAAAATTTGCTTTCTGTAAATGAAAATCTCCAGTGGAGTTCAGTTGAAAGTAGAACCATGACTCTTACTTCACAAAGTGCGTGCTCCAGGAAGAGTATAATCAAACGAAGATTTGCCTCAATTAATACAAAACACACAAAATTAATTACTAATTAACTCAGCCTTGTTAGACTTCTTTTTTCCCCAAAGTCTGTATGCAATGCAGATTTGTACTAAAAGGAAATTTCAGTAAATTAGGTCTGTTGAGGTACATCGAGTCTGCCGCCATTCTTCAAAAGCAAGACACAGAAGAATTGTGCAAAAGGGCCGAACCGAATGCCCTGAGTTTGGGTAGCCACACAGTGCTAGGATGTTTGCGGTAGCAGGAGTATTTGCAGCTAGTTTCTCTCCAAAATAGAGAAAGAAAAAAACCAGAAGTTGGATTATTTTACTTCTTGAAACCTTTGCACAATTCTTTGTACTGCCATTAAAAGGCATTCTTCTTAGTAAAAATGACATGGCACTGTTACAGCTTTCATCAGGATATGGTTCATTTGATTTTTGCTTTTATTTTTGGAACAAAATAGATGTCGTCGCTAGAGGTTGCCTTCTAATTGGATTTTATGGGAATTTTTACCTAGCCTAAGTATTCCTGCCAATGAGCTTGAACTAAGATTTTAATTGGCTTATGTTATAGAATCATAGAATCGTTTAGGTTGGAAAAGACCATCAAGTCCAACCGTTAACCTAGTACTGCCAAGTGCACCACTAAACCTGTCCCTTAAGTGCCACATCTACACGTCTTCTGTTAGTTGTGTAGAGGGTGTCTGTCCTCTGATTTTCATTTTGAAGGCAGATAATGTTGAAAGAATAATCAGAGGTTTCTCTTTATGCTCGATAAGAAACTAAAAGTGTTACATTTCCCACGCACTGGTTTACAAACCCTGGAATAAGATACTAACCTTCCTTGGGATTTACAACAGTTAGGGTCTGTGTTGAAAAGCAAAGGTAAAATAAGCAACTGTTTAAACTTTTTGTAAGTATTGCATTTGAAAGTGACTGATGTGTCATATGAAAGTCTTCGGTAGATATAGTGAAAAATGGTAAAATATTTTAAAAATGTTAATGAAGTCATTTTGCTGTTGAACAAACACAGACCAATTTCAGTCATATACTTCCCCTATAAAATGATGCGTCACTCTTTGAATTCAGTAAGGATCTGTTTGTGGGTGTTTTGGGTGAGAATAACCACGGATGACAGGACCTCAAGAAATGCTTTGCTCATCTTTACCATTATGGTCTATACTCTCAACTAGAGAATCCAGAGGTGAGTATCTTCTTGGCATAATTTTAATGTTATGTCTGCTCACCAGAGAGGAGGAAGGTAGAATTTGCCTCGCATGACTGTAGTATTTTGATATGTAGCTGGCTGTATATCAAGTAAATCAATAAACAAGAAGTGTTTAGTGTGTTTGTATTTCTTGCATACAGAATTTCTTGCTTGCTATACATGTATTACTTGCATATTTCTTGCTCGCTGCAGAAAGCTCCAGCTGACTGTAGTTAATGCTCTGTGTTAAGTTTTAGCACTAAGTGCCATATGCTGTCCTTAAATTGAGGTCTGAATTGTCACTATAACTGATGGCTGCTGTCACACAAGCAGCGCAGATCTCTGGTCATTACGGGTATGGTTTCTGCTGGAGCAGAGCAGCTTGGTCATGACAGCTTCTCCTGCACTGTTGGCGAGACCTGTGAGCCTCCCAGCCCTTCAGCTACGTGATGATGAGCTAGAAGCGTAGGTGCGAAGTGTTGAACAGTATTTAAAAGACATAAATGTCCAAAACCTGACTCTTTGTCCTGTTAGGCTGTTCTTGTGCCGCTCTAAGTCCCATTAAAAAAGTCTTCCAAATATAGATACTTTTTTCCAACATTTTAATGTTTCCTTTGGTGAGAGCGAGGTTGGCGCTGCCACGATCCTTGGGCAGCAGTTGCCCTGGCAGACAACCCTACCCTCAACTGTTGCCTCAGAGCCAGGACTGAAGAGAATCAAGACTGGACGGCAGGTCGCCTTGCGCGTCAAATGGAGTAATGTGTAACTATTCCAAGACCTAATCACTTGAGACGAGTTTGGCGGCTTTTTTTTTTTCCTAAATAATACACAGGTGAATGTAACTTTCTTGCGGAAGTGTCCGTTTAAATGACGGCTTTATCGGACGGGGGTGCTCGGGTGCGGACAGTGGTTAAAAGCAGTGCCTGCGTCACCACAATTTCTCTCAGGAAGGCGAGCCGGCCGGAGCGGTGTCGGCTCACCTCACCGAACCGCGCCCTGCCTTGCCCTCTGTGTCGGGGGCAGTCCCGGCTGAGGGAGCAGCCTGCCGCCTCCCTCCTGCCTCAGCCGGCTCCTCCAGCGCTAACGAGCGGGCTGAGGCGTGCGTGATGTCACCGCCAGGCGGGCGGCGAGGCCTCCCGCCGCCGCCGCCCAGCCCGCCGCCTGCCTGCGGCGCATGGCAGAACGATGAGGGAGAAGTGAAGGCGCGGGCGACTGAGGAGATAAGGAGGCGGCGGCGGGGGGGGGAAAGCCCCTAGAGCGGCGCTGCGGGAGCGGGTGGGCCGGTAGCAGATGTTGCCGGCAGAGCGAAACGGGGCGTTTCTTGTAGCTCGGCGCTGGGAGAGCGGGGCGAGCCGGAGAGCTGGACTGCTTCGCCGGGCGGGCGGTCGCTGAGGGGAGGGGGGTTTCCCTCCCTCGTCTCCTTCCCAGCTGCGCTTCAGAAATGAGGAGGAAAGAGCGAGGACGGGCCCGCTAGCTGCAGCTTGTGGTCGGAACCTGCCGAATATAAACCTGCCGTGCCTTCGGGGCGACATGTCGCACTTGCCTTAAACAGCTCTCCGGGATGGTATTGGGAGTATCGGTCTAGAACGTTTGTTTTTCGTACCGGCTGCTCGAAGGACGTGTTGGCTTGGCTGCGAGAAAGTGATGTTTTCCTGTGGGACTCGTGGAGGCACCACGGAAGAGCCTGATACAAGAAGAGGATAAGCTGCCTTTCGGATCAAGGTTATTTATAGCTAATGCCAAAAAAGTAAAGGGCTGGTTTATTATTCTTACTGTTCTGGATTTAAACACCCCCCCCCCAAGATTTTCTCCGTGCCTTGGTCTGGACCGTACACAGCCACTGTGGATTCTGTGTTTTTAAGCTGCCACACCATGTTTTATTTATAAAGGAGATGGGACTCTGCAAACCAGTTAAATGGATTGCAGTTAAGCCGTCACCTACAGAAGATAATGTGCTGCCTTCTGTAACGCTTGTTCATTTGGAAGGCTTATTCGGGAGATTTCAGATACAGATTCTGACCTGGAAAAATAAATGAAGCCTTCCATGGAGTGTTTGAAATATTTGAGCCACTGCTGGGTTTTGCTATGCTTTGTTTTTCTGTGACATTGGAAGATTTCTGTTACTTTCTTACTGAAGCACTTTGTATTTGCGGGGGGTGGGGGGGGGACAGGGAGGAGACACCTCACATCCAGGTAAAGTTGCGTTTAAACTGATGCACTGATTATGAATGACCTCAGCCACCTCATAAGTTATGATATGTATTTTGTATCTATGCATCTGATGCTAAGGGCAAGTTTACTATAATTCTTCAGAGTGTTAGTGTTTTTTTAATGGTTCCCCTGTATCCATGAAAAAGGAGATATAGCGGTATACTTGTGCAAATACTTTCAGGATGGGGAAGCCTCTTAGCAGGCCAGACTGTCTACGTCAGAATCCTCCGTGTGTTGGCAAAGGGGAAGAAGATGAAGATTTAAATATTGAGGACTGCTACGTTCCCCAGAGGTCCATCTATGATACTGTGCGGCTGAATGAACAGATTGATTCGGGCTCCAAGGGCAGCCTCTCCTCAAGGCATTTCACGGACCGGACCTTACCCTACAGTCACAGAACACTGGACATCAGCACTTTGTGCTCCAATGGTGCCCTTACTTCTTCCAGTGTTTTTGAGCTCCGAAGCCGTGAAGCTAACAAGTTAGATGAAAAAATGATCTTTGATGCTCTCAAACTGAACAGCGATATAATTCGGACAGCTGGATTACCCAAAGCGAAGTCTCACGCAGAAAAGAAGGAGCATAGGCGATCATGGAGAATGTTTGTTCCACCCAACTTTTCAGATTATACAAATAAAAGTGAAAGCTCCTTTAACGAAACTGCTGATATCTCAGATACAGCTAGATTGGGCAAATGCAAATGGGGTACGAATTCTCTTACCTCAGAAGAGGATGATTCTGGTTTATGTAGCCCTCCAACAGAAAGGGAAGAAAAACAAGATACACTGTTAGCAGAGGAGCAAACTCAAATACAAAGTTTATCTTCTGCAGAAGATATCCATGCAGTAGGTCAGTTCAGACCATATTTCCCAGCAATTTGCAGAGAGCAGCAAACCCCACTGCTTGCAAGCAGTAGTGTCCCTGTCAAAGAAATCTGCCGATTGGCTTTGCATGACATTTTACCCTCCGGAGAAGTGAAACAAAGCAATGCACAGACATGTGAGACTGATCAGGAAGAGATTGGGGGAAAATACTCTCACTTACAGGGTTTCAAAGAGAAAACTCTGTCACATGAAGATTCTTTTCAAGGTGATGGAAGAAGTATTTCCCTCGACAAAAATGAAGTGGAAAATGCGTATGAAGTTCATGAAGAAATTAAAACACGAGTCACAACAGTAGAGGAGGATTATGTGGATGATGAACCTCCTCATGTAGATGTTTATTACACAAATGTTGCTGTAAATACTCGTGACTTGGATGTAGCAAAATATGAGATTTTATCTGATACAGGGGAATCCAGTATAGCACGTACAGGCTCGAATGAAATGGCATTTTCTGTTCAACAGCTTGAATTAGATAGTACTGTAAACTGTCCAAAAGCTTTCCCAGGGAGAAGTAAAGGCAATATCTGGACTACTGGAATCCAAGACACCTTGGATAGAGTCTGCAATGGCCTATTGTCTAACAAGGTAATTTAAACAAACCCACGTAGATTTGTGCAATAGTTGTAATGCAGCCTTAAAGATATTTGCTTAAAGCCTTCTTTAAGTTTCGTTGCTGTTGCAAAAATGTAAAATTTTTTATTAATTCAGCAGATGTGGTAATCAGTATCATTTGCACAGCACACATGGGGTGTCCAAAATAAGTGAGATGGTCAGCATAGAAAATGAATTGGAGGCAAATTCTGAGAGGGATGATGACTTCCAGCTGTGTGGGGCAGGGTTATTTATTGCCCAGCTGGTGCCTGTTACACCCGATGCGGAGCGCCTCATCCTGCACCAGTGTTGGTGCTCAGTGTTTGTACAGAGTGTGGTTCCAGGCGATGCCATTCAAGGGCAGCTACAGCACGTGTTCAGCCTGAGCAGCCTTACTCATCAAGGTATAAGTGACAGTATCAGATCGTTGTGGTTTCCACAGCAGGCAGATTAAAGGCTTGCCGCCTCTTCTGAAAGCTGCCTTTTGCATTTGCGTGCCAGAAAGCAGATCTGACATTACGGTAGTATTTTACAAGTGCAGGATCTTGCAGTGCTTTGCGAGTGGTGGATGAGGTAAGAGAGTAAGAAGTGAAGCTTTGTAATAAGGAAAGGGTGTTTGTTGGGTCTGTAATTTTTTTCTTCCCACTCTGGTTGAAATCCGAGATACTTCAAGCTTTGTTGCTAAGTTGTTCTGGTAAACTTTGGCCTCAGCAATAATTGTAATTTATTTTAAGCTTCTCTCCGCAAAGAATGTGTGTGTTTTTAAAGGGCAGATTATGGACATCAGTCCTCTCTGTGGTAGGATGTTGTTCTCAAAAGATGAGGCTTTATGGCACATAAAAGAAGAATTTGTTACTGATTATGTGTGGAAATATTATTCTGCCTCCTCGCTACCCTACAGTCAAGAAAAACACAAGTGTTTTCCTTTTTCTGGGAGCAGCCAGCTGGTTGCACACTCTCAGTTTTCATGTAACCACAGTCTTACAGTATTCAGGTTTTTCTGTCCGCAGTAACAAAAATCTTAGGGGTGCTTAATTTATTTTACCCCTCATGTTTTTTGTAGTTGCTTTAGCTTCTAGATTGACTTGTCAAGCTGGTGGAAGCGTGCTCAGCCACTTGAGGTCTGCTGCTTTAAAAGCAATCACTTGCTAGACTGTGTTTGGTGCAAAAGGGGAGAGTCACTGGTGTGTTCAAAGTGATCCCTGCTTTTCAGCACACTGAGAAAGGTTGCTTTGAATGCACTAAGTGTACACCAAAACTGTTACTGAATGCTGCTATAGAAATAGAAGGATTTAGGGTCAAAAGTTGAGCATTCTTTAGCATTGTTTATTCATTGGTTATTTTTCACTGGCCTGTGTAATTAATTCAGGGTCTTCAGGCCATTTTCTGATCTCATTGACACTGGTGTCAGTGCAGCCTAATGGAGCTGAATACAAATGGAGATTACATTGCTGTTGCTAATGTTAATAATCTGGCTCTCAAAAAGTTTAAATACCTGAAAGAGTAAAATAAAGCAAACAGAAAACTGCTCAAACTGCTGTTTGGGTACGGTCAAAGCCCTGGCAATTTGCAAGAATATTCCTCTGAATGAAAACCTATTCTCCCGGGCATCCACTGGGATACTGTTTCAGCAGCATCTGTAGTGCCTTCTCCTCGCTTGTTACCATTCTGTTCTCCTAAAAACTACCTTAAAATATCTTTTCCTTCACTGCTTCTTTAACTTAAAACTTTTGCTTTTGTCCTAATTTGGAAAAAAATGCCCAGTTGTCTCTCTGTGTGTTTATTTGAGGACAACCTAACAATCCTTTTGGCCGTTTTCTTGGTAGATTTTGTAGATCGATAATTAAGCAGAGAGATAAGTTTCTCTGGTCTTGAATTTTTTCCTCTATTAGAAGTTCTTTCTTTTTTCCTACACCCCCCCCCCCATCTTTCCCCCCTTCTCTCTCTCTCCCTTTCCTTCCTGTCTAAAACTACTCGTGGAAATGTAGATCATTTTCCCTCTATGGTATATTGCATTTAGACTGTTTAGATTGAGTCTATTCTGTTTAGATTTTTTAAAATTTTTTTAGGAAGGTGCTGATGAGAAATGGTTTCCTTTCTTCTAGACACCAATTTTTCAGCCATTTTTTTGTTGCATACTGTGATGTAAACACAAATGTAATTTATGTCAGAAGATACAATGTTTCATGTGTGTCTGGGATTTCACCTGCAGGTATTTCAAAAAGAAGAAATTGAACCCCTGCAAGTAAAACAACAGGAGGTAAATTGGTTGGGTCAAGGCCTTATTCAAAGTGCTGCTAAAAGTACCAACATAGAAAATCTTGAACATGACCTTGAAGATGTCAACACACGATGGAAGACTCTTAATAAGAAGGTTATTATTTTGTATACTATTCTGCTTTGGTTGTGTTTTGCTTTTTGATTATTTGCTTGCTGATGTCTTTCAAAATACAGGAAATTAAATATTCCCTAAGAATGTGAATTATATTACTTTACACAATCACTTTGTTGGTAATTCTGAGGATAAGATTTATATCGCTAGTAGCCAGAGGTATTACTGTCATTTATAAGGTTTTGTCAAGCTTTCTGTAGGTCTGTCCTGGATTTTTATTCAGGAAAGACTCCTCTAGGACTATGTGTTGCTTCCTGCTTAAGCAGAGCAGGTGAGTTTGTTAACTCACTCAAAGAGGTTGGAGTTGTGACACATCCATGGGAAAGGTAGCTATGTCATTTGTAGCCAGCCACTTTCAAGTAGTTCCTCAGTCTTTGTTCACACTTTTTTTCACTCTGTTGTATTCATTCACATACACTGTTGTACCTGCACAGTGCACAGAGCAGTGATACATCTCAGTTTTGTGTGACTAGTGGCACGTTTCCTTTGTAGCACCTTAAGGATTGTATTGCTTGAGATGTTGGAAGGTGCTACTGCTTTGGAAAACTGTCTGTAGATGTTTTTCTATGCTTTTGAAGACTCCTCTTCCAGCAGTAGCTGGTGTTGGAAAATGGAAAGGGTGAGAAGTAGAAACAGCGCTCATTTTGCTCTGCTCTGTGTTCTTGGAGGAGTGATGCAGCAGAACGACAGGCACCTGTGGTTCACCTATTTGCATTCTCCTTTCCTATTTCTTTTTCCCTTTGAAGGGATTATTGCCCCTTATTAAGGGGCTACTTTGGGTTCCTGGCATGGTCTTCCTGTAAGGAAAATAAAGACCATCTGAAACACAAGCATCCTGTCAGTATACTTCATAATACTGTAGCTATATAAAACAGGAGTATCTGTTGTAAGAAACTACTAGAGCAGTCTGATTTACTGGGAGTCAACCTCTTTGTTGGATGTCTGTAGCTCCAAGACATCAATGCTAAATTGTGCCATAGTGCTTTTATGAATAGCTATGAAAATGAGAGTATTTGTTAGTGATATTGCCAGATGTCCTACAGATTTTGGCTACTTATTTCACAGAAATAAAAAGAAAAGGTGAGTACAGTTTGATCCTCTACTTTTTTCAGGTTGCCCAGCGTGCTGCGCAATTGCAGGAGGCCCTCCTTCACTGTGGGAGATTTCAGGATGCTCTTGAATCTCTGCTTAGCTGGCTCATTGATACAGAAGACCTTGTGGCTAATCAGAAACCACCATCTGCTGAATTTAAAGTTGTGAAGGCCCAAATACAAGAACAGAAAGTAGGTGAAATGCGTTCAGAATACCTCTCCTTCCACTGGATGAATGAGAATAAATTCCCAGTCTTTGGCAAAGCATAAAATCTGTTCAAGTGTTTATGTTACATTGAAGTGTGCTGAGGTGTTTAAAGCAGCCATCTGTTCGATACTCAAGAATCTGTCCAGGGTTGGGAGAAGTGCTTTTCTTCTGGGATATAAGACAGAGTAACGCTGTGCTATCTGAGCTCTGGTTAGAATTATTAACAGTATCTGGAAGGGATTGTTAAAGGTCCATTGGAAAAAGAGAAAGCATAAAATCCAGTGTCTGGCCATTTGCAAAGTAGGAAATAAAAACTGGTAAATTTTCATTGTAATAATTCCAAGGTAGTATTGCAGATTATGGACTTAAATACTTGGCTCTTGATCCTGATTGTGATCTGATTGTTGTTGGTAATTAGTTGGAATGCTGTTGGGAATTGGCCTGTGCTAATGTAGAAGTGTTGTCAGTGTTGTCAACTTTTGCAAATTTTCATAATGGTTATAGAAAAAAGGACCATAATGTATCTCATGAAACATACAGTCCGTGCAGTTGGACTGTGCGGCTCACTGCCACCCAGAGATTTATTATAAAGTTATGGTCAATACGGGTTGTCATGTTGGGGTATCTGCAGAGATGAAATGTTAATGTTTCCAAGGGCAACTAGAGAATGGAGGAAGGGAGGATTTTAGACAGAGGTGGGTCTTCATGGAGAAATTAATTTACTGGACTAGATCAGTGAACTTGATTGTATCTCAAACAAGTGATGAGCCTATTATACAACAGCTTTTTATATCTATTTTCCTATCTCTAATATATATCAGAATTATCTTTGTGTTGTCAAATCTAGAAGGGCATGCAGCTTTGTCAAAAATGTTCCTATAAAATGTATTGGATACTCTAAACAGCTTGTTTCCCTCAATGGTACTAAAAAGAACTTTTTCCTCTGTATGTTCAGTCTTTGGCCTGCCACACATCTTTACCCGATAGAAACCAAGGCGTGCATTTGGGCTTGCTGAAACTGTGCTGTTCATACCAAAACAATCGAGAAACTAAAAAGGGTGGCAGGGGGGGGGGGGGGGGGGGGGTGTCTCTTTGATTAGCATTATTCACGCTTTCATCACAATATAGGCATTGCTTTTTCTTTTTTTTCCTTTAACACACTTTCAAGAACTCTTAGCTCCTTCTGGTTTTAGACTTGTGTTATTACAACGTTTCTTAATAACCTGGTGCCTGATTGCTTTCTTGTAGCTTCTCCAGAGGTTGCTGGATGACCGCAAGCCTACCGTTGAGGTAATCAAGCGTGAAGGGGAGAAAATTGCAGAGTCAGCAGAACCTGCTGATAGAGTGAAAATCTTGAAACAGTTGAGTTTCCTGGATAGTCGATGGAGTGCATTGCTCAGTAAAGCTGAAACAAGGTATTTGAAATTCTTTCATGGATTTGAAAAGTGTAGACATAGCATGTGATAGATGATTCAAAGCAGCATGTGGAACTCTATAGTTCTAATCTAAGTATTATTCTTGTTATTACATTATTATGTCTTGATGTTGATATAATTGGTCCTCTGAAGGAAAAGTGGAGAGAAGCGACTTGAACGGACCAAAAGGTTTTAAAAACAGTTTAGCCTAAGATGGTACAATCTGCTGGGATTAACTGCATATGTATCTTCTGAATATTCTATCTATTAGTTCATTAGAATGCAGGTTTCTTGATGCAAGAACCTGTTTTGCGTAGAATCAAGTGCAAATTTTACACGTAACAAGTAATAATGATGTTCCCTTGGAACTTCAAAATCCAGACATGCTGCTACAGAGAGGGACCACTCAGCTTTTCTTCCCTTTTTCTGTTTGGTGTCATCCATATAATTAGTTTCTAAAACTTAGATCCTCATACTGTCAGTTGCTGATGTACTTATGCAATGTGCTGAGCTCCCTTAGTTCTCAAGAAGAAAAAGGACCATCAAAGTATGTAGATAGAGTCTAGCAACACAGAAAAAACCACTGTCTCTTAAAGGTATTGCAGTCCAATTCAAGTTCCAATTAAAAAAAAACCTCATACACTCAGTATCTGTGTATACACACGCTTAGATTTATGAGTTGTTGTCAACATATAAAATACCAGGAAAGTTATGAACTGTAAAGTGTCTTTGAAGAAATCTGTGTTGAAAGGGTTGCTGAACGTGTTTTCTGGGTGGAGATTTCAAAAAGGACAGCCTTGTTCACAGTAGAGAGAAGAGTGTGCATAAGTGGTGGCCTGAAAAAGACATATAATTGACAACAAGAAAGGACTTGGAAAGTTGAAGAAAAGGAATTTAAGTGAACAGTGAAGCCTTACAGTGAAGAACAAAGGGATGTGTTGGGATTTGGGTGATTAGAGTAGCATTGAACTCATCTCTGTTGTCTCCTACTCCCTCTGGTAGCCTCTCTTTAGTTTCTTTACTCTAAACCTCTTTTGTTACCTCATACTAATAATATGATTATTTAATTAGCAGAGTCAACCACTAAAAGACCATTATTTCCTTTTTTTTTTTTAATTGAAGGAATCTGACTCATTAGCTGCGTAAATGTTAATGTCATGTTTAATTTAATATTATTCTCCCAGTCTGGTGATATTTAATTAAAAATCAAATTGCAACTTTTTCTAAGCCATCCGCTAGCTGCAAGCTTGTCTCCATTTTTCTTTGGACAGTCTCTAGAAATGAAGAGGAGATTTAAGGGTGATTTTGAAAACTGTGTGGAGTACTTCACTGAGTGTTCTGTGGCTAAGTGTGTCAAGTCTGCCTTGTTTATAAGCCTTGGGATGCATGTATGAACATAGCTTTTATCTGGAATGAGATCCTTGCTTGAAAGACAATATTGTGATGTTTTTCATGTAGGGCAAATCTCTCTTAAAAGTCTGCTTGAATGAAATTTGTTCAACAGTGGCTGTAGAGAATACTCTTCCTGTAATCAAGAGCCTTCTCTGAAGTGTAATAATCTGAAACAGAAATGTTTTAGATACTGCTTTTTTTATTTTGGAAGTCAAGTCTCTGTGCTTTATTAACATTGTCTCACTAACTTCATTGAGAGCTTTTATCCAGAACAAGAGAAGCAAAAGTAGAGCCAAATAGTTATGTTCACATCATTGAACAAATGTTTAAAGATATTTTACAATGCTGAGGAAGCATGACAACATGTTCTGGTTCAGTAAGGCCCTTGCCTAATTTTAAAACATGTATAATAGTCAAGGGAATGTAACTTCATGCTTAAAGACAGCTAGAAACTTGGGAACTATCCTAATTGGGTATAAAACAATGTTTTGCTGAATTGAGTGCTAGATTATTTTTAGCAAAAATTATATGAATGAAGTTATATTCTTTTTATTTGCAAAACTTGCATATTAGCTAAAAGAGTTTCAAACAGCATCAGAGTTGTTTGGGGTTTTTTATTTTATTTTATTTTTACTTTACCTTGGTTTTCATTGAGTATCATGGATATATTTCTATTTCATGTGGTGACTGGTTCCTACAATAAGACAACTATTTCTTTTTCTTTGCAAAGGATTCAAGGGGCTTTTTTTTTTTTTCTTTTAACCTATTTCACACTTACTTCATCAAAAAAAATAACCTTTCTCTTGGCATGTTGATAGGAACCGTCAGTTGGAAGGCATCTTGGTGGTAGCACAGCAGTTCCATGAAGCTCTGGAGCCGCTGGTGGAGTGGCTGACCACCACAGAGAAGAGGCTTGCAAATGCAGAACCCATTGGAACACAGGCCTCCAAACTGGAGCAGCAAATTTCTCAGCATAAAGTAAGATACAAACCACACACTTGCTTGTGTAATTCTTTTTAGATGGTTCTATAAACTACAACACAACTGGCAAAGGTGTTGCGGTATACCTATGTTTTACCATAGTGAATTTTTTTTCTGTAATTTGAGTTTTATGTATTTACGTTGGCAATATGTCCTTTTTCGTTCAGTTTTTATTGAGTTCCACTTACATTACTCTTATGTTTTTCTGATTTTCTTTTCCATTATTCTTCATTATTTAAAAAAATATAGGCCCTAGAAGATGATGTCCTAGTTCACAATAAGAGTTTACTTCAGGCCATTAGCACTGGTCAGTCTCTAAAGACTATGAGCTCCAGGGAAGATAAAGATATGGTGCAGGAAAAGCTAGATTCTTCTCAGGCCCGATACATTGAGATTCAAGAGAAGAGCAACAGCAGGTCTGAACTTCTTCAGCAAGCTTACAGCAATGCTCAGATTTTTGGGGAGGATGAAGTTGAATTGATGAACTGGCTGAATGAAATCCATGATAAACTGAGCAAATTGTCAGTCCAAGATTGCAACACAGAATTGCTTGAGAAACAGCACTCTGAACTACTGGTATTTTGATTTCTGTTCATTTATTATTTAATTCATTTTTAAATTTGATTTATATTTCCATACTTCATTTATTTTTTCATTAATATATTTTGTTTAAAATGGCAATATGCTTATTCCAGACAAAAATAATATAATTTGTGATGTCTGTGCTAACACAAATGGCCTTTTCTCCTAGGATCTTCAGGAGGAGATTCTTCTTAGGAAACAAAATGTTGATTTGGCTATACAAAATGGCTTAGAGCTTCTCAAGCAAACAACAGGTGAGAGCTTATATAAAACTATGATTCATCAGGCTTTTTTTCTTGTACTTGTAAGTGCTTATCAGAAAATTGAAGTGGAACTTGTTAGTCCATATTTGCTGGTTAAAGCAGTTGTAGTTGTTCATTTTAATAAAGGTTTGAGGTCAAGGTAGGTTATGCTTTGAGGCCAATTTTACTATTAACGTAAGTGAGCAAAAGTCCTTTTTTTGCCTGTAGAGAATTTGGCCCTTGAATCCTTGATTTTTTTTTTCAGTAGATCATTATTTTAGTGAACCTCCATTCCATTCCTAATAGCAAGTTATGGACATTACTCATAATTGGAGGGCTTTTTGGCAGTGGATGCAGTCAATTCCCTGCAGGCATCCACAGATGAACAAGATACTAGACTACCTTTTACTGCAAGAGGAAAGCTTCGTCCACTGGAGCTAATACTGTGGGAAAAGTTGCATTACAGTTTTACATAATGTGTCTGTTCTGTAGATCAACATCTGTCTGGATTTTCCAGTACTTATGAAGTTCTTGAACTCTCTAAGACACACATATGGTTGGGGGTGGGGGGCTATTCTTTCTGTTCCAAACTTAGGCATTATATATAGTCTCTAATGAAATCTGAATATACAGTAATAAATTTCAGTACCTTGTTTTTAATTTAGCCTTTTGAGTTCTGTTTCAAATGGATAGTAATAAGGGTGTACAGTGATGTCAAATATTACTGTAATTGAAAATCTAATTAGTATTTTGTTGATTTTTTTTTCCTTCACATTTTAAATAACACTTAAAATTTTATAATTTTTTTTGGCCTTTATAAGAAGAATTGTGAATTTAAGGGTGGATTTTTTTTTAGAACATTTGTGTTAAGTATTGCATCTAAGTCCTTACTTTCTAACAGTTTAGTTAAGCAGAAAAAAGACAGAAGGACAGATCCTGAGCTGAGGTAAACTTCATAGCTCTGTGGATTTTAGTGACAGTAGGATAATTTACAATGGTTGAGGATTGACCTTGTCATCTTGTTTGGGTTATTTTATATATTAAATACTGAGATTTCTGCAATAGGTGGGGTTTGGGATTTGGGTTTGGGGTGGGTTTTTTTGCTTTTAAATATTTGTGATCACAGGAAATAACATCCCTCTGATATTTTAGGTGATGAAGTTGTAATAATTCAAGATAAACTGGAAGGCATTAAAGCGAGATACAAAGACATTACAAAATTGAGTTCTGATGTATCCAAGACCTTAGAGCAGGCTCTGCAGCTTGCAGGTCAACTTCACTCAACTCACGAGGAGCTTTGCAAATGGCTTGACAAAGTGGAGGTGGAGTTACTCTCATATGAAACTCAAATACCAAAGGGCGAAGAATTAAGCCAAGTACAAGAAAGACAAAAAGTAGGTTTTAGAACCTGTGAATTATTTATTGCTGTGTGATTCAGCTAGGTTTTGTGTTAACTTATGTTTGGCATGAAGTTGCTTTTTGAATAACTAATTTTGGCATCAGATCATTTGACTAAATGTAACAGTATTTAAGAATCAAACTCACTTTCCAGAGTCATCTGTTATAATCACTTATGAAACTGGGCTGAGGTTTATTTTTAGCACAAGAGAAGCACAACATTTCCTTTTTATGCAAGCAGCTACCTAATCCTGGGAAAACTCTTCAGTTGTCAAACAAAGTTATTTTGGTTCTTTACAGGATTTTATCCATGTCACAACTAAAGTATAAAGAGTCAGCATTTAAATATATATATATATTACTAATCTTGTTTAACAATATTTATTTCAAAAGAAAAATTGTAGTATAAACTGGATGGTGGGGTTCGGGAGAAGCTAAAAAAAAATATCTTTCTGTTAAATTTCTTATATATATATAAAAAGAAATGAAACAGCAGTGGGGGCTTCTGTACAGGTAAAAACTCATTCCTGAAGCATTGTGTGATGATTTGATTGGAATTTAATCCAGTCTTTGCTCATTTAATAAATCACTTGAATTCATCATATTTTGCTTTACTGCATGCCTGATTTCACTTGCTGGTGATTTAGTTCCTTATGGAGTTGCAGGTTGCAAAGAATATCCGTTAGTTTTATTTTCTTTGGTTGCTTCATTAAGTACTAACAACTCTTACAAAATTACAAAGAATTTCAGACTGTCATACTGACTGAAGAAATATATTTAAGATATATTCTGTAGAAAATTTGAGAATCACCCACTTTACTGTCAAACAGTTTACAGTATCAAAAAGCTAATACAACTGAGTTGAAAATAAGTGTGCTAATTTATCCCTTTGGTTTGCATGGGAAACATTTCAGTTCTCGACTCATAGAGTAGTTGAAAGAATTAAAAAACTTCCAAGCTGTGTGTGTTCAGCTCATATGCTGGCATGTTTACTTCAAATGGCCTTTTTCAGGAGCTGAAAAAGGAAGCAAAGAACAACAAAGGCTTACTGGACACTCTGAATGAAATTGGCAGTGCCTTCCTGGAGCTGGTGCCGTGGAGGGCCAGAGAGGGGCTTGACAAGATGATAACGGAGGACAACGAGCGTTACAGATTAGTGAGTGACACAATCTCTCAGAAGGTGGATGAGATTGATGCTGCCATCCTGAGATCCCAGCAGGTACTGAAAACTGTTCTTTGGGCCGTAAGAGTTGCTGGCCACACGTACCTGAGCATAAGAAGTCCTTTAACAGTGTTGCCAAGAGTTTGTTGTGCTTGATCCACAAAAGGCCCATTTTGAATGCAATGGGACTCCACTATTAAGATATGAATCCCAGAACTCAGCTAATCTGTACAGTGTTGTAGTTGTCTGCCTTTTTGTTGACACAAACATCAGTCTTCTAGCTAAAATTGTTGTGACTAACCTGTGGCTCCTTAAATGGGAGTTTGGTTAAGTAAGAACTCGAATGGCCCATGTCTTTTGCAGGTCATGTTGTGTTAAGTAAAATATGGTCCAGATCCCCAGCCAATTTTACTGGATGCAACACTGAAATCACTAGAGTTGCCACACCTTTTAGCATCAGCTGATTGTCTAGCTCCTCTGTACTTTACACAATTAAAAGCTGGATCATCTTGTTCAAGCTGTAGTGGAGGATTTAAATAACAATTGCTTTTATTCATATCCACAATGCTTTTCTTCTTGGGGCTCAAAACTTGAGTTATTTAATATGTGGAGGTTTCTATACGTGCACAGAGGTGTGTGTGTGTGTGTATATATATATATGCATACACTTTGAGAACTGGCACTCTGATTTCATCACTAAATAGTCCCATATTTAAGCTTGCTTATAAATACATCGGGGAAACATAATTTTCCAGTGTCTGCCTACAGTTCAGGCATAAAAATATTGGTGGAGATTTCTGTTTCTGCTAATAGTTCCCATAAACAGTTGTAACAGGACAAGGAGAAAGCATGTGTGATATATTCAAAGTTTGCTCCAAGCCAACTAAAAGAGGCTGACAAGTAACTCAGACCTCCTTGTAACTGAGGTTAAAAATAACGTCATGTTTCTTTTTAAGGGGTTTGCTATGAATATTACCTTGTCTCATTAACCAAATACTCAAAAATGAAGGGTGATTTTTTTTTTTTTTTTTAGTGAGTGATAAGGTGAGATAGGAGAGTATTTGTTGGCTCTGCAACTTTTCTGAATTCTGTGAGTATGTTGTGTCCTGTAGCACAAGTTCAGCAGATTCAGGTCCAGGCATGAAAGGTCCAGAGCTGCTGCTCCACTAGCCTATGTTGCAACGGCATGTTGCACATGAGTCCTGCATACCCCTAACCTCCACTTCAGCCCAATTCACATCACCACGATACACACCTCTACACTATATTCTATGATAAATATCAAGTGGTGTAACACACTTCCAGTGAAGGATAAGCTACTTTCCATTTAGGTCAGAGAAGAACCATGCAAAATAAAAAATATTTTTGGAGACGCTAGTGCTCTGTAAGCTTGCCCTGTGGCAACTAGTTCAAGTGCCTGTACTGTTAAAAGGTTTTGGGTAGAGGACAAAGCCACTAAGAACATGATGGTTTGATGGGGTTCGTGCTAGATGTTACTGGGCCAAGGTGAGAAATGCAGTAAGTGGTATGAACGGGTAAGCATATTGTTTCATTTGTGAATGGAAGCTGGACGGCTCAATAAACTAATGCAATGTTCTGGTTTTTAACTACTTGGGCAAAATGGTCCCACATGGATAGAATTATCCTAGAGATAAATTTAGCTACATGTTTTAATCTTCATTTCTCAATACTGAAGGCATTGGTTGGTGTCTTACCCTAGTGAAGGAGTGCTACATAGAAACAGAAGGTCAGATTCTACTTTTGGCTTACTTGTTCTTCACTCTAAAGTAGCCACAGAGAGTGCTTTAGAAAGCATTCACAGAGCAAATCACAATGTCATCATATTTGGAAGTCAGTCATTCCTGGTTACAAGAAAAAGTACCACAATGAACTATGCTTGGTTAAACTAGGTGGGGATGAAATAGATGATTTTATAGTGACTCAAGTGAAGTTCAGGGCTCAATAAATAACTGTCATGCTCAATGAGAAGAAAATCCTTCAAATTCTGGATACAGAGAGTACCACTTTGTGCTTTTTATTTCTTAATGTTATATTTGAGCATCACAAATTGGAAATCCTATACCCTCAGCAAACAGAGTTTAGAATCCTGTCCTTCCTTGATGCTGTGTAACCTAGAAGTTTCACTGCCATGCCTTGATTTTGTTATTTCCATTAAATATTTGCTCAATATTACATACATACCCATGGTTATTTGGTATCAGGAAGTCACATTTCAGTTAATTTGTACATCTAACACAGTTGAAATCACCTGCTTAATTTCCTTCATTTGGATCATAAATAGATGGGCTTCTGAAGAGCTTGGTTGTGAACTGCAGTTTCTAAAGCCAGGGTTTAACTACCACTGGTGCATGTGCTTCATGCTAATGTTTTACAGTACCGATTGTTTCAGAACATACCTTTCTATTAGGAAGTCACAATATTTAGGACAAAACTTACTTTCTCTTACTCTAAATGAGAAATGATATATAGTGAAAAAGAATGTTTATGCTCTTTTTCATGTAACAGATATAAAGGCTGAAAAAGTTTGACTAAGAATGAAATCTCAGAACTGCTTCTTTTGTTTTTGTGTGACTCATGATTAAGCACTAAGACAAGACTCATGTAGTGTGGCTAAACTGAACTCCAGCTACGTTACAGGAGCAGGGCTGTCATGGTCTACAAGCACAAAGGCACAGACCAGCAGATTTAAAAGATGAGGGACTGAGAGTGGTTCGAAAGAGACTTCTGAGGAAAGTGTGGGTATCAACAACACAAGTAGGAGGTTCTGACCTAAAATGTCCTGATAGACTTCCACAATAACTCAGAGCCATATTAATGTTCAGCTGCTTGCAGTGGAGGTCAGAGTTTTAAATAAATAAGTTCTTAGTAGTTTTTATGGTGACCATTTTGTGCATCTGATCATCCCATCTAATATTCTCTGTGGCTCAAGCTCAAAGCTGCCCATGTTCTGAGTACTGCAGTGTGTGTGTGCTAAGATACATGCCTATAAGCTTGAGCTGAAGAGGGAATGCATGACTTCTTTTTTAAATTTGGTCTTACATTAGATCCCCATGTACTTCTTTTCAGGATCTCATGGTCTCCTTCACAAAGTAGTAGGAAATAGATCCTTTAAATACTCTCATTACTTTAGTGCTTTGAGGTAATTTCTGAAACATTTAAGTGTTGACTAATGGTAGTCAAAAGTTAATCTTTTAGGAAAAGGATTGGCTGCACCCAAATGCCCCAGAGAATTTTTGCATTTAATCCAAGGTCTAGTTTCGGATGAAATCCTGTCTTCTCTGAATTCAGTGAGGTTTTTCCACTGATTTAGTTGAATTGTGATTGGTTTGCCTTTGTCATTTAATACCAAAGCAGCTCTTAATCTTAAAAGGATAACATCAAACAACTATTTCTTAGGATAATTGCAACACTAGCAGTAATAATAAACATAGAGATGGAAGAGACATGAAAGTAGAATAAAATGAAAATAAACAGTCTAGTTAAAATTCTGGACTTATAACACTTTATTTTCTTACGTCTGTTAGAGAGCTGTAGGCTTTGGAAAAATGTATTTGCTTCTGTTGCTTTGTCACGCTTGTGAATTAATCTGCTTGTATTACAATCCCTCAGAACCATTTTGGGCTTTGCATTTCATTTATATAAAAACCTTATACGGAAAGTGAGCCACTATCTTTCTAACAATTCAAAAGTATGCTTCTTAATCTTCTTTAAAATTTTTCAAACAGTCATTCTAATTTCATGTCTATAGAACCGCTGAACTAATTCATGTCTCCCTCATTTAGTTTGATCAGGCAGCTGATGCTGAATTTGCCTGGATTGCAGAAACAGAAAAGAAACTGATGTCTCTAGGTGATATTAGGCTTGAGCAAGACCAGACCACAGCTCAGCTACAAGTTCAAAAGGTAAAAGAAATGCATTTCCAACTGTCATGTTAATTATTGGCCGGCACACTCTCCATTTAGAAAATGTACTGGCATGATTTAATTTTCAGTCCATCATAATGCACTTCAAAAATAGTTTTTGCTCCATGTACTCTGGGTTTTTTTGCTGACCAATTTTTATTGTGTTTCAAGGCTTTTACCATGGAGATTTTGAGGCACAAAGATACTATAGATGAACTTGTTAAATCTGGGGATAAGATTATGAACACATGCACCGAAGAAGAGAAAGAGACCATGAAGGTAAAGTTCCTTAAATTGCAGCTACAGCAGTAGATATGCAGACAATATATAAGTAGAAGGATTCCTATAGTGTCTTTTTTTAAATAAATAATGAAAAAGCATTAATTACAGCCACTTCTAGTCAGAGGATTGTAATACTAGAAGAAATGCTGTTGCGTATAACTCTCCTTCCTTCAGGACGTTCAAAGAGCAAACACTGTACTTGTTTCATTGCCCGACACTAATTTGGAGCCCCATTTATCATCTTTATCCATGGTAAATAGTATTTTAGCCAACAGATGGTTGAGTGAACAGGTATTAGTCATCTGGGATGGTGTGTTTGGAATCTGGCTGTTTATCTTCCCCAGTTCTCTTGGGTCATTGGCGCTCTGGGCATGTGTGCTGGATTCCATGGCTGTGCACCTCAGTGTGAATCTTTCATTTCTGCTGATTTCAATGTAGACCTTGCTTGCCAATTATTCCGTTTTGTTGACTAACACAGCCCATGAAAGGCATTCTTATGCCTTTGTTTATTACACACACACACACACAGACACACAGCCTGATGTTAGGGCTGTATATATGTACAGACAGATTTTTCATGTTGGTATTTAAGAATGGGTTAGTTGGGGGTTTTTTGCTAAATGACAGTGAGGCTGGATATGTTGTGTAAATTTAGTCCTTCCAATGACCACACTCCTTCAGCAACAATACTTCACTAATTGTGCTCTGCTGCAGGATCTCTGAATAAATTTGATTTGGTCTTAAGTGAATTTAAAATAGATTAGATGTTCTGTCTATGAAACTGTAGTCATAAGGGAGAGCAGTTTTATGTGAGTCTCTATTAAATATTTGTATTTGTCAAAAATACTGTATATCTGTGTGTTGGGCTATGTTTCGTCCTTTGGATAGCATCTCTATACTTATTTACATGCAAGACATAACAAACGAAAGGATAGCTTGTTCTGCCAAAGAAGATTCTTTACTTCACATTCAATGGCTTGCTTATACGTCTAGTTTTTCCAAGGCTAGCATTTATGTGCATTGTCGCATATAATATTTCATAAAAATGATAACATGGGCAGTCTTCCACAGGAAAAATGTATAGCTGGTCGATGCTTTCTTCTGTTATCACATGCCCAAATACAGTAGATTTTGTAATGTTTAAACCTTGTAATTCTATCATATTATTAATCGTAAAATATCCTCATTAATTAATGTATGCTAACATGGAAAATAATGTTTTGTGGTTTCTGTTGCAAGTTTGTAAGCTACAAGCACAGCAGTATACCCTCTTCGCTTGCCAGATTAAAAAAAAAAAAAGAAAAAAAAGTCTTTTATGTATTGTTCATGATGCTTTGATTCAGAAATGCTGTGGAAAACTTAGTTTCTGCCAAGTGTCCCTGAAGATAAGTGTCTTCAGTAAGGAAGTGGGGCTAAGATCTGCAGTCAAATCATTTGCAGCTTGACTGGAAGCCCTATGAATGAAGTGTTATTTGTAAATATCAATATTTGGAAGCCCTATGGATAAAGTGTTATTTGTAAATATCAATATCATTAAATATGCTATAATTACTTCGAAAGTACTCTGCCAAATTCTGATCTCCCACAATATTGATTCTGTCGACCTTAAACACTGATACTGTAGAAACATTATCAAAACTAAAATTTGGTTCACTGTGGTTTAGTGCTATAATTATCAAAGATTGGTTAGAAATTAAGGTAATAGACATGTGGAAAAACATGCACTGCGATTTTTTGTTAATATTATTTTACAGAAAAAAATGGAAAGCCTCTTACAGAAATATGATGCAGTCTGTCAAATGAACTCTGAGAGAAACCTCCAGCTGGAACGGGCTCAGTCTCTGGTTAACCAGTTCTGGGAGACTTACGAAGAGTTTTGGCCATGGTTAACTGAAACAGAAACAGTCATCTCTCAGCTTCCTGCGCCAGCCCTTGAATATGAAACTTTAAAGCAACAACAAGAAGAGCATAGGGTAAGCATTTTGCCAGTTTTGAAAAACTAAGTGTCAAAAGCCAAGTAGTATTCTGCTTAGAACTGTGAGGTACTCTGCTAAATGCTGAAAACCCAGACAGTTATGCTTCTGTTGAAAAAAGAATTAATTAAAATAATAATACAAAATAAATACATTTTCAATCATGCCTCTACTGTTTCCCAAACCATGCATGCAAACAAGATTCTCTGGGGAAGGCAGCAAATAATGTATAAGCATAAAAGAGGGCTAAAGGGGAAAAAATTGCCATTGTAGTGAGAGAACTGAGCACACAAAAGTTAATAGTTAAGAAGTACATTTAAAATTAGACATTAATGTCGGTATTGGAACAAACCAAACCCATAAACAGAAAGAACAGACATGGGATATTGTAGCAAGAAACAAAAGAAGGTGTAACATGACTGTCTAAAGAACTGGAGTACCTGCTGTCAGCATGCTGAAAGTGAAATACTGCCTTTGTGTATAGTCTCTATACAAATATACACATATGTTGATCTTATGTACATGTAAAAAAATTGGCTTTTGTTTTGTTGGTATCATTGGAACTAAACTTAGCTGAGCCAGGAAGAAGGACAATTAGGGGGCCAAGAATTGATTGCTTGGATTCTAGCCAATCCCATAATCATTTCTCATGTCAAGTACGTTTGTCATGTAATAATTAAAAGAAATAATTGTTTACCATAACATCACAAAATAGAGGCAACAGTGTTGTAGGCTGGCCACCATATGGGGTTTCTTCAGATGGAGGAATAATCAGCTGGGATAAAAATTAGTATGTTTCATATATGGCTACTAGTATCACATGGAATCAGATGTATCTCACCAAGGTTAAAAACCTGCATGTTTTGGCACATGCAAAGCCTGTATAGGTACTGGAGATACCCGTCTCTCCCTACTGAACATAGAGTAACTAGTTTTTTTTTTAATTTGAGCTGCCTCAATAAAGTGATTCAAGTTAGATGGGATGAACCCTGGCTTCAAAGTCTTGTTTACTCTGAGACCACTTCATGAAGATGCGCCACTCTTATGTACTGGTCAACACTGGGTTCACTCATTTGTCTCCCTATTATGTCCACAATGAACAAACATGCTCTATTAAGACCAGCTATATAACATGAGCTTTACAAACTATCTTGATTAGTCACCGTGAACCAAATCATGCTTGCTTTACTTACAGGATTGTTCCTCATCTACTTTAATTACTCTGCTTGCATGAGAGGCCCTTCAGATGAGCTTCTGGTTTTGCATTTTCCCTGGGCTATGCCATTAGTTGAGATTTGTTTGTTAAGTAGAAGATTAATGTCAGGCAATTTTAACATGTAATCTGATGTGAAATACTTGTTTACTGGAATTGTTTATCCAATAGATCATGGAGAAGACCAAATCATTTGTTGTTCTATTAAATAATAAAAAAAAAAAGGTTCTGAAGGTGAATTGAAAACAGTTTTCTATATTCACTTTACATTTCTGTTCTGATGTATTTACTGATGACTGTCTTTGTTCCAAGTCATGGAATTCATAGAGTTGATTCCGTGTGAGTAACATGCAGTCAGTTTGGTTTGAACTGAGCTGTGGGCAGAGTACTAGCATAAGGTTTGGATGCAGAAACGCGCACGCATGTGGCCTTGTGTCAAATCATTCGTGCACAAAAATAAAGCACACAAAATTATTTTCTAAAAACTTTCAATCTGTTCTTAGTTTCACCTTGTCCTCCTCTCTGCTAATAAATGTTGTTTTTTCTTGTTGCAAGGTATACGAATTGAGTTACATTCTCAGTAAGTAGCTAGAATCAGGGGGGGTTGTATTTTCATTGCTATTTTGTCATCAGGGGACTGTGGAAGGTCATGGTCACTGTCTTTTCAATCTTCTCAACCTCTCCTCTTGTGGGAAGGAGCAAGTAAGCAAGCCAGTGTCAAGATTTCTTTTTAAGGGAAAGACCTTAGTGGAAGAGAAGAGAATTTATTTACACTGAGACTGATACAGGCCCTTTTCTATGTCTTCATTAATGTAAACAAACTCTGAACTGGGAGGAACAGAGTATGTGCCTCTCATGTGCTTGCACAGGGGCTATGGGATAGAAACACCTGGAGTTCACAGCACCGAGAGGGACAGTGCCTCACCAGATGGTGAGATTTTTCTGAAAAGGGAGGGATGAGCTGAGAAAATAAATAAAACTGGATGGAAGGATCAGGCTACTCCCACAAAAAAACTTTCCCTTTTGTCAGATCTACGGGTGCAAGTAAACTAAACCAAAATCCTTTGGCAAGTTGGAAGACACCTTGTGACCTTTCACTTCCACAAGCCTCTGCAGAGTCTTCTGCACAGTTTGACTTACTTGGGGAGTGGATGATGAGAGGGAGTAGACAGCTGAGGTGAAATTTAATTTACTTGCTAATTACTTGTTAAACTTTGTGTCAGTTAAGTAATAGTGCTGTTGTGAAGACAGAGGGGTCTTGTGGCCAGAGGGGAGACTGCAAAACTAGGTTGGTAGGTCTCTACTGATCAGTCTTCCTTGTCCTTTTCACAGACTTCTTTGACCCTTCCTTGTGCTAGTTTCCTCTTCTTAAATCAAGAATAATTTGAGTTAATAATCTTGTAATGCCAGTAGCTCTTTCTGTGATGTTCTTCAATGAAAGGCTTTGGGGCAAGTGACAAATACCAACATGAAAAGTATATACGTGGTGGTGTTATGCACATGTCTAGAATATTGTTGCCATTTCTGTCATAGGTACTAAATATGATGGGGAATGTCTGTTGCCAGTATCATATGCATAGTTAGCATCTTATATTTTACCTATAATCATACATCCTACAACAGTGTTGCACAGACCTTTCCAGTGACTCCCTAATTGTGATGTTTCATGCCTGGATAGCTCTTGTGTTGGAATGGGAGCTATCACTGGCAGAGCAGTCATTAACTTTATTTGATATTATTTGTGCTTTACATTAGGACGAAGGGTATTTGTTTGGAATTTCTTGCCAGCTGGATGTGTTAGAAGTGTGGACAGCTGTAATATGGTGCTGCAAGCATAAGAAACTGATAAGTTGTTTCGTTTGTTATAGCAACTGCGTGAGCTGATCGCTGAGCACAAGCCTCATATAGATAAGATGAATAAAACTGGGCCTCAGTTACTGGAGCTGAGCCCAGGAGAAGGTTTTTCTATCCAAGAGAAATACGTGGCAGCTGACACCCTTTACAGTAAAATTAAGGAAGATGTCAAAAAGCGAGCACTGGCACTGGATGAAGCCATTTCTCAGTGTACCCAGGTATCAATTTAAGTTTAAAGTATAATTGGATTCAATCAAATGGAAAGATCAGACATTGTCATCTTATATGTATATATCAAGACTAAACTGCTGTTTTATCTGGATTTTTCAACCTAATGGCCTGTGAATGTCCCTATCACTGCTTATGGCATTGATTTTTCTATTTCTTGAGGGGTTATAATTTTATATATTGGTCAGTATTATTACTTCTGCAGTTGAAAAATGTTACTGCTTCTTAATTTTGAAGTAAAGAAGGAACATTTGGTCTAAAAATGTGGGATTTTATTTTCACTTTATTCCATTTTCTCTTGCTGGTCTGTTACTAGCTGATGCTTTGTTTGTATATGGATGTCACTGTTGATCAGTTAACTTGAGTATAGTTATATCTAGAACTTGACAGCCTTAGTTACAGTCTGTTACCAATGGAGCTAGAGGGGAGTTTAGTAGTGGTAATAGCATTTGCTCTTTTTTGCAGACCCACAAGAACTTAATGTAAGATATGCTTGAACTGTTACATAGAAGTATTGTGAGCAAAGTTAGACCTCACAAAATGTCATTATAAGTATAAAATTCAGATCAAGTCCACAAAAGCTTCGCATCTCGGGTTCCTCAGCCTATGCAGTGAACCTCGATAGAGTATTGTTAGGTGTCACATTCTAGAGACTTTTAAATATTGGGTTAATTGTCATCAAACCCAAACTGAAATTCTTTTACTCAACCCCAAATTCATAAAAGAACTCAGTAAAACTGTGTCCATGAACCCATGCAAAAACCTGACTAAAAATACTTTTTTTTCTATACTGCTGTTTTTATAGGAAATTCCCCTTTTTCTCTGTTCGGTGGAAATTAAGTGCTATATTCTGCTCAGGTCTAAAATACTAAATAAAGAAATACACCTTAAAGTTCTCATCAAGTCTATATTCTAAATAATTTTTGTCATAGGTCATTGTACTTGTCATATTCCTAGCCCCTGCAGACTGAGTTTAAGAACCTGAGGAAAAAAAGTGACATCAGATATCATCTTGCTTTTGAACTGTTCATAGACATTATATTATACTTGCAGTCATTCTAAACACCTTCCTTATTCACGCCTGTGAAAAATGCCTGATTATTTAGATTCAGTGTTTTTCTTTATCATAAATGGTCGATCCTCCCCCTGTTTGGAGCTGCACATTTGAAAATCAAGACATTTATTTAGTATTCGAGTCCCTGCTTTGTGTGTGGTAGACATTAACGTGTTGGACTAGCTAAGTACAGAAAGCAGGAATAAAAATGCATTCTTTGATAACAGCTAGAATATAATCAGATGTTGAGAACATACTTAATTATTTATGCAAAACTTTAAGGTTCATTTTATATACATAAATGTATATGCAAACGGAAAAGCAAAATACTGTAATGCCCAGAACGTAATTTTATAGAATGTCCTTTTTTTATTAAGATATGTAAATATATATTATCAGAGCTCTGTACTATGATGTCTGTGTCAATGTTTGTCTAGACAGTCCTGGAAGAATAATTATTTAACTCTTCAGGATTTAAATTATATTAAATTGCATTTTGTATCAAAGGCAGGACATAACCTATAGCCAGAATGAGAGGTTGTACTGACTAGCATTTTCTTCCTTTTAAGTTCTAAAACACCTTGTCTCATTCATTGAAGTACGAGTACAAGGAGGCCCACTGAATGTACTGACAACAAATATATGTTCTAAAATTAGACCTGAATATTGCCAATTTAATTTCAGGTTTTATCACTTTTGTGAGGTTTTGTTGCCACAATCAGTTTTTTGGAAGTCTTGAATGTGGGAAGGCTACTTGCCTTTCATAACACATTTTGCTGGCTTGTATGGTATTCATACTTCTAACAAAAACACTGAGTCCATAACATTAGTCACAGAGTCTGATTTGAAGTGGGTTGTATAGTGGGAAAAAGTAATTACATTTGTATTGCCTGTATTCCTTTGAATAGAAATGATGTAGCTATTTGTTCACATAAGGTGATCTTGTTTTGCTGTGCTCTTTCTAGCACCTTTCTCAAGTGTAGTCAAGAGTGCTTTTTGTAGGTCCTGGAGGATCATTAAATGCACCTACAATTAATTAATTTCTGTAATTTGAAAGGGCCATGGTGGTGAGATATTTTTAAGAATCTCTCTGGATCCATATAGTAAAGGCTAACTTTGGACCTGTACCAAAGGATGAACCGTGTTAACATAGCTGTAATTGAGTTTCGGGGCACCTACCTGGGCTCATTGAAATGTGGGTGAACATAATACACACTGTTGTGTGCTTTTAGTTGTAGAAAGTAACGTACCTTTACTGCACTAAGAAGCACCATCTGGATGCTAACAAACGTCTTTTTGAATGACCTTACATATCAAATCCTAATCAGTGCTTATATGCCAGTATGATATGATATCAGTTTCATACTGATATGAAAATGTATGTATTTAACATTAAGGTAAATATCTTTCTAAAATGATGAAATCAGAAAGCCATGGCTCTCCAAAATAAGGTACAAACTACTGTATGAATTATGCAGGACTACATGCAGGTAGATTCTGCCATATGTATCATATCTTCAGATGGAGTGCTTTAGGACTAAACTCAGACTTCACAGTAAAATTCTTAAATCTGAGAGGAAGTACCATTTTGCAAGGTCGTTTTTGTAATTTAAATATTAAAAGAGGGGAAGAACCACGAGGGGGGATATTGCAAGTGACACATATATCTATTGGATAGAGATGTTAAATATGTTAATTTTAAAGGACCTTTTTCCAAGAGAATTTCAGATGCCATTTTTCAGTTGTTTGTTTTGTTTTTTTTTTTAATTTCTCTACCACTTCTTTCTGTCCTTTACCACCCTCCCAGTTTCATGACAAGATAGATCCAACTCTGGAGAGTCTGAAACGCATAGTTGAACGTCTGAGGCAGCCACCTTCGATCTCAGCAGAGGTTGAGAAGATTAAAGAGCAAATTAGTGAAAATAAGAATGTGTCAGTGGATCTGGAAAAACTTCAGCCGGTGTATGAGACGCTTAAACAAAGAGGGGAGGAAATGATTGCTCGCTCAGAAGGAACTGATAAGGATATATCCGCTAAAGGTAGTAGATTGAGGAAAGTTTCATGTAGTGGAAATGCAGCAAGCTGCAGCATTTAAAATCTTCATTTCTGGTGACCACTAATCTGAAGATTGTGTTCTTCTGAAAAAGCTGCTAAAGATTTAATAAAAGCAAAGCATTCGTTTAAAATAATTCATCATGGATATGACCTTTGTTTTATTTTTAAAGGCCATGTTGGTTGTTTCCACTTAATATTATAAGGAATCCTGTAAAGAAACAATTTTAGAGTCTAAATTTTAAAATGCACACATATGTTTCTGCTGTAGAACTATAGAGAGATTTATGGCCAAGAATTGTTTGCCAAGGTAGTAATCTAGTTCCTTTGTTGTTTAGCTGTTCAAGATAAATTAGACCAAATGGTCCTCATTTGGGAAGACATCCAGACCTTGACTGAGGAAAGGGAGGCCAAATTGTTGGATGTAATGGAACTAGCTGAAAAGTTTTGGTGTGATCATATGGCTCTTGTAGCTACTATTAAAGATACTCAAGACTTCATTCGAGAACTGGAGGGACCTGGAGTTGACCCATCTGTAGTCAAGCAACAGCAAGAAGCGGCTGAGGTCAGTAGGAAGAATTTTGTTGACTTGAAGTATTTTATTTACAGTATGCAGAGAAAAGACAGAATTACTATGAAATACCACAGGAGAATATTTTTTTTTAGAGACCAAGAGGGATAATTGTATAGAAATTTACTATAATGATATCTCGAGAGTCTGTGGTAAATAACATGTATCAGTGCTTAATTGCAATGAGCATGCAACATGTGCCTGTCATTATATTTACATATCTGTTTATAAACATGTATATAATAAGCATGGCACTAAGACTTTTAGAAGTCATACATACTTTAGATTCCCTGAGTAATACATAACATCTAAATGAAAGGTGTACAGATGTATTGTGCTCTTATGTATTATGCTCTAAGCCTGTAATTATTTATGCTGATAGTTAAAGATTTGAAGGTTGAATGATAACCTCTGAAAAAGAAAACACTCTGATTAAAGAAATCCAATTTAAAACTTCCTGTTTATTTTTTCCATCTCATGCAAAATGACATGATAAAACATTGCTATAATTTAGACTGACGTCAGTTGGTTTCACTCTGACACTGCAAAGAGATGCTTATATTTTAAGCATCCAATTGTAAGTCCAGGTGACTTTAAAGAAAACAAAGGTGGAATCCTGCCGTGTTCTATCTTGAAAGCAGCTGTACATAGATTATTAAATTTAGTATTAGCAGTGTTGGATTTTTTTTCTCTTTGTAGGCTGCTAAAGAAGAAATTGATGGACTACAAGAAGAACTAGAAGCAGTTGTGAGCCTTGGCTCTGAACTTAGAGCTGCTTGTGGAGAGCCTGACAAACCTATTGTCAACAAGAGTATAGATGAGGTATGGGAAATGCAGATGCTAACATCTGATAAGTTAGATGCTTGTTCAGCTGAAATAGATATATCCCCCTGCCCCCAACAAGTTTTGAAAATAAAAATTTTGTGGCGAAAGTAAAATAACCCTGAAGCATTTACGTTATAGTAAAGTTTGTTTTTCAGGTAAATGAATCTTGACTCAGATTAAAATGTCCAGACAATTTTATTTTATCGATTTGTGGGTTAAAATTTTTGTAAAAGACAGAAAGGTTTTTTGTAAAAAATACTCACAGATTAATACAGTAGATGGCTACTTGTTGCAGAAGTAATGCTAGAATAAATTTCAGATATATCTGGTTTATGCCAAGTGAGACATCTTAACTGGGACAATCCTGTTTGGATGACTACAGAGTACTTTTAATTTCTCCAGTGTTCAGCAATGTACATTTCTTTTAAGCTACCTTTTTATAATGATGCAACTCCAAATTATTTAATAATATTATTTCCCATATTAACTACAATCCCGATGTTTATAAAAATATTCTATAATCAGTATTGAAGCTTGCAGCTTTTGTAAATCCAGTACCTCTAGTGTATTCTGAAGGAAACTAACTATGCAGTGATAGGGAGAACAAGAGTTTTAATATGGAATGAATATGAACTCTTCATGCTTAGTTTATTGGTGTTATTGATCAGCATGTAATTAGTGAATGCACATTATACAGCAGTAAAGTTCTTTTGTCCATTGGAGTAATATTGCACTTGCTTGCAGCTGAATTCTGCCTGGGATGCCTTAAACAAAACCTGGAAAGAACGGGTGGATAAGCTTGTTGAAGCTATGCAGGCAGCTGTTCAGTACCAAGATGGACTGCAGGTAAGATGGTGTGGTATACCTAAGCCAATCTTGAGTCAATAGACTTTCCTGTGGTTGTAGTAAAAAAAGTCACATTATTGGGTAGGTGACAAGTAATGTATCACTCTGATTATAGTGACTATTTTCTTCAGTAGGCAGGTCTTTTTTCTCAGGGTTGGTTGGTTTGTGGGTTTTTTGCATTAAAGAATAAATCTCTTGGGTTGTCTTCCTCATGTAGTTGTTCATATATTGCAGTACGTTTAGATTTGAAATTAATGTCCCTTTGTTTACTGATAAAAGCAGAGGTTTTTTGATACCACACAAATTCACAGTAATCTGGCTCACTTTTTCCTGTGATAGTACTTCATATGATAGGCAAGTTGAAGTTGTGACACATTTACGTGATCTGAAAGGAACAGAATACAGGTTCATATACTCACTTGCTGCTATTTTCTTTCAGTGGAGGACAGTGAAAGAACTTCAGTTTTATTCCACCTTTTTTTATAAGTCAAATATTGAAGTTTGAATATTTTAAGCAAAAAATATTACTGACATAATGTTACTGAACCATTATATTAATTCTTAGTGTAACTTATCCTATCACAATACTTCAGATGATGATTCACTTTTTAAATCTGTAGGTAAATTTTCCAGCAGTTTTTTTTAAGATACCTTTCTCTGTATATGCTGTATTTTATTTTGGGTTTTTGCCCATTTTGGCTGTGTGGCATGCCTCATCTTTTGTCATTGAATGGCTAGAAGATTGAAACATTTAAAAAGATTCCAAATGTGGTCAGACTTTGTGAAACTATCTTTTTGCTTGGTGGAATTTTGTCTTTCTTGTTTGATCGAATCTTTAAAATCAGATTTTCCCATGACACTGAGGGCAGTTGCTTGTGCATTCAGTGCAGATCAAGCAGCAGAACACTCCTTAAAAATAACGCAACATGCTTGTTTTCCAGCACACCCTCACTATGTATTTTTCTCCAAGCTCTCTTATGTACATATTGCGCAGAGCTTGACTTGTAGGGTTACATTAGGAACATTGCCATTGATGCAAGTGCTTTGTATTTCCTGTGGCTGTACCTTGTACACACTACAAGCTTGCTACTTTGTGAAAGAGCTGTATTTAAATGCCTTCTTATGCTCATTTCAGTAGACAATATGAAAAGTATTGTGGGCAGATTGTTAGCTGCAGCTGCCTATCCTGTTGAGCTTGTTGGGGGTAGTTCTCCTTTTCTCAAGGAGCTGTGTAGCAGTGGGCAGCTCCAACAAGCCATCCTAAGCCTTTATCTGTAATGAATCACAGAGAGCGGGCAGGACGAAAAGGGCCTAGCAGAGGTGTTTTTTCTCATATGCAATTACCCAGATTGATAAAGCTGTTCTCAATCTGCAAGTGGAGTATTCTTGAGGTTGTTCTGCATTATATCAGGAGCAAAAGAAGTACCCACAAAGCCTCAGAACTGGGGAGACTTCGTTTGTTTTTTAAAGTTATAAATGCATTATCCGATGGAGATTCAGTGAAGTTTAGTTACGGCCCTTCACTATCTAACATGTACTAAATGGGTCATGTTCCATGTTTGTTACACAGATAACGTTATCCTTCAAAAGAAGTTTGTTTATAGTCATCATTTAAAGTGTGTCATCATTCAGCTACCGCCTTCCATCTTTGTTCAAAAGGACTACCGAACAGAGTTTGTCTTTTATTTACCTTCCAGGGTATTCATAAAAATTGCTGATTTTACTCAAGAAGTAGAGATCATGAATAGTACTGGCAGAATATTACTGCTAATAGAAGTTGTCTTGCAGTATGTACATTCTTTTAACCATTACATGGAATATTTTAGTTAATATTTGATCCCTTGTATTGCAAAGAAACCTAGGTTTCACTGAAGAAAGCTGTTGAGCACAGCAATACTGTAAAAAATTCTGATATCTTACTTAATACAACTTTCAAAGATGACATTATTTCTCTGCTCACGCTTCAGTTTCATACTGTGATTTTCAGGCAATATTTGATTGGGTAGACATTGCTGGCAGCAAGTTAGCATCTATGTCCCCAGTTGGAACAGATCTGGAGACAGTGAAGCAGCAAACTGAGGAACTTAAGGTATGAACTAGCAATTTATTTCATTTATATTGTCATCTGTCTGCATTTTTCTGTGTTTAGTATTTTGCTGTATTTTTCAAGAATCAAAAGCAATTTTCAATTTCTAGTAAAAAATAATCTGTATGAAAATTTCAAATAACATTTCATTGCAAACTTTTCATTTTAAATGTTTAAATAGTAGGCTATATATATAAAACAGGGATGTATAACGATCAGGGAATATCCTTGGGTTTGTTGCTCACTTTTACTTTTTTTTTGGTTGTGGGCAGGTTGTTTAATCTATCTATTTTATGATGTAACTTCAAATGAACCATGATCTTAGTATTTCAGAAGAACACACATGTGCAAGCTATATTCAGACTGCTGCCCAAGTTGAATGTACAAGAGGGTGTTCTACTAAAGAAAATTTGCTTTTCAGCTCTTCTGAAGAACAATTCTGTTTAAAGGTTAAAGTTGTTATATTATCACAATCACAAGAGTTAGAAGTTACTCAGGATACATTCTGCCTTTTTTACAGACCAGGGATATTATTGGAGAATGCTTTCCTATTGGGCATCTTTGTCATCCTCTGGTCACAGTTAGCGATATCTGCTAGAATAGTAAGACATTGTTGCATATTTTCAGTCAGCTGTGACTGTCTGGATTATCAGTGTCTTACAAGCATTTTGACAAAACCCCCAAATTTATGAAAGTTGACAGTGATGCATTAGTATTGTAAATACTGCTGTACTATGCTATATTCAAGAAGATCATTACTTGTGTTATATTTATTTGTATTCTTCTTCTGTCTACCATAGCAATTTAAGACAGAAGCTTATCAGCAGCAGATAGAAATGGAAAGACTGAACCATCAGGCAGAACTATTGCTGAAGAAGGTAACAGAGGAGAGTGACAAGCACACTGTTCAAGACCCTCTCTCAGAGCTCAAACTAATGTGGGACAGCCTAGAAGAAAAAATTATAAATAGACAGGTAAATAAACTTGAAGGTGGGGGCTTTATTCATGACTTAGATTTTTGAGTAAAGCTTTTTATTATGTATGATGTTCGTATCAGTTTACACATTTATTCCTTTTAGTTTGTAAATTACAGAGCTATATAAAATAGAATTTGATTTTTACAATTGAATGAGTTGGTTTTATGATTTTTAAACCCTTAGCAGTATGTTTTTGTCACTTCCTCTGTCAGCAGTGCCATTGATGACATCCTAAGTAGCAGCTGAATACATGTTTGTATGTGCAAAACTAATACTAACTGCTGGGTTTTTGTTTAAAAAAAAAAACAAACCCAAACAAATTAATACTAAACTGTTTCAGTGCTCTTTCATTAAATTATCAAAGTGAAAGAGATTTAACGATGCAGTTCTTTGAAGTGGTTTTTTTTTTCTAAATTGAATCATTTCACAACAAAGAAGGGGTTTTAAAAAGATCATGCACCAAATTGCATTTATATTGAAATTATATTTTAAGTGATGAAAAACTACTGTCATATCTGCGATGAGAAAACTTTCAAGCTTTGCTTTGGTTACATGGGGTCTTCGAAGGTCAGGAATTTAAGCCTGGAATGTAAGGCTTTACAAGGGAATTGCTAACTCAGCTCTAATTATAAAGTAGTTGCTTGTGTTGGATAACTGTTTCTCCCTGATTTTTATGCTGTCATGCATGGACTCTGCTCTGGGTTGCGGTGACTAATGGTAGTGTAATCAATTCAATAGCATTGTGAAACCATTTTATTGTTAATTTTATTTTTACTTAGCACAAGCTGGAAGGTGCCTTGTTAGCCTTGGGGCAGTTCCAGCATGCCCTGGATGAGTTACTGACGTGGCTGACGCATACAGAAGACTTGCTGAATGAACAGAAACCTGTTGGTGGAGACCCCAAGGCTATTGAAATTGAACTTGCCAAACACCATGTATGTAATTATAGTGAATATTAACTGAAATGTTCTTTTGATGTTTATCTTAGTGATGAGTCTTGTAGTAAAACTTAGCACTGATAAATAATTCTCTATAGCGATTTTCAAGATGCAAGTTCTAGCTGAAATGCAGGCTTGGAGTAACTAATATCTTTCCTCTTACTCCTCCATATTCCTTCCTTCCTTGCATATGCCATGCAAGTGGCATAGGTTTTTGCCAAAAAGAGCAGCTTACCCTAGTCTCCACCTTCATTCACCTTCATTTGACCAAGGGAACTCAAAAGTTATTGAACGTGCTACTCACCCCAAAGCAATAAACTTCTTGGTTAGTTCTGTTTAGGCCAGGTGTCACAAAATGCATATGACTGTTGCGCATCTTTTGTTCTTGTTTCTTCTCACAAAATAGTGATTTGTGGTTCTGAATTCTGCAAAATTTTATCTCATTTGGGTCCAACTAACATGGAGAATGCTTCTCTGAAAGTCTCAACAAACTTTCAGGGTATCCATGCCCCTATCTTTCTCTCTGATACATACAATGTAGGGTTAATTTTTTATTTTTTGTTTTATTATTTTTACTGATTATTGTGACTTTGGAGCCCATGGAAGAATGCTTCCATTGTGCCTTTATTTTGAAGAGTATCTCAGGAGCAAGAGATCTTCTCTAGCTCTTTGTGAGACTCAGTGCTGTTCATGATGATGTGTTCTTTCTAGGCCTGAAGATTTCAAACCAGCCTCATAAATCCTCTCCTTTAAATCTGCCACATAATTTTTGGCCTGCATGTGATGTAAAAAGTGTTCAGAGTCAGTTTGGGACTTAGAGAGAATGGATTGAAATTGACGATACACAGATAATTAAGGCATTTTCATTGTTTGTGTTAATGTAGCTATGCAGCTTCTGAAGCCTTTTGTGTGGTCAGCTGGAACTTGAGCAGAGTAAAACATCTACATGCCCTGTGTGACTACTGTTAGAAACAGGCCCTTCAAAAAAAAAAAAAAATTACAAATACAGCTTCCACTCCATGAACCTTTTCTATTCTTATCAAACAGAAGTGGTTTACTACTGAAGAAGCATCCAGACATTATGACTTCATCTACCTTCAGTGCTGAAGGAGTTCAGCAAACACATGAACAAATCTACTTCCTTTTCATAAAACATAATTTATAGGTTAGAAAGTTCACACAGTAGTGCATCCTGTGGTAGCCTGGAAAAACATCCATATCTTGAATAACTTTGGAAAGAATAGACCTTGTTCTTAGTGAGCCTCAGCAGGAAGGAAGGAAGAAGATGCATCTGCTTCTTTGAATATCCCTTTTTTTCACCCTGTTAGGAAAATAAAATAACGAATATCTTCCAGTGCTTAGCTTAGAAGAATTAAAGCAAATGTAATGCATGTTTTGTATACAAGGGCTACTTGTGACTTGCTGTTTCATCAGTGTCTATATAGTTTATTTAAAAGCTCCTTTGTATTTAGCTTTAAATTTTTCCATATACTAGCATTTTGAGGGAGGTGAGTTTGAACCAGACCCCATGCAAGACAGCACTCATAAACTTGAATTTCTTAGAGTACATTTCATTTTTCCAACCATTTTGCTTATTCTCTTTTCCTGTTCTTTATATCTGGTATTTTAAAGCTTTTTTTTTTTTTTTTAAAAATCTGTCTTGAAAGCAGCATCCTTTTCCCAAGTGTACTTTTGCCTTTTATGGCTTTACTGTGGTTGGAGATAACAGGTTTTCAACCAGATGGAAGGAGTTCTTGTGGTGTTAGTATTACAGTCATTTCCCAGCTTTTAGCACAGCTGAAGTGTCCTCGTAGCTTGATGGGAAAACAAGCTGTAGACCTGAAATGCATAACAAGATGTTGTGGCAGTCAAGTTGTTGTGTGGCACAGCAGGCACATAGTATTCTTGTTCCTCTCCCTACTCTCTTAGACTGCTGCTCCACAAGCAATTGGTACTACTATATATAATACTGTTTTCAGACCTTACCCTCAAAACCAAAGAAAAATCCTATTAATGTATGTAGTAAATTAAGGAAAGTGAAGAAATAATTCTTAACTAGCAGTACCAGAAACGTTTCATAATTTCAGAAAGAAATATATGTATTCAGAAGGAATATATTATTTTTTCCAAGGTATAAAAATAAAACGTAGCATTTTGGCAGAATGGTCTGCTACTGCTTTTGATTGAAGAGACCTTAGTTATTAGCTTTAATTGCTAATACCTGTGCTGATATTAAACTATTGCCTTGTCACTGGATTAGAACTAGCTCAGTCACTGTAATTACCTTCATCCAATAACTTATCAACATGGCTAGTCATACTTGCTGTGTTACAATTGTAGGTGCTACAAAATGATGTTTTAGCTCATCAGTCTACAGTGGAAGCAGTTAAGAAAGCAGGAAATGACCTGATTCAATCAAGTGCTGTTGAAGAAGCAAGTAATTTACAGAGCAAGTTGGAACTTCTGAATCAGCGCTGGCAAAACGTGTTGGAAAAAACAGAACAAAGGAAACAGCAGCTGGACAGTGCCTTGATCCAGGTGAACAGGAAATGATCAAATAAAGAGATAACTCAAAAAAAGTGGGTTTTTTACATGAAATACATAGATACATGTATTAGAAGTTGGCCTAAATTAAAGTCATAACACAGACACTCCTGAATTTGGAGAAAGTTTGAATCCAGCTGTATCTTCCGCAGCTGGCCACTGTCTTTTATAGTGCTGAATTGAGACTTCAGCTTTTGGCCTACATATTTTAAAAGCAAGAAATTTCTGTATAGATATGTTATTCAGGGAAAATATTGATCTCACAGTTGCTCATTTAGCCTGCTTTCAAGATTTCCATAGGTTTTGGGGTTGGTTTTATCATTTAGATTGGATTGAGCTAGAGTAAAGTTTGGTTTGGTTTTTTCCTTTGGTTTTCTTTTTCTTTCATTTCCTTTGATTAATGTAAATATCTGATTAAATGTGTTGCTAGTGTACTTCTGTCTCTGAGCTAGTATTAGAATGGACAACATTTAAGTAAGCTCTAAAATGACATGGTATACTTTAGGCCCAAGGTTTCCATGGTGAAGTTGAAGATATGCAGCAATGGCTGACAGACACTGAACGTCAGCTGTTGGCATCAAAACCTGTTGGAGGCTTACCAGAAACAGCAAAAGAGCAGCTTAATACCCATATGGTAAGTATCAGTATTAGAATGCTTTGCAAACTACGTTTCAGGACTAACTATCTTTCAAAAGCGTTTATGGTAAATACAGAGCACGTTTATTGCAATGTCTGTACAGGATCTTAAAAAATTTTAATAGCCTTCAAAACAACACTGTTATTTTTAGTGTAGGAAAAGTAGTCATTTCAGAGATGCCACAAACTGAACTGTTAATAGTGTTCAGACAGAAATAAAAAAAAAACTTTGCATCCTTATTCTCAGAAAGAAAAACAGGTGTTTACAGATTTTTCAGTGATTCCTATTCTTCTTTTCTCTTCTGTTCCTAGAACTACGTTTATGCTTTTTCTAAGATACAAAGATGAATCTAAAAGTGACCCGCATTCATTGGACCTTGAATTAAGAGACTCAATCCTTTATTTTTTACCTAACCAAAGCTGACATTAAAATCATTGTTAGCACAGATGTAATAAGGACTACTGGCTCATATAGAGACTCTGCTTTAATTAGAATTGGCAAGCTGATCAGGATGCCTGAATTATTCCCTTCCTTCCCTTCCTTTCTTTTTAAGAAACTTTCTGTGGATTTCTCCACCCCCATAGAACCATAGAGCTTTAAAAAAAGACACTTAAGCTTGATCTCTTACCTCAAAGGAAGGTGGTTCCTACTGCTCCATTTATATAAAATCATGCTGTGCTTTTAGGCCAGGACATAACCTGAAACCCAGTGATCTGAACTCCTGACCTCCTGGCTCAATTGTAAGAGTGGTATTTACTGAACTGTCCTTGAACTGGAATATGCCTGATACAGTTTCCATTAGAACGCTGCACTGTTATAGCTTTAAAAATGAGATTTTTTTTCAGAGTTATTCTAAAGGTCATTGCCCACCAATTTGGGGCACTTTTTTTTTTCTTCTTTTTTTTCCTCCAAAATTTACCAGTAACTATTTTTGAGAAGGAAAATAATTTACGGTTTTAAAATCAGTTATGACGGGAAACTAGGACAAAACAGAGAAACAGAGAAACACCTTGTGGTTTTGAATTCCCCCAGTCCTTCTCTTTTTGTCTTAAAAGACAGAGAGACAGAAAAAATAAGGCAAAAAAAGCCTTCCCCCCATCCCCGGGAGAGTGGGGCATAATCACAATTCCAGTGGAGTCAGTGGAGCTTCTTCCGTGTTTCATCCTGGACTTTAAAGTCAGATCAAACCCAAAAAATTTTCCCTGGAAAATTTCAGGGTTTTTTTTGGTACATTCTTTTACTATGCAAATCCATAAGCCATTTTCTATACTTCTTGCACTTACAGATAGATTATTTAAAGAATCTTTAAACTGAATGTAGTATTACAGTTGGAACAAATGTGAATGTCCCCTATATGTATAATCATTTCCTAACTGTACATGTACGTTTTAACAGATTGATACTATGCTGTGGGCCATCATGTAACTGCAAACATTGACTTGTGATCCTTTAATGTATATAACCCTTAAAAAATAGGACTTGATTTCAGTTTAGTTAAACCTCAGTGGATCTGTGTAGATATATGTAAATTCTCTGAAATGTTGAGGCCACTTGTCCTGTTGAGTATTATTTATCGTAAGTTCCAAATTCAAACTTGCCCCTAAGTAATACAAACCATGTTAATTTGTGATGTGAAACTGGAGAAGAAAGTTTTGCACTATATTTTGATTTGTTTCTCATTGGAAATAATGTTATGAACCATCTTCTTAAGGTCTGTTTCTACAGATATGAATTAAAGAGCCCTTAACCATAATCAGCTCACAAATGGAGTTAAGATTGGGCAGCATTTCCAGCTAAGGCAGCTCCAGGAAAACAAAAGATAGGAGGAGGCATTACAGGACACCAGCAGCAAGGGGACTTTAAAAAAAAAAAAAAAAGAGGCCTCTTTGGCTTTCCCGGTGCTGCTCAGAACATCCCTCTCCTCTTGAAACAATCATTTTTCTCAGTTCCTCCTTTAAAATAACTTTAATTTCTCCTACCCTCTTAAGAGTAGTACTGTACTACAGAATTAGCCACTGTGATGAGCCCCTGTCTTAGACTGAGCCCAGCCCCAATGTTTGGGGCTACGCCTGCTTTGCTGTGTTTCACCTGTTCTGCGTTCCTTATGTTTACTTCTGAGGGGTTCTTGTGCTGCAGTAAAATAAGATGCTCTGGGGAGTTATGGAAACCAGAAATAGTGTAGGGAGTTGGGAACGTAGAAGGAAGGAGGCTAGGTGACACCACTTTTCTTAGCCCTCAGAAAGAAAGCAAAGAAGCTTTTTGTCCTGTTAAAATCTTAGCTCATGGCTGAACCTGCTTCCTGCTTTGCCCTCCTCTGTGATCAGGTACAACCCTGTGTACAGTATCTCTTAACCCAAAGAAAATGTTGGGTTTGGGCTCTTGTCCTGGGAATCAGGGGAAAAAGTTCTTTTCCTCCTATTTGCAAGCCACTTACTGCTCACCTCCTGGAAGATGTTCCTTGTTTGGGAGTCTGCAGCAATTTTGTTGGTACATTTTGGATGGTCAGTTACAAATATTGAACATGCCCTTCTAAGTCAGAGGGATGTATGGGAGCTCTTGCCGCCTTATCTTTAAAATGGTTAAAAGAGAATAGTTAGAAGAATAGTTAGCAGATAAAACAGTTGTCACTGTTATTCTTCAAGCTTTCTTTGTATGTGTAAAATGTCTTCAGTGCTCTTGCCTGGCAAGTGAAGGAAGACACAGACAGCAAAGACGATGTACAATAGAGCAGACCTCACAAGTTGTCCCACCCACTTTTGAAGGTGTATTGGATAGGTCTGGGCTTTCAGCACACTGTATAATGCTGACACTTTTTGCGTTTCAGCTGCAGATGGACTTTAAACCAACCAAGTTGTAGCAAATCTTGTGCAATAAGTGCATAGTACTTTCTTAGCCAAGCTTTGGATCTTGGTGAAAACATCTGACAGTCAATACAAGTCCTCAGTTCCTGAAGAATTGGGCCCTTCCTTTGCTCATTTGACTTTTTATGAATTACATATGTTTCCTTTATTAGTCTTAATCATACCCGCTAAATGTTGGGGGAGGAATAAATATTATACTAGGACTTGTAAAGAGTATTGAATTTCTACCTGACTTATTTTTTGGTGCTTTCTTTGTTTAGGAACTCTGTGCCGCCTTTGAAGCCAAAGAAGAGACATATAAGTGTCTAATGCAGAAAGGCCAGCAGATGCTTGCAAGATGCCCAGAGTCTGCTGAAACAAACGTTGAGCAGGACATAAATAACTTAAAAGAAAAATGGGAATCAGTACAAACAAAGCTCAGTGAAAGAAAAGTATGTGTTTTTACATAAAAATAGAAGTGTAAATCATGTATTTAAGGATGTTAATGTTCAGTCCTTTTATGCGTGCATACTTGCTTGATCTTTTAGATTTAAAACCAATTGTAGAGACAGTTATGCAGAATTCATTGGTATGTTTAGAAAGTACTGGGAAAAAATGGGATTCAAGAAGTGGATTATCCATAATTTGGGGGGGAGGGCGGGTGAGCATGGCACAAGTCTGTTCCATAGAAGTATGTTAACTGATACTGATAATGCTCATTTGGTAGGATTTGGCTTTTCTGGTTTTTATTACAGTAATCATAGACATGAAAGAGTGAAAAACATTATTTGATCATTCAAGTTTATCTCCTCAGTACAGAATTGCTGCCTTAATTTTCCTGGCTTTTATCCATTTTTTTTCTTAAAATTCCCAAACACTTGGCCTTGTGCCACTTACTTCAAGTGACTACCTTCTGTTCTAACGTAGATCAATAGCATGATTTCACTGACATGCAACATACATTTTCTTATTATTAATTTCATTTAGCTTTCATTCCTTCACGAAGTGTAGTCCATTTATTCTACCTTAATCAAAAATGAAGAGTATCAATAATTACAAACAGAGGAACTCCCTGTACAGCCCTAATGTGTATAAAGCACAAATATTTAACTCACAACTTAGTTATATTTTAAAGTAAGAATGCTGGTGTCTCTTAAGGTGACTGTAATTTAAGAATGTCAAACTAATTAATACCCAATATGAGCACCTTCTTGCAGGAAGCTGTAAGGCTGGAGTACTCAGCTAGGCCAACAGTACAATTGTTTGAAAATCTCTGACTGCTATCTCATGATCAACAAAAATTCTGTATCCAAAATTAGTCTTGGTTCAGGCAACTTAAATGACAGTTAGGCTTTATTAAAAAGAAGTGGTCTAGGCAAACTGGTTCTTTGTTTAGTGCAAGAGAATAAATTAGATGACCTCTTTAGGGCTCTTCCAAGTGCACTGCCACCTTAGATTTCTGAGATTTTACTGGTTTTGTATCAAAATTGATGAATCCATGTGTCCCATGAGGATTAAGTAGTAGAAAATGTAATGTTGTAATGTGGAAAATTTTATCTTGATACTAGGTGCTCTATTTTCTACTCATCTACTATACATAATTTTACTGTTACTCTTCTATCCATCTCCTTTAATATGCTCAAATGTAGGCCGTTATTTTAAAACTCAGAAACTTTGAGGTGGAAAAATGTTTTAAAATGCTAAACTAAAATGCTTTACTCCAAAATGCTGAACTAAAATGGTTTACTTGGCTGAAGCCCCTGCACAGTATCAGCTGCTATTAAAGCATGACCTATCTTTACAGACCAAACTGGAAGAAGCCCTCAATTTAGCAATGGAGTTCCACAACTCACTTCAAGATTTCATCAATTGGCTTACTCAGGCTGAGCAAACTCTAACTGCAGCTTCTCGGCCAAGTCTTATCTTGGACACTGTCTTGTTTCAAATTGATGAACACAAGGTATGTAAAGAAACAGATGTGTAATGTTTTTCTCCCACTCTCTGGAGATACTTTAACAATGTCCAAATGAACCCTGTAATGCTGACACTCAGAGAAACATTTAATTTGTTTTAAAATTGCATTTTATAGTCTTTCTCGCTACATCATTCTTTATCAGACTGGTTTTTTTCAGTGTTTACCCAGTGCTTGAGCAACGCAGTATTTAGAGTAATTTTCTCCCTTTTTTCTAAGGTTTTTGCCACAGAAGTGAATTCTCATCGAGATCAGATCATAGAGCTGGACAAAACTGGAACCCATTTGAAATATTTCAGCCAGAAACAGGATGTTGTCCTTATTAAGAATTTGCTGATTAGTGTACAGAGTCGATGGGAAAAAGTAGTTCAACGCTTAGTTGAAAGGGGAAGAGCTTTGGATGATGCAAGGAAAAGAGCCAAACAGGTAATCGGACAACAGCTGTTGTAGAACTCTTTGAACTTACTTGTAATTGCATCCAGACTCTTGAAGAATATGGTGCTTTAAACCACTTTCAAGTAAGTCTGGGTTTAGTGTAACAGACACTGTTGAGTTAGTGGAGCAATTTCTGTGATTCAATCATAAAGCACTTCATTTGTGAGGTGAAAGCATCATTTTCAACCCAAGCAGTGACTTCTGTCTGCAATACTGCATAATCTGAAAGAAGAAAGTTACAGTATGGCTTCCAGATGTATATTAGTGCCATCTGTCCTCAGAAAGAAGTTTCACAATCAACCCCTTGTATTTTAAAGAATGTGATGAACCCCTTTCATTAATCTGTGGGAGTAATCCTTAGTATTTTCTTCATGGCTTTACATTGTGCCCTGAATAATACTCATCACTTCCTCAATCTCTTATGTTAGTTACTAGTCCAATATCTTCTGTGTGGTAAGATATCTCTATTTCCTTAAAAAACCTGGGAAGTTTTTTCACACAGCTTTCCTTACCAGGGAGTATTCTTTTTTTTTTTTCCCTTAGATTCATGTTCCCCTCACTGAGGAACATAAATGATAAGATGCAAAATGTGTGAAAGGAATGTAACATGTTTAAACATCAGTAGGAAGTTCTAGCTTCTTTTTATTCAAGTGAACATGACCATTCGAGATCTGGTCATGTTCACAGCCAAACCACATTCCCATGTTCGCTGCTACTGCCACTCAGCTCATAAGAGTAAGAACTTCTCTGAGGAATAAATTAGCCCATAAGCCAAATAAATGTTATTTTCCAGCAGTTTTTCTTGTACATTCACGTACACAGCAGTTCTGCAATGAGATGGATTTCATCTCCATATCCATTTACAGAGCTGAATACAATAAGTTATTAATTTGGGACGACAACTATCTGTGTAGAGTGGGGAAGGAGTACTGAAGGGTACTACTGTCAAGGCCTGATCCACAGCCCTGGACAAACAGGTTCCAGGAGCCTTGAGAGGTTTCTGAACTAGTTGCTTGTGCTTTCATGTGTAGGCAGCCCAGGCAAGAAGAATTTTCAAAAGAGAGGCAAAGAGAGAAATGACCAGCTTAGAAAATATAATCCCAAAGGGATGCCACTTTGTGAAAGCTGGTTGAATCTTTGGTCTTTCCCTGCTTCCTTCCCTGAAGCACTCTCTTGTTGAGACAGGAAGGAAGATTCAGAATCTGTTCCTTGCCCGTCAAGATACTATTTGATATAATGAGAGCATTTATGAGCATCTCAGGAAAGATCTTCAGCAGTCATCCAGACAGGAATTTTCCACAGTGGTTTACTGCTGTTGTCCCATATAGGCAATAGCTAAGCCCCATTCTTGCTGTATTTACTATTCATTACTAAAAACATAGGAATCTAAATGACCAACGCATCAACAGAAGTTACCAATATGTCTCTGTCATACTGCGTATGCAGATCATGCACATAAAAGTTTGCTAATTCACTTAGGAGAAGGGAGACTAAGTCCAGTGGGCACATGATTGGGCTAGTCCTGTTTGAGAGACCAGGGAGAAAAAGCGCAGGAAATCTTTCCAAAGTCTGCAGAGTACTCGTTTGGCCTGTAGAGAATTGGTTGGGGTTTAATGTTTTCAGACTACTTTATGAACCGGTGAATTTTAAAGTCCATGCAAATCTTGCTTTTCTGCAGTTCCATGAAGCCTGGCACAAACTTATGGAATGGCTGGAAGAGTCAGAGAAATCTTTGGACTCAGATCTTGAAATTGCAAATGACCCTGACAAAATAAAGATGCAGCTTGCACAGCATAAGGTGAGTTATGAGTGATGAAATGCAAAGTGCCCAGTGAAATGTAGGAAACTCTGTCAGCTTTGTACTGTTCAGTCAGCAGAGGAAGTAGACTTGTGGCCTCACTACAGTGGAATGCTTATTAACATCTAATTAAATGGTCGTGTGTTACAGGTGGGGAGTGAAAAAAAACTTTTCACAGTACCTGATCTGTGGGGGAATTGTTAACTATGAAGAGGAAAGACATAATAATACAGCACCATGGAAACTTTAAAAAACAAAGTAATGCTATCTCAGAATAGGAATCTCTGAAGAGGTTTTATTACAGGCTTTTTTCAATCCTTAAGCCACAAATTTAGCATCCAGTTATTTGGGTTGGGATTTTCTTCTTAATACTACAGGATGATCTCAAAACTGAAAACTAATCTTGTATTTTGATTGGCAGTTGCTTTTTGTGTCAAGTGGAAATATTAACGAAATCCTCTAGAAAGTACAATCACACCATTACTAGCAAAGGTTGTTTTCTTCATGGGATTCAAAATTCTAGGACCAGCTTTCCACACACCCAGCTACTGTAGGTGAAAATGTAAGTCTCCCTGATTGACCTGGCTTTTCAAACAAATAATGATAATGTAAAAGCTCTGTAGTTCCATCAGACACAGAGCAAAAGGAAGGACAGAAGAAGTTTCCGCTTAATTTTTACTTTTGTAAAGAGCCTAGAATAATACATTATGGAGGATCAAGTGGCTGAGTGGTAGAATCTTCAGAGGCAGACTGTGTCCCAAGATTTAACTTGGAGCAGTTTCATCAGAGTATAGAAAGATCATTCACTTTTCTACATTTTGGCATATGTTGACTTCTACTTTTCATGTCAGTTTTATTGTTCTCCATTTAATCTTATTTTTTCATTCTGCACAATAGGGTTTGCATATCTAATTTTTTCCCTGTCAGTGTCGCTTCTGATGATTGCTTTTACCTCTGACAAGTTTTGCCATGTATACTAATGATGGGTTACTGCATCTGTCTGCTTTATATTTTTGTCATCTCTCAGTTTACATGATGATTTAAGTATTATTTGTCAACCAGGAAAATACTCCCCTTTAATATGGGGAAGTTGGCTGTTGGTCAAGCAAAAACAGTTTTACCTATGTTTGCTGTTAAAACTTTTAGATAAAACCTACATTAACATGCTGTTATGCTAAGTCTGCAATTTCAGTTTGTTCTGAGATTGCTGCTGTTGCCAGAATTTGAAGTCAGTGATGGGAAGTTGGGGGGGGATCTTGGGGGGGGGGAATCTTTCTGTTAAGATAGTCTTTCTTGCCTTCTCTGACTCTATCAATCTTTTAATCCTTCTACTCCTCTCTTCTTTATAAAGTTCAAACTGCTCACAAGTATGTGACTGTGCTTTGAGGTCCTTTAAGGTCCTGAGGTTTGACTCTCTACCTTTATTCTCCTCCCCTCTTCTGAAATGTTAAACTTGATAATCCCACTTGTTCTTTATACCTACAGCAGTACATTTTATGAGCCCAAACTTCCTCACGTGGATTGGCAGACTTATCACTTCTCTCAGATATCTTTTCTCCAGCTTCTTTTTGTATAAAATGCCTGCAGAGAATAGCTACTTAAGTTGCTTGAATCTCATTTCCCATTAAGGAATGGGATGGAATGTGGCACAGGGACATTAGGGTTGAAACTGGTGGTTTGGAGGAAGAAGATGAATGTGTGTGAGAAAGGGAGTTCTGTGAACTTTGTGACTTGAAACTTCAAACAAGCGCCCCAAGAAATCAACTCAATTGTTTTTTAATGAGCTGTCATACCTCCCAACACTGCAGTGTCCTTCCTTGTATTTTGAGTCTTTTCCTTCCACTCCCACATGTACCCCCTGTGTCTGTCTTTGTCTTTTCTGTCCAGCCTTGAAGGTTTCCTAGCTCCATTTAGTTAACTGAACTGAATATGTGCTCTGTGTGTTCTGTAAGCAATAATTTGGACTCACTCTTTGCCAGTTGTTACTGCCAAAAAAAGAAGGCCCTGAAAGAGAAAAGCCAAGATAATATGTTTTCTCTCTCACTCGTACCTAGTGTGTTGCCAGGGACTTTTGGGGGTTATTCATGGTCTGTTTATCAGAAATTTTTTCTCATTTTTAGAAGTCGGGAATGGAAAAACCCTTACTAGGTCACCCAATCCATTCTTGTGCTAATGCTGCCTGTTCCTTGCAGTACACTTTTATGAACCTGGCTAATTTTATCTGTATGTTCCCATCTTCCTTAGATGGAAGGTAGGTAGTTAATTACTGAGATTTCGTTCATCTTGCCTGTCTGCTGCTGGCAGCTTAAACCAAAATCTACTCTCTGTTACACCTCTGTGAAATCAAATGAAAGTAGATTTAGTGTCATGTTTGTAGTCGCTCAAAGAATTAATTGACTGCAAGCCTTCGTTCACCTTTAAATCGATTTTTCCTGTGTGATCCTTCTGTGGCAGCAATTTCATTGTGTTGCCTTGTGCAAATCAAGTAACACTGTGCATGTACTGGTAAGTAATTAATAAACCCTATCAAAGAAAAGGAGCACAGACATATTGTTTGTATGGAAGGAACTTTTATGAAAAAACGTTTATTTTCATTTTGAAAATTCTTTTTATTTTTATTGTAGTTCTAGCTTGACAATGGTGTTTGTATTCTTTCTTAAAGTGAGTGTGTTTCCTTGTTTTATATGAGGAAAATGAAAGGACAGTAAGCAGTAAGGAAATGCTGAATTACAAAACAAATTCTCCTTTTTTTTTTTTTTTTTTTTTTTTTTTTGGATAATGAATTTTGATCCTCAGTTCCTTCTGGATCCTGAAATAACCCTAAAGTAAGGACAGTACAGTGCAAAATACTAAGCAAGTTTTAAAAAAGGAACCTTGAATCACCCTAGGTAAAGTTGTCATACTGTCTACATGGCATAACTCAAAGCCTACCTCCTACTTAAGACACCTCCATTCCAGTTGAGCTTTCCCTGACACACTTTCACATCTAAAAAGAGCAGATGACTAGGTGGACACATGGGAAAGTTGGTGGAAGAGTTGTGAGGTACCGTGGTACAGGTTGGTGCAGGCCAGCTGGGAACAGCTTGCCAGTTGGAGTGGAACAGCCATGCATGTGCCAACAGTGACCATGAGGAATCCTTGCAATCTTTATGCACCCTGAGGAATTACTATAAGTTGTAAGTGGTAATAATTTCCTTGCTGGATTTGATGATACTGAACATTGCTCTGAGAACGAGATGAAAAATCTGTTTCAGCAAACGCTAAACAAAAACTCTTTTGGCCTAGTATTTTTTGTGACAAAAATAACCCCATAATATATATTTGATTCTGTATATAGGAGTTTCCAAAAGCAAACTTGTGATTTATTTTATGTTTTTTATTAACTGATTTCCTTCTAGCAGTTCATGAAGGTGTGAAATAAAACACTTTGAGCATTGCTACATTTTAAAAGCTGCTGTGTAGGGCTGGGTTTGTGTTTTGGCAGTGTTTCTTTAATTATTTACTCTGTCAGTCGGTTAACTCCTCTGCAGTATCAGATGAGCTGTGTTTCTGTGTGCTTCTCTGTGCCTGTGAAAAGCTTCCAGGGGCTCTGTGCAGAAGGAGCTGTCAGAGTTGGCAGGCAGATGCAACTGCTGTGTCACTGTCATCTTCCAAAGTCCCTGGATCACAGAAACCTGCTTGTGATCATGACTTCCAGCCCAAACTGTGTTACTGGCATGTCACCTGGCTGCTTCTTGTGCCTGGATCTGTATACTTTTGGCATACAATTCTTCCCAGTTATAGTATGCTTCAATCTTAGGAGGGTTAAATGCTTGTGGTTGGAGGTTTCCCAGCCTGACTATGCTGAGCTAAAACAATTACCTTTGTAGCCCTTGGGATGCTCTACACTGGCTTGAAATCTTAGTATGTAAAAATGTAGTGTGAAGACTGCTCAGTTCATGGCTCCCAAAGTAGCAGTTCTTTCACATTCTTCTGACCACCAGGTAGCCCCTTGCTGAAAAATAAGGATATTATGGTAGGACAGGAATCATTGCTCTCACTGAAGGAGGGATCTTCCGGAAGTTTTTCCAGTAGGCATAGAGCTACATTCCTGGAGAGGGACAAAACGCAGAGGCTCTGCAAGTATCAAGCCCCATATAATTTCAGGTGTACTGTGGCACTGGAAGACTAGAAATTTTGCAGTAAATTTAAAATTTTCTTGCAGCAACATCTACAACTTCCATTGCAAATAATATGTCAAAGATTAATTAACTGTGGCCTGTAAGCAGTTAATGCTATAAGGGTGTTTTCTTTTTCTTCCACATATATAGGAATTCCAGAAATCTCTTGGTGCCAAACATTCTGTGTATGATACCACAAACAGGACTGGACGCTCCTTGAAAGAGAAAACCACTTTAGCTGATGACAATTTGAAACTTGATGATATGCTGAGTGAGCTAAGGGATAAGTGGGATACAATTTGTGGAAAATCAGTGGAAAGGTAAATGGAAACCAATCTAATTATTCAGCAGATAAGAAAAAGGCTTAGGAGACTTCTTTTGGCTTCTGTTGTGTAAAAGTAAAACCAGAGTGGCTAGCTTGTTTGATAATTAAGAGTGCCAAAGCAGTAAAATACTAGAAATGCATACTTTCCTGATGGTACGGAAGAGGACTGGGGCGGGCGAGGGGGGGGTCCCCAACTAATTAAAAAGGGAAGCACTGATTTAAAGCTCTTAGCTGTTATCATTTTATGCTGAAAATATTTTCTTAAAATGTGTTAGTGATTTATTTTTTTTCTCTGTGTGTGTGTGTGTGTGTTCGGTTTTTGTTTCTTTTTTTTTTTTGTTTCTGTTTTTTTTTTGTTTCTGTTTTTTTTTTGTTTGTTTGTTTTTTTTTTCCCCCAGACAAAATAAACTGGAGGAAGCCCTGTTATTTTCGGGGCAATTTACCGATGCTCTGCAAGCTCTCATTGACTGGTTATACAAAATTGAACCTCAGCTAGCAGAAGATCAGCCGGTACATGGAGACATTGATTTAGTGATGAATCTGATTGACAATCACAAGGTAATTCCAAAAATACTCTTTTTTTAAAAATTACTAGACTGCTCATAACTGTAGCATTTTAATGCTATCTTTATTTGGCTATTCTGTAATTTTTAGAAACATGAAATAGTTTTATGTCATCAACAGTGGAAAATGCTGTAAAACATACGTGGAAGACAATGACTGTTAAGGACTCATTGACACCAGTTGGTATTGAGATAAATTTTGTTTAATGCTGCTATCCTGTGTATGAATATCTTGTCAAAAATCACAAGTGTGCATTTATGAATATGTGTGTATGGACAAGAGGTGGCAAAAATTATTTTACTGGAAATCTTTGGGGGAGACATGGCTTTTTATTTAGCACATCTGCTAACCAAATGTCCAATGCACTCATCATGACTACAGCAGCCTTTCAAACCTGCAGGGCTGCTGTATATTAATGGAGAAAAGTAGCTGCAATGCTTAAGTTATGCATGGGAGTACACAGCTAGAATATGGACCAGGAAGCCTACACTGACAAGCTGCAGTATTTTGTTACCGAAATGGTTTTGGAGATGGAAGCAAGTAGGAGATGTAGGACTTTGCCTCTGAACCCCAGTTTCGCAGTTCAGTATGTCAGAAGAAACAGCTGTTGAAGTTACTGGTATTGCCAATGCTACATGCAGTCAGAGCTCTGGAGCCTGGGAGGTTTACGAGGTGAAGGTGCCTCTGTTCATCCACCAGTGACTTCCAGTATGCAAAGACTGTTCAGTGAGGAGGAGATTTTGTCCCTCATGAAAATAATTATTTGGAAACATGGGTTGTCTATAAAAAGTAGCCTGAAATATGCTGGAATTGCTTCTGAAATCTCATTGTATATCACAAGCAAGTCATACTCAGTGGCATGGTATACTGTAATCGTCATATCTTTTTTTTAAGAGCTTCCTTTATGTACCTGGGGCTTGTTCCATCTGCAAATGTGAACATGCTTTTACATAAATATATGAATAAGTGGTGAGATCTACAGCCTTGCAGTCAGACCTTCAGATGGGGCTTTATTTCTGTTTTTACAACTTCAAACATTCTCCTTGATTGTTAGCATTTTATCTGATCTTTTCCTGCCGAGGCAATCTTGTGCATTAATCAGCGTGTCAGATCAATTGCTTTGATAAAGAGTGTAAAGCCAGTGTGATAAGGAGACTAGATTTCCCATGCATTGCATCAGGATGGGTTCTCAGGATCTGCCTGACATTTTCCTACCATATTCCAGTTTTATTAGGATAAGGTAGAGTGTAAATATCTTCATATGGAATCTCATAAGCAGAACTTTTGTGTTTTGCATCACTTAGATGGAATTACTCTTGACTGAACTGAATCTGTATTTTGATTTCTTCTTACAACCAGTACTTTTTTGTTATTCTTTACATAATTATGCCTTAATGAGTTAAAGATTTCAAATGTATTTGGTGGTGCCTAGGTTTTCCAGAAGGAGTTGGGAAAAAGAACAAGCAGTGTCCAGGCTCTGAAGCGCTCTGCAAGGGAGCTGATAGAAGGCAGCCGTGATGACTCTTCTTGGGTCAAAGTCCAAATGCAGGAGCTAAGCACTCGCTGGGAGACAGTTTGTGCCCTGTCAGTATCCAAGCAAACACGACTGGAACAGGCTCTTCGGCAGGTAGAGGAGTATTACTGATACTACATCTCCTTTATGAGAAGCAGTGAAAATACCTTGCAGTCTAGTTGCCAAAAATTTAATTTCATTTTCACTTCATGTCATTCAACTTAATTTAGTTCCATTTGAAAGTACTTATTTTCTTGCTCACGCATTGCTTACCTTGTCTCCGTCCCTTTACCACAGCACATAAATAATGCCTCTTAGCATTTACTAGTGCCGTTACTATTAGTCTATACCACAAATGCAAAGCAAATGTTTCAAAGACCTTACCATCTAAGGAAATCACTGAAGTTACAGTCAAGCATGAAGGGTAATGAAGAAGTATGCCCCTTTCACAGGAAGCTGGAGATTGCAATCATGTTTATGCCCTTCGTGCCTTATTGGAAAGAAGTAAATTTGTGTACTGAAAACTTGCTTACATTGGCACAATTACAGTGCATAGCGAAGTACATAGTGCAACCCCTTTTCTTCTGCAGAGTGAACTCGGGAGCTAGAACTCAGGAGCTAGAACAGTGTATGTGTGTCAGTATCGGCTGGTACCCAAACAAATAGGTCCATATGTGTTGTTTCCAAACCTGAGATAATATAGATGTAAAGCTCTGTGAAGACATACTAGCTTGGGCTGATGCTAGGATGGGGCTCCTGCAATAGCGATGTATCCACAGTGTACATAATTCTTGCCCTACTTTTCCCAGGGTACTGTGTTTGTGCAGTTCTCCAGTCTCTCAGCAGGCACAATCCTGAGCTGCCTCAAACACTAATTGTGTCTGAATATGTCTGTGCCCAAAGGTGGAACTTTCTTGTTTTCTCCAGACGTAAAAGGGTCAGCCACCAGTGGGCTGTCAATTAATTTTGCTTAACTGGTGTTTTAAGCTATGCAGAAAATACAGCTCTCATCTCTCCAGCTGGTCCATGAAAGCACCTCCCATGTAATTTGTCAGCATAAAGGCATGACATTCTCAACTGAGCTGCAAATACACTGTAAATCAGATGGCTAAGAGCATGAACAGGCTTTTAGGCTTCCTATAATTTTGGGGAGAAGCATGAGATATTTTTACGGTTAAGAAAATGTACTACTGTGTATCATTGACTTTTTAATGGAAAGTTGATGTGCCAGTACTGATGATTAATGACTCCAGATGTGGGCTCAGTCTCCTTATGTAAGCTGCAGTGTGTCTGTCAGATCCCCTCATGAGTGACCATGACTACTTTTTGCATTTTAACAGGCAGAAGAATTCCACTCTGTTGTCCATGTCCTTTTGGAGTGGCTGGCAGAGGCAGAGCAGGCTCTTCGTTTCCACGGGGTCCTTCCAGATGATGAAGAGGCCTTACGTACATTGATAGACCAGCACAGGGTAAGAAGAAAATGAAGAGGGTTCTCTTCATTCTAATAAGCCTGTTAGAGGGTAGAATAAAGGAAAGGAAGCAGTCTGTCCCATATAGTCATATCCAGCATCCAATGTTTGCTTTTGCAACTGTTTCTGTAGAGAAGCTAGAAATTCAATGGAGTTGACAGATTTGTGCCCATACTGATGCTGGGCTCTTGTTAGAGTCATCTTGGTTTACTAAGAAAATAATGGACCTTTAGAAAGTTGCTGTAAACATTTAGAGACACATGCAAACCCCTCTGTGGAATATATGCTGCCTGACAATTATAATAGACTGCTACAGTAGCAAAAGTAGTAAAATAGTCTTAGCACTATTGAGCAAAACAGCATATACTTTTCTTTCAAGGTCATTTGTAAATGTCAGCAGAATGATGTTATCATCCATTAACCTTTTGTCATGGTGAAACAGCGTGCTGTCATGCTTCACATGCATTAGGTACTGAAATATTGCAGTGCCATAGGTACTGCAGATACTAGATTGTAGGCCATCAAACTTAACTTTGCAGTAACGAAATGGGAAGATGGCTAAGGAGCATAAAGGTCCTATTTTCACTCTCGAAACAGGAGGCTACAAACACGCACGTTTAAGCCCATGCAAACTCTTCTTGTAAGTGCAGTAGTAACAGTACCAAGTACATAGTGTAAAAATGAAATTGCCCACAATGTTATAGAACAAATTATAAGAGTAATGGATTTGTTCATCATTGCTCTGAAGAAAGTTATAACAAAACTTATGAAATGGGGAGTGGAAAAGCATCCTGTTTAAATTGAGTTTGGGAATATTATTATGCAGAGGAGTGCGTGCAGGGTATGAACTATCTAATGGTTCTTAACTAGGGAGTTTTCAAGGTACTCAAACTTCACTGTTCTGAAGTTTTCAGATTTAATTTAGGGCCCTGGAAACTGGGTGCTATTCTTTAGCTGGCAAATGTATGTATGCATCAGTGTATGTTGACTCATGTTGGCCGTAGCAACTTGCTGTCTTCGATGGAATGAAATTGGTCTTTTAGCTGCCTTTCCTCCACAGGTGTTCGTCGGTTCCCTTTTACTTAATTTTTTGTTTTTTTCTGAATACAGAGGAAAGAACTGTCTGAATGAAATCTTAGGTCCACTGAAATCATTAGGGAAAAAAAAAAATCTTAAATTTCTCCCTCTGCAATGTAGATTGATTAACAAAATATTTCTGTACAAAGCTCAAAATTGTGCTGACAAAGCTGAAGCATAACTTGGAACCTCAAACCAAAACAAAGTCTGTCTCTGAGAAACCCTGTCCAGCTGGGGAAGAATAATCACTAGCACAACACAACCAACCTGAGTGTTAGATGTGGCCATACTGTACTTAAAATTTTTTTAGTAGACTTTAGAAAATGTTCTCCCAACCACATTTTCTTCTTAAAGGCCAAATAACAGAAATACAAAAATCGTCAAGCTAAGAAAGATTGTGGCACTGCTGCTTTACCAATAAGCACATGCAGCAAAATCTTCCTTGAATGAGTGGTCTCTTCTCTTAAGCTTGTAACACTAGCTTTCAAGAAGAAAAAAAAGAAAATAAGGAAAAAATGTAATATTTTATCATACAGACATGGTGTTTAAAAATAATACTGCAGTATTAATATCAAAAAAATACAACTGACATTATTCACGTAAATATGAAATGTATCTTCCTTTTATCACTGTGATTCTTGTAAAATAGTTTAATGCATTTCTATCCAGCTACTTGTTGAAAGGTTTCTTCAGGACGATATTTTATCCAAACTGTCCATCGTTATGCCCATTACTGATTATTTATTTTTTTTTCTTGAATACTGCATGTGATTTAATGAATTCTACGATCTCAGGCAGAGAGGTTTCTGTCACTCACCATCCTCGCTAGGGACTGAGAGGTATAGTGGGTTAATGCACTGCATTAGCTAATGAGAAGCATCCCATCTACTCTTTTGTAAATGTCTCTATATCACTGGACTGCCACAGAGTTCAATACAATTAGTATCCTTTACTGAGGGAAAGCTTAATACACTGTATGTAGTATGTCATAGATTTAGATTTTTGATATATTCTACTACAGTTGTGCAGAGAAAAACAATCTTGTTGTTGCCTGTTTTCCTCCTGGTCCCGGCTTATTTTGGTAGTCTCTCACTACAACCCACCTCGACTTTTCCAAAACTATTTTGAACTGAAATACTGTAAGAACTCACACATTTTTATGAGAGAAGGACTGCTATTGTGATTGGGTCTTAAACTCCAACATTAATTTAAGCTTAAGTCAAAATCAGTTAGTGATGAATATCTTTAGATATACAGCCTACCTATTCCAGGCTTTTAGAACAAGGTAGAAGAGATTATTTTTTTTCCACACTTTTATTTTGTAATAGCTTCATATTTAATTTGTAAAGGCACAGGATAATGTCGTTATGAGTTGTTGTAGAATCTGTTTTTATGGTGTTTAGGTGATTTTGAATTTTCTAAGATCTGACTTGGCTGATACATAATTTCTGGAATCCAAAATAGCCCTTTGTAGATGGAGAGAGGAAGAGTTAAACTTCCAGAGACATGGTTCCATTTTGTAGCCCAATTAAAGATGTTAAAATGTAACAATTCCACTAGGCACTGAGAGATGTTGGCAGTTCTAGTTAAGGGTGCTCACAAAGACACACAGACTTACACAACATTTAGACTTAACAAAATAGGCAGAATAGTAAAACCATTGTAGTAGCAATAATAATAATTTTAAAAAAAAAGAAATGTAAACTATATAAAGGATGGGAAAAGTCCTTCAGTTTTTTTGTTGTGTTGTCTGTCCCGTCCCGTCCCCCCGCCAAATTCTGGTCTTGCCACCCTTTCCTTTGCCAGACTCCCTAGGAATATCAATGGCTATGAGCTTGGATGTCTAAAGCTGTAAACATCCTTTTGCTTTTACAAGATTTTTCCCACATGGCAGTGCCTCTGAAAACAGCTGCTTAATTAGTAGCCTCTGCCCCTGTTCTTGCTGTCTCTCTCCCCCTCAGCTGCTGAGTTTTCACATTTGTGTTAGTTTAGTATAGCTGCTCCTGAAGTTCTCTATCATCTTGTCTGAGCATGTTAATTATAGTTGGACATTTCCAGCCTCTGCTAGGAGCTTGATAGTTTATTGTGAAGAATATATTGTGAAGAATAACTTGACAGACAAACTAAGTCATCTGAAATGTTGCCAATAATGATTCTAACCATCACATCGTTGATTTACAGCACTTCTAAAATGCTGTAATTCCTTCTTTTTTTAATAAGGGCATATGTGTCTCAAGTATTTACAGTATGGTGGGCTTTTAAGGAGTGGCAAGCTGGGGTAAAGAGTTTTAGAGCTTCATTTAGTACTTTATGTGGAATAGGCCTTATAAACTTTTTTAACTTCTCAGAGAAATTAAACATGCTTCTTGCGAGTTGAATCTGTTCGAGCAATTGAGAGGCTCGTGACCTTCCATATTATGCACTCAGATTTCTCTTGCAAATTTTGTCAACATGTAACTGAAATGGTTACCTCTGGTTTAGGAATTTATGAAGAAACTGGAAGAGAAAAAGGCAGAACTGAATAAAGCAACAGGTATGGGAGAAGCTATCCTAGCTATCTGCCACCCAGACTCCATCACCACTGTTAAGCACTGGATAACAATCATCAGAGCCAGGTTTGAAGAGGTCAGTATATGCCAAGTCATCTTCAATGCAACAGTCCATCTTTGATTGGAACATAGCTGACAACTAACATAGTAGTTACACTGGGAGGAAATGAGCCAGCTGTTGAGAACTAAACATTTAAAATACCCGCCGTGATGGATGTGAATACCATGCTTCCCTAGGTTTTATTTTAAAACTTATAGGGCTTTAAGAACTAAAGCAGATGGTCAAGCTTCTTTGTATGTGTTAAAGGAAATACTGCCTGACACTTCCCACGTGAAGAAAGCCAGTAGTTTCTAGGGACAAACTTTAAAGTTACAAAGGAAAGAAAATACAGGGCAAACTTGAAGCATTTTCTAATTGCATTAAGGAGGATTTGAGTCCAACATATTCTTAATCTAGAAGATCTCCAAATTATTTAAGTGGCTGCAAATAGGTCTCAGAGAGTGTACCAAACTCTCAGCTGCTAAGGTGGTGTTTTCTGTGTATATTAAGTTTAAAGAAAAACAAAATACTGGTGTTAGCAAAGCGTGGCTTCAGGAGTGTTCAAGAGGAAGGTGGACACCAAAATCCTGCATGATTCACTAACTTATACCTATTGTTTGATAAAGTTCTTAATATGTTGCCTGAGTGTGCTATTTACTGCATTTAACAGCACCTAATCCTGAACATCTGTGGAAAAAAAAGTGTTGAATTGGGAATTCTAGTTACCTAGCACCTTTAGTGATCAGCCACTGCATCTAGCACTTTTGAAAGTCAAACATCAATAGGCCTGGGAGGAAGCTCTGGGTTTACAGTTATCAGAACAATTTTAAATGCATTTTAAAGAATTTCAGATGTGCACATACTCATGCATTGGTTCTTTTATCAAGGTCTTAGCATGGGCTAAACAACATCAACAGAGACTGTCAGGAGCTCTGGCTGGACTTATTGCTAACCAGGAACTGCTGGAAGCTTTGCTGTCCTGGTTGCAGTGGGCAGAGACTACACTTACTGAAAAAGATAAAGAGGTTATCCCCCAGGAGATTGAGGAAGTTAAAGCACTTATAGCCGAACATCAGGTAAGGCATGTTAAGTGATATGTGTCCTACACATTCCACAAATGGTGCTCACATCTCAGCTAGGCTTCGTAATCAAGTGTGAATCTCCTTAGCTATTTTCTTTCCTAATAATCAAATCCCTTTTCAGATACTCAGTTGTGTGTTTTGTACGTGTAGGATGTGCACGTAGTTCATTCAATGAAGAGGTAAAAAACCAACCAAACAAAAATTCAGTGCCACATTGTTCTAAAGCAAACCTACAACTCCCTATAGGAACAAGGAAGATAATAATAATGATAAAAAAACCCCACATGAAATATATGATAGTGCTGCTGCCTTATAACTAGTGTTGCAGTGTGGCTTTACTGATTGGATTTCAAAAATACATTCATGAAGTGCCAGAAGGAGCTGCTGGTGCAGTGAATGCTCATACCCCAGTTTACACACCAGAGCTGTCTCACTTTTGTGAACTGCAGTCTGGACAGCAAGGAACACCTGAGTACTCAGAGTCAAAATTCTGTAGTACGTCACCTCACCCTACACAGTTAATGAAGGAGTCTGACAGACTGTTTTTTTAAATGTAACCTTCCTTTAACAGCCAGGCCATAGTGGTCTTAAAATCTTACACTGTTGATTTTTCTTACCTACTAAAACCTTTATCTGTGTCTTTTTTGTGAGGCTGGCATTATAAGAGGCTTTCTGTGCCAGTCTTGTAACTTTGGTGTTTTGCTATTGTATGTGGTTTTCATTCCTGTGGTCACTTTTGTGTATTGTGAATTAAAACCATCTCTATCTGATTGCAGACATTCATGGAGGAAATGACCAGAAAACAACCTGATGTGGATAAAGTTACAAAGACCTATAAAAGAAAGGCACTTGAATCCACTCCAGTACAATCTCATATTCCTGTCCTTGATAAGGGGAGAGCAGGCAGTACGTAATGAAGTGTTTTGCGGCAGGTCACACACATCATTGCTCTATCTATGAAGATAACAAATTATTAGTAATCTAATAGGTTTGATTAGCTTCTAGTGAAACTGGGTGAAATTCTCTTGGCTGATTTTTCTAATTATCTCTCATTTTGCATTGTGAGGTAACTTCTCATAGCAGACTTGTATTTTTAGATTTTGTCCTATACTTCTTGAATACTTTTTTCTAAAGTGTGCAGCTTTTCATGTGCTATTAAACTTCTAAGAGTGTGCATGTGCTGAGTCTTTGCAAATCTACCATTATCTGAAAGTGTAAACAACTTCTTTTACATAAAGATGTAGAGACAAAATTTTGCTCTTACTGTCTGTGAAATTATATGGATCCAATTAGAAAGTGTGTTCAGTGAAGTTGAATGGAAAGTGAATCAAGTGAGGAAATTGCTTTTTGTTTTTTTAGATATACTTACCCATTGTACTTTATATTTACCCATACATGGAATCTGCTTCTAAAATCAGGTTGTTTACTTTGCAACTCTGAGAGACTTGCAAAGATTTTATTTAAACTGTGCAGCTTCACTGGTGCAGGCACTACTAGCTGCTTCTGACTAGACAAGAGATACTTTAACCACCATGTGGTCCTTCCCCAGCAATGGTGTTAAAAAAAAAAAAAAAAATCCCATTAGATGGAATCATATCAGGGTATGGGCTCATTATTTGGGACAGGAAGGAGCAGTTTTAGGAAGGTCAAGTACCTTTAACGTGAATGTTTTGTTTGAACAGGGTGAGACTTACACATTTTATCATGTTTTAACAGGAAAGCGTTCCCCAACACCAGGCGTATATCCATCAGCAGCCCAGGCCCAAATCGAAACCAAAAATCCTCGGGTAAACCTTTTAGTCAGCAAATGGCAGCAAGTCTGGCTTCTGGCCTTGGAAAGGAGAAGAAAACTTAATGATGCTTTGGACAGACTTGAAGAGGTCAGAAAAGGACTGTACAAGAATATACATACTTTTTGCATAATTTTGTTTACCCTGGATTAAATTGTCAATACTGTAAATACTGTAAACAACTTCCGTATTTGTGGTATTATATTGTATGATACAGCTAACTGAAAACACTGTGATACACGTGCTTTAACATGCTTTAAAAGCTGTCATTCTCATTTTAAATGTGAGGAGAGTTAAGATGTTTGAAGTGTTTATATAGGTCCTCAAAGAACCAGTTATTCTAAAGAACGCAGATAGTATCTCTCTCACTGATTTTCTAGATTGATTGATTTCAACTGAAAAAAGTTCTTTGTCTTTTTTATTAAGCTGAGAGAATTTGCCAACTTTGATTTTGATATTTGGAGAAAAAAATACATGCGATGGATGAACCATAAGAAGTCTCGTGTGATGGACTTCTTTAGGAGGATTGATAAAGATCAGGATGGAAAGATAACAAGGCAGGAATTTATCGATGGAATTCTTTCTTCAAGTAAGTTTTAAAATTAACTCAGTGTTGGACTTGGAACAAACATCTCATGAAGTCTTACTGTCTATATAGTGTACCCTATGTGGTTTATTGTGTTAGGTCACAGATTTCCCTTTCAAAGTCATTAATTATGATTACCTTAAACTATAATTATTTTACTTGAAAATATTTCTAGATTCTAGAAACTTTCTAGTTCTTTTACGTCGTGAATCAGATGACAAAGGTCACATTTATATTATTGGCTAATTAATAGTTTACTGGTTTACTGGACCCGGATTGTCATTCCTACAGTACACTAGCCACTCCAACAATTACTTTCGATTTATTAGTCTGAACAGTAAAACATACCTTAAAACCTACAGATAATTTTCAAAATCAGTTCATATGATCATATGATTTTTATTGAAGAACTATATATGGAATAGTTTCAATTATAGAAGGAAACCATGTAATTTCTGAAACCAGTGTTTGCATGAACCATGACCGTGTTCATATACCTTTATAATGAGGATGAAAATGTCAAGCAATCAGACCAGGAAGGGACTTTTCCTAGCTTTCCTGATGGATTGGTATTCCTTAGGTATGCACAGTTGGTGGTAACATAAGCCTTCCACATCATGTCTCTGTGTGATCACGTTTGCCTTTAGCAACTGACTCAATAGATAAGGGCCTACTAAAAATAATCGTTTATCTTCAGATTATAGAGACTTTTGCTTTCAGCAGTGAAGAATCAGAATTGGGCTGCTTTTAGCATCTCATGTTAAAGTTACTTAGTACAAGAATATTGTAGTGTGTATATTTCCCCCCCTGCTTTAGAAAATGCAGTAATACAGTCACTATATGTGCACATCGCTGTTTTGCATGAATTGGCAGAAGTTGATGAAAAAAACCCTGATACCACCAAGAGGTTAACTTACTCATTTAACTCAGTTGCTACCAAATTGTTATAATTTATGAGTACTCATGATTTAATCCCTGTTCACCGTCTTGACCGTTTCCTAGAGAATCTCTGCGTGGGTTAATATTCTGCTGCTATGAACTTGATCTAAAGAAGGGTTTCACGAAACACCGTGCATGTTTCTGCAGTGGGAAGGCCTTGCATTAATTAGCAGTGAAATTCTTGGTTGACCTTTCCTCACTAACAATTTATCTTGTTAATCTGTGGTATCTTATGCACTTTGAAGGTCAAAATGTTAAAAAAAAATAATAATACATATATCTTACAGTTTAATCTGTGCTCTTGCTTCTGTGTCTCTCTTCAAGCCACACTATGATACTCATTTTAATCCAATATCTAGGTAACACTGAAGATCCAGATTGTTTTTTCAGAAAGATTCCTTCGCTCTGTTGAATGTCCTTGGGTTCTTTGATAAGCATTGTCTGTCACTTAGTGTCTAAAAACCTTTTAATGTTTGTGATAAAGCCTTTCATTGTAATGGGATTGAAAAGCCAAAAAACTTAGCTTTTGTTGTTGTCTTTATCTTACAGAATTCCCAACAAGCCGGCTTGAAATGAGTGCTGTTGCAGACATTTTTGATAGAGATGGTGATGGATATATTGACTACTACGAATTTGTAGCAGCTCTTCATCCAAACAAGGATGCATACAAGCCTCTCACAGATGCTGACAAAATTGAAGATGAGGTACATTTTCTGCTTTCTTAGATTGCACTCTATTCTACTGCAGTCATGTTCTTTAATGAGTAATTTTATTTGCACTCCTACGTGATTTGAAGTTTACCAGTTACACAGATATTTAGAAATGTGATATTACCAGTAAAGTAATCATCCAGTTGTGTTTTTTTGCAGGTTACAAGACAGGTAGCTAAATGTAAATGTGCAAAGCGGTTTCAAGTGGAACAGATTGGGGATAACAAGTACAGGGTAAGTCTTCTAAGGACCTTCTTAGTTCTTTCAATTTAGAGATTCTTCGTATGACATGGTTATACAAGGAACTAGGCTATATTAATTTACAGGTATTTGTATGACAACTATATGTTTTCTTACTTTAAGCTTGTCTAAATTTGTGGTTCTTTTCCTGTTAGAACATATAGGCTAAAAATATGGGAAAAAGCTGCTGCTTATATTTATTTTCACTGAAACTGCTGAAACTGTTTTCAATGTATGGGAATTTCTAAAAGCTAACTGCATGCATGCATACATACATACAACAGATCCTTAAAAGCCAATCTTTTTGCCTGGATACCTGAAGTGTTTAAACTGTAGCTGATTTTCTGTTAGTTTCGTAGAAACAGTGGTATTTTCCTGTGGTATTGTGTTGTACTTTTAAAATCTTTTACCAAAGTGTATTCAGTCACTTTTATCCTCCCTTGTTATTTTATTGGAGCATGCTATTCCTTCTGAAGAAGTACAAGAAACATGTTAAGATATCTGCAGAATGATTTTAGGTCACAGAAAAATAAATACCACATTGTAGAGAAAGATCTCTACCCCTAGATTCAATACCCGGAACAATTTGAGATGAAATATGCAATATTTGGCTAAGAGAGTTTACTGAGTACTTGTAGATGATTGTAAAAGACCAGAAAGACAGCAATAGGAAGGAAACAAAGGCCTTGAATATTTTTCAATATTCAGTCTCCGGATGGTTAGCTACCTGCTCTGAAGTAGATACTTTATTTAGAATGTCTGATGTGTTAGTTTGCATGTGTTCTTGAGTCATATAGAGAATTTCCTGTAAACTAATCGTGTCTTTCTTCCATTTTTCATTTCTTATCAGTTCTTCCTGGGAAATCAGGTATAAACCAGTGGAATGTGTTATGAAGTTTCTTTTTTTCTTTTTTTTTTGTTTTCCTAACACATAGTGATTTAAGCTTGCAATGTTCAGTCTTCTTACCATCCTTTCATCTTCAGCTAATTCATTGCTGGTCAGCTGTGGTATTTCTTTAAATGCTATGGAACATTCCTTTGTCTCAGGATCCCTCTTCTTCAATCCCTCACCTGCTTTTTTGGCCATTTTCTTCATTAAGGAGATTACTTTTAAAGGAACCAGATAATGGTCAGCAGCAATCCCCATAGTAAAAAATCTTGAGCATTTAAACTGCAATTTTAGTATTACTATTATTTTCTCAGTTTTCAGTTTTATAGCAGAATGCTTCAGAATTCTATGTTGTATTTTTTTAGGCTATCAGATTAAAGGCTAATCACAGTAAACACAGATCCCAGTGTCATATCACTTATTTATTGCAAATTAGGCAAAAAATGCTTTCATCTTCAGAAAAAAAAAAATCCCTGTGCAGTCAAGCAGACTGAGAGAACCTGGCTGATTGTTGGTATTTTATATACTAACGCAGTGAATCATTAAATACATATTTTGGAAATAGGCAAATTAAACTTGCTGTTCCAGTTTAGACTGTTTCCTTTCCCAAAGTGTTTTCAAAGAGCTATGGCAGGTCTATAGTATATTGGAGCTGTGTTTGAGAATACTTTTTGTCAATTGGGTCATCAGTGAGTCATGCCAGAGTGGCACTGTACAGTGGTACAGAGAGGATACTCTTAACTGGTGCTCGCTTACTCCTGTGGTTCATGCTGATACACAGCTTCTTAAATTGTTAAATCATGCTTGCCTTATGAGAATGGAAATACGTTACACAAACTGGATACCATTAGTATCTTATTCATGCTCTTACAAAGGCAATAATATGTATAATCCATTCTGGGTATGCTGGTGTTAACAGCATTAGCCATTTTAAATCTAGAGATGTTGAAAATGTAGTTGCATTCTTATTTATTGGCAAAGCCTGTTGAAGTATAGAAGAAAGCACAAAGAGCAGTGGGTAATCTTACCACATACCTCAAGCAGTATATCTAAGTAATAATTTAAAATGTTTTCCACATATACAACAAGCCTCTATCTGAAAAGACTGTTTGAAATTCTGTTAATCCTCTTATCTGCCATCTGTACTGTTAGATCTGGGAAAAACCCAGTATGTTTTGAAAGCATCTAACTCTTACTGGTACAGAACAGCATCACAGTAAAAAGCACTTACAGCAAGTTGGCTTCAGTGACGGTGATGTTATATGGCTACTGTCAAGAACAGTCCTTTTTGTAGCTTAAACTAGACTTCCTTTATGTTTTTATCCCAGTGTTTTTACCTCTGATTACTTTAAACAATGGTAAATATTGTTCAAGGAAAGTTGGTATCCAGGCCATATCCATTTTAAGAAAGAAATTGACTGTATTGCTATTAGGAAAAATGCCTTGATAGATACCTGCGTTAATTCTCCAGAAGCCCCACTGTCTGAATTAACCACAGCCTAGGCAGTTTCCAAAGTGTATCTGACCCTTGGTATAGTTGCCTAATGGAGTCTAACTGAAGAATTAAATTGGGATGGGGAAAAAATAAATAAAGAAAAAAGATAGGATCTTTAAAACCTAGAAAAAATTCACCTTAGAAACAAGCCAATGAAAATAAACAGCATCGATTTGGATGCCATTTCTCTTCTTAACTTTGATCTGCATATGTAAAATGGTTCTTTGTTCAGCACATACTGAATGCATTATTAAAAAGTAATGCTCATGTGAATGTTCTTATATATAACAACGAATTTTATTATTGAATTAAGCAGCAAGCTTTACTTTTGTTTGGTTCCTAAAAGTAATATTCCTTTAAACTTACTCTCTCTTCTTGGCTTAAGTAGTACCAAACAACTGAAGTCATTTAACAAGTAGGGAGCATGTTTGTGTGGTTTGCATTTAAAGCATTTCAGTCCCCTCACTGGAGCAAGTAGGTACAGTTGAACTATGGCCATCCTTCTCCAAGGGTCAAAGATTTTCCCAAAGAGGGACAATTTGATTCCCATTGGTTTCAGTGAGTGCTCTGCATGTTTGTGTGTGAAAGCACTACACTTGGCCTGATGATCTGATATCAAAATAAATATTTTAGTGGCCCTGGCTAAAAAGTACTGAATTCTTCTGGTTAGTTTTCATGAGATTGTGTGGTCAACGTTTTGGTCATGTTTTCTTTGATCCGGATTTGAATGGCGATACTCCATACAGGTTTTGTTATACAGGGTCCAGGAACAAAACATAGGCCTGGCCATCAGCCCAAAGGAAGAATGGGCTAGTACAAGATTTAGTATGAAACAGGTTTTTGTGTACCTTTAATTGTGAAGAACCTCGATGTGTAGACAGAGGAGCAACAGTTTATAACAAAGGACAATAATGATAGCTATCAATCATTTATTGCTTCTTCAGTGTTCCCTTCCCCATGTGCACCGCGTTGTTAGGCGAGCAGTGTCATTGCTATAACTGGAAATACACCTGTAAATGAATCAATTGATAGAACTGTGCAACATTCGTAATACATTGAATTTCCAGCCCACATACTGATCATTTAAAGCGATGCTGCCTTCCTTTCAGCTGATGTTATTAAAAACTAGGCTGTTGCAGAAGAGAGTTTGCTTACTATTTTAACAATGAAGTAATGCAAATAGGTCTTCATTAATGTGCACAAACGCAGACTGTAACCAATTAAATAATATGTTACTAATTTTGCTTCTTTTATGAGCTCAGACACTTGAGAATCAAGCATAAAATTAAACCTGAGATTCTTTCTTACCATCCTGCCATCTCCTTTGGATTAATGCAGCGGCATCTGATTTGAAATCTTAACAGCTTTAATAATCTGCATAAATAAATCTGATTTTTTTAGCATTTACTAATTATTAAATATCAAAATAAACTTTTTAAGGTGTCTGATTTTTAACCTATCAGCACTGAACTGCATCTGAATGACTGAGAACCTCAGACTGTTGTTTGATTTTTTTTTTTTTTTTTTTTATTGCAGTTTGGTGACTCTCAACAACTGCGCCTTGTTCGTATCCTAAGAAGTACAGTCATGGTTCGTGTTGGAGGTGGCTGGATGGCGCTTGATGAGTTCTTAGTAAAAAATGATCCTTGCAGGGGTATGTAACACAACTGTTAAAATGGATGTGCAGATAATTATTTGGATATAGTCACTGTTCATTGTCTCAAGATGGAGACTGAATTGTATAAAATGCCAGTTCTGTAAACATCATCTCACAAAATGTCATGTAATGATCTGTTTTTGTAAACTTTAAATCCCATGGTTAAGATCCTCTTCACTTGTACTGATGTATGTCTAGAATAACTGTGTTGTCTTCTGTGCAGTTCCTCCAGCATTAGAGTGGTGTAATTAAGAATTGAACTGAGCCCAGATAAGAGTTTATGGCATGTAAACTGCATGTATGACTTTGCAGAAATAGCACACAGAAACTTCTCTTGACAAGAGAGCAGTTTTAAGGCAATTGAATTGAAGAGTAACAACAATGGAAAAAACTTTTCTGGCTAGTGGCTGCACCCAGGCTTTCAGGCTCTGCTTTCGTAGCCCTGTCTTTTCGTTGGCATCCTCCCCAGAAACACTTTGCAGGGCCCTGAGCCTTGTACCAAGCAATTGGAAAATGCTCTGGTCAGGAGGACTTTGTGCTCTGGGGAAGCGGGGAGAGCTCTATTGCCATGCCTTCCAGGGCATTGTATCAAATGCATTGTTTTGTCAGTACACAGCAACGTAATGAAAGCCTGCTTCTGTAGTGGGAAAGTAGGCTCTGTCAAGCACCATTCTTGGAGGAACAGCTGGAGATAGGAAAGAAGCCATTTGTGAAGGGATTGGGAGACACAAGTCAAAAGTAGTCCGAGTAGTAAAATTGCAGAAAGTATAATAATGACTGTGTTGAGAGTGAGCTTGGCATTCTGTAACTAGGTAATTCTATCCCATTAACTAGCAGCATTAAATTTACTGCATTTTTACCTCTCAGGGGTTTTGTAGGATCGCAATCAATATTGTAATAGCGCAAGAACAGTACAAAGGAGTTCAGGAGAAGCAAGTGAGTTAGTGAAGACAGAGACATTAGCTGTCCTGGAGACCTTACTTCAGTGTCCGCTGTCTCACACAGCTCCTACTTTGGGACCAGGGTTTCTAAACAGTTTGATACAGACCTTGAGAGGGTGGAGAGCTTGTATTTGTAGCAATTGTCATGCTAAGTCAAGGATGTTACGTCCAAAAAGAAGCTACCACAAAACGCCATAAGGACTGACAGTGTGCCACTAATGCCTAGAAACCTTTGTCTACAGGCTACCATGAAACTTCTTATCATAGTATCATAAAAGAGCTGTCATAACCTTGTAATGACATCTGAGTTTTTCAGCAGTATTAAAAATAGTCCTTTTGCTTACCAATATATTGCATATATTGTTTACTAAAGAAATGTAACAGTAATATTACATTTATTGGTGTTGGACCACAGGTCTAACTGAAAATTAGCACCTGATTCTGCACCTGCTACTATAGGAAAGTCATTTATGCCTGCAGAACCATCCTTACTTTATAGCTTTCTACTCCTGTTCCTCAAAAGTGCACAGTAGTGGAAAATGAAATGTGCCTCAAAATATCTGACTTCATTGAAGGGTTGACTTGATTAGTTTTGATGTATCCCAAAGATTTTTCTCAGGCCTATTGACAGGTAGACACTTGCAATTCCAGTTGGGTTGACGCTGAGAGATACAGTACTTAAAAACTAAATAATCTATTGGAATTACTTATTACTGTCCTCCAATTAAGAGTCCTTTGGAACTTTATCCCCTTTTCTTTAATAAACCGTGTATTCTATGTATCTCTGTAGTATTTTCTATAGTACTTTATCACTTTTTCATGGGAAATACATGAGCAGATGTCTAAGTCAGTATAGTGGGTCTAAAGGAATACCAATCTCTAAAATCATCGAGACACTGGACATTGTGCATTGGAACCTAATCCTAGTCTTGTTGAAGTCAGTGATGCAAAGTAGTCATGGATGTCAGTGGTGCAGGATCAGACTTTTCCTTAAGCACTTCACCTAGCAAATCTGCATTTCTGCCAAGGGCTTCTCGTGTATTTGGATATATCACATTTCAAAGAACTGTTGTCATAAACAGCTTTAAAAGCATTGGACCTAGTTATATAAAATCATTGTAGCTTATATTACTTCTTTATGTCAGCAGATAAATAGCATTACACAAGTATACTTGGGACTGCAGCTGAGTCTGTCCAAGCGCTGTTTCCTTTTGGCCTGGTGCTCCGAGTCTCTTGCATATGCAGCTGCTGTACTTGATTTCTTCTCCTGCTAATGATTTTCTTTAATGTGACCCATGTCCTGTGTCATTTTTTCTAGTTCATCATCATGGGAGTAAAATGTTACGTTCGGAATCAAACTCTTCAATTACCACTCAGCCTACTATAGGTTGGCAAACCCCTCTCTTTGTCTCCTTCTCCTCCTCTTCTCCTCTGTCTTCATTTCCTTCCCACTTTTTAAATATATATACTTTTAACAATATGCTTCACCCATCATATTAGCTTAATGTGTTCCTACACGGGCTGGTGCTTTGCAAGCTAATTTTTTTTGACACGCTTGAAGAGTGTTTCAAAAACAATTGTCATTCACACTGACACAGTTAAATGCTAACGTGTCTTGGCATCTATTCTTGCGGAACATTCTCTCATATTTGTGTTTGTATGTGTGTGTGAGTGCTTAGCCACCAATTACCTCATCATAGTTTGGATTTTATGTTCATCATTGCATGTTGCCAGACTACATAACTTTGTAGTTTTGAATAAATATATTTGCTGCTTTCCTGTAATTTGTACTTAGCAATTTCTTCTGGAACATCCAAGCAAGTAGTATTTATTATGAGTAGCTGTAGAGTTAGCAAAACTGCTCATCAGGTTGTGTCTATGTATCAATAGTTGATTGATTAACAATGATTCAGCATGTTGAGCATTCCATTATCACGCTGACTTCCTTTGACAGTGGTTCATTCCTGCTGGCATAAAGTATTAGAATAAGTGAGTTCTGCACATAACTCTTCTGTGTCCAAAATAAATGCATTACACATTAATGCATTTTATTTATTCTTAAAATCTGTTGGAGTTGGCATGGCAAAAATGACAATAAACAGCCTTGTGACGATTTTCATGTCTTGACTAAATTAACACCTTTCTTTGCTGCAGCTAAAGGGAGGACAAATGTGGAGCTGCGTGAAAAGTTCATTTTGGCAGATGGTGCCAGTCAGAGCATGGCAGCTTTCCGACCAAGGGGCCGTAGATCACGACCCTCTTCAAGGGGTGCTTCTCCCAACAGATCTACTTCTCTGTCAAGTCAAGCTGGCCAGGCAGCTGCCCCGCAAGCAGTTGCTACAACTCCAAAGGTGAGGAGAAACATGCAAAACTGCACTGGTTAACAAATGGGTTACAGGTTTTTTTTTTATCACCCCACCCCCCCCCCCCCGCGCTCCAACAATATTGGTGCTTTCCCTAGTTGATATGGAAGAAGTATCTCAATTTTATTTCATAGTCTGGGGAGGATCTGAGAAGTCTTTTCGGTATATTTCCTCTGCTGTTTGTTTGCGACACAGGAATAGAAGAATTCTTTACTTTTAAGGTGCTGCATGAACTAACTGGCAATTTCGGAATTCCTCTCAAAGAGCAATCTACCCCTCCATTTAGTTTAAAAGAAAAAAAAAAAAGCTCTGCCATCTCTTTGTTTCAGAACATTTGTCATAACTCTTTCTGCTTAGTTTTTATTTCTACTATGAGATTTGATCTCCCTGTGAAAGCCTGGGTATCCTTCTCCATGACATTGTTTTCCATCTACTGTCCTTCATGTTTTGATTTGCCATTGTTTCATACAGACACCACATCATTTAACACGCAACTATGGTAAACCATGGTTGACAAACAGCAAAACTTCAACTCCTTCTAAGGCACCAGAAACCTCAGACGATCGAGGGTCAGCTGCAGAGGTACAGTAAGGACAGAGATTCTAGTCTAATGACCTTCCTTCACTAAAACTGTCACTTCACTAACAGCCACTAGAGTTTCAGTGCTTCAGAGCTGCAACAACATTTGCATATTAATGCATTGTCTTTTAGACCTTTGTCAAACTATTTCTTTCCTTCCCCCCCCCCCCAAGTCTTCTTTTTGATGTTCTGTTGTTATGGGGTTTGACTTTTAGGAAAACTCAGCCTCAATGAATTTATGTTTAAGGTGCAAATGGCTAATAAATTGTAACAGTATGCAATGAACTGGTTGAGCAAATGTGGAGAAGTTTTGGGGTGGTTTTTTTTGTTTTGTTTTAAATAAAACAGTTCATATACTTTGAAGGTTTTTTCCCTAAAATTGTTTATTTTGAGTTCATAAAGTACTGTAATATTCATGAACTGCAGGAATGAGATTAATAAATCATGATCTCCAGTGCAAAATCACTAAATAAAGAAATACCCAATCACTGTGAAGAAGACGGCACAAAAGACTGACTGTGATATATAAATCTTTCCAACAACTGAAGGTTTTGTTTAGGGAGCTAGTGACCAATTGTTGCTCTACTAAGATAGCTATTTGATGACTTAACAGGAAACGAGCTTTGGTCTTATTTCCAGCCCATGACTTACATAGAAGTTGCTAGAGTAGCAGTTAGGGTTGTGCTGGCAATTAAGCTGTATGACCAAAATTTGAATGGTCTTGGAGCCAAAGTGTCTTCTCTAATGTCATTACAGTCAGTGAAAAGATTGCAGCTGGATCAGGCTGCAAACTGACTTGTCACTTGTAGGAGTTACCCTTGCTCTGGGTTAGACGGAGGGCTTGGTGAGGGGAAGCTTGTGCTACCATCACCTCTGTTATATCTGCTTTTCACAAAGCTGCACTTTGATGCCTATTGCTATTTATGTGGCACCTTCTGGTGCTAAGTTTACGTGACCTCGGCATGGCTTTGCTCAAAGATGCATAACAAACTTTTCACTCCCTCCTTCTGTGCAAGTGGGTGTGTTACTTGTGCACACTGCAAGCGTGTGTATGTGTACAGCACTTCAAGCACATGGTGCTGTTGCTTAGAATGATTAACAATAGCACGAAGTTTAGTCAGTTGTCAGTTTCTAGTATATTCTTGTGTTTTCTTTCATCTCTTAGCTGGTAACTGAATTGTAAGATTAATTGATGGTACTTTGAAGGGTTTATAGACATGGAAGGGTGTTGTTTTCATTTGAGTAACAATGAGGTGAAAGCAGTTGGCATTGATTTCAAATGGTGCCATTGTATTTCTCACCTGCTCTTACAACTGCCAGTGGATTCAGTGAGTTTCTTTTATGTAAACCACCATGGTTTAAGATTATAAATGGAATGAGTGGGGTGGGGTAGGTTGCACTGAATTTCTGAGGCATTCTGCAGCATTTTCTGCCCAAGAGAGCGGTTATTTATTTTATATGTAGACTGCATTTGGGTTTAGGGCAAAACTGAAGAACAAGCTTGATCTCTTCTTCTTGCACTAGTGATTGTATCCCAGCGCCTTGCCCAAAGTGCAGTAGCACTTTGACGAGTATTCCCTTTCTTCTTATCCTCCCAAGCAGTCTCTGTGTAGCTGAGATTTCCGAGGTGTGGCTGGCTGGCTGTTAAGCACTTGTACTTGGCTTTTAAGAGAGTTTTACCGTTGTGACCATCCCTGTCAGAGCCAGCAGATTGTCTACTCTGTAGCATCTCAGTGCTCTTTTGTTCAGATGTGCCAGAAGTGCTCCAAGATGGCAGCTGCCGGACAGGCTCCTGCTGGACCTCTGCTCAGTGCTTAGCTCTAGGCAGCTCCCAACGCACTCCTCTGGTTTTCTTGGTTTTCAGTACCTACCTAATTCTACCCCACCATGTATGGGGATCAAAGGTACAGAACACAAGATCCTGGGATCCAGGCCACGCAACGCACCGTATTCATCACTGCAGTGTTTGCTCTTCTTTTTGGATATTTGCTTAGCGTTTTTGTGTTGATTAAATGAATATGAATACTGTAGTTTTCCTCTTATTTGCATACACCTCCTATCTAGTATGTTACATGCATTTTGAGACTTGAGGATTTAATTCTTGTGGCTTTGAAAGAAATCTTCCCATTTGGGGCAGGCTGTAAATCAAGACTCATTTTATTTCAGAAATGAGAAAGCAGGCAAGGTAAGACTGTGGAATAGAGACATTTCAGACAATATATTGATAACAAGAACTTTTTAAATTAGTCCTATGTCTTTTTTCTGATTTTTTTTTTTCCTAGCAAAAGCTTTTGAAATTTGGTGGTTTTGTTTTGCCTTCAAAATATTTATAAAATTGAAATAAATATGTTCACTACCTATAACCACAGTCAGAATGGTGGAAAGTCAAGCTGTGCAGACATAAAACCTCAAGTACTTGTCTCTGTTTAAGTCATGTACCATCAACTAATCTTACGTGCTTGACTAATTATAAGAAGGTAGCATTTTTCTTTCTTTATATGCATTGAAATACACACAAAGAATGCTGAAATGTTAATGTCAAACAGACTGCTGAAGTGATTGTTGTTGTTGTTGGTTTACATTTGGACTACTTCAAATACTAACTGCTAAAGGAATGTTCAAAACTTCACATCGTGAAAAATGTCCGTAGTGACTCAAACCAGCATTTCAGATTCACAGTGAATGTTGTTATGATGATCATATTGTAAGCTATGTACTACCTAATACCAGACCTTATCTTCAGTAGTGACAGTTGAAAAAAGTTTTTTTGGTTTGGGTTTTGGTTTTTTTTTTGTGCATAGGGAACACCAATTCAAGGAAGTAAACTCAGATTGCCAGGATATCTATCAGGGAAGGGTTTCCACTCTGGAGAAGACAGTGGCATCCTGTCAACAGCAGCTACCAGAGTTAGAGCTCAGTTTGCAGGTAAGTGTCTTGATTTTAGAGCTTGATCTACCACTTGCTTGGTTTTCCACCTGAACACTTATGGTCACATTAGGATGTGAGGGACATGTCAGAAGAGTGGGAAGGATTGAAAGTCCTACTGTCTCTACATTAGTATTGCCAAGGGTGCACATAATCAAGGTAATGGTCCTCTGTTCACATGGTTGCACAGCAGGTGTGTTCAGGTCTGGATGTGCAAATTCATGACTGCAACCTTCTTGACAATTGTATCTCTGATGTGTCTGCCTAAGGAACTAGGGAAGAAGTATTTACTAAAAAGAAAGGGTTCAGTTCTTCCCAGTATTCAAGTTATGCTTAGCTGTGATGGAGCAAAGGGGTCACTTGAAAAAAATGGACAAGTCATGATTGAAAGAACAACTGCAGGGAGCAGCTGTAGATGACCTTACTAATGAAATATCCCATAGAGAATTTTAAAACAGTATACAAAAAAAGCAAACAGTGAAGCTGTGCTTCTCCAGGATCCTTCTCCAGGATCCTCAGAGCAGCTCTGTATAAGGGAGAGGGTGAGATGGTTAGAACAGAAGACAGCTCTTCTAGCTTTGCCTCACATCTTAAGCTCTGCAGAGCATACTGAGCAGTACTGGAAAATCCTGTTCAGAGAGTACATGTCTTTTATAGGTGATTTCAAAAATGAGCCACCTAAAATTTCAGTTTCAACTTGGTGTTCTTCACCCATACAGGGAACCAGTTTTGTCAAGATCAAAAATATTCAATATTCAATTGGAAAATTATGAAAAACCACATTAATGATTTTCTGTTTAAGATTCTTTGTTGCGGTTTTTTTCTTCAAGGCACGTTGTCTGGGCAGGCTTTCACTTTAGCGGGCTTACTGAGAGGTCATTTACTGGGCCCTTTGTTTGGGAGAATGTATACTCTGCCCTTGTTTACTTGCAGCTTTCAACTGTATGGTTTTGATTTTTAAAAAAGAGGAGTATACATTTAAATATCAGGATATTCATCTGCATCTCCAAGGTACCTATATCGAGAAATCCTGAATGCATGAAGATGCCAGATACTGAATTTTTTCAATTCATTGCTGAGAAAATGGCAGGGGAAAGAAAGGTTCTGGCTGTTGAGTGAATAGACAATGCATGTCTAGTAAGTCAAGAAAAGTTGCCAGGATAATATATTTTTAATGAGATGTGCTAGTGACGAGTTAACTATGTCTCAGCATTTGATCTCACATTTCCTTCTCTTTAGTGGGAGATATGGCATCCTCTAGCTTGCCTGGCAGAGGTCTAAAATTTAGTTTGTGCAATGAGGAATTTTGGGGGTCACCAAAGACCTAGGAAAGACCTGCACACCTTTTTCATCATTACCTCTAATACTGATGGGTATCTCCTCTCTTTCTAGAAACCAGAAGAACTCCAAGCAGACCTGGAAGCCGAGCAGGAAGCAAGGCTGGCAGTAGGTCAAGTAGCCGCCGAGGCAGTGACGCATCTGACTTTGACATTTCAGAAATCCAGTCTGTATGCTCAGATATGTCAGAGACTGTTCCTGCTACAAGCAGACCGACACCCCGAGCAGGTTCTCGGCCAGGATCAGCCAAGCCTTCTAAAATTCCAACTCCTCAGAGAAGGCCACTAGCCAGCAAATTAGACAAGTCCTTGAAGAGATAATATGATTGGTTTCATAAAGGTCTTTCCTTTTGCATTAAGTATTTAAGTTCGTAAGATGTAAAATATTATGTAGAAATTACTGTGAAATATCGCAAGAGGTGGATTTTTAATTCTGCAGATGGCCTTATTTGTGTATTTGTCGTCTTATTTTATGTGTATCATTTTTGTCAGATTTTTTTTCGTTTATGCCATATCCTGTGGGAAGAGAGAAGAGTTTTAATGTAAACTAACAGTTGTACACAGTAATGTGTAGAAAGTACACTAAAAATAATTGCCGAATGTACAGTGTACTGAATGTACAGTAAGTCTCTGCAACCTCAATAAAATAGGCCTATCACTATGTCATTAGTTAACGGTAAAGGATACCTCATGATTTTTCTTGAAAAAAGAAAAAGAGAATACTAAAAAGCCAAAAGACACAATGACACATTTTGAGCTAGCGAAACAAACACTAAAGGATGTACGTCAAAACTACTAAGGAATACGAACGCACATTCACAGTACCCTTATTTATACAGCATCTCTCAGAGAACTCACAGAGTTAATTAAGCACTCCCCAGTAATATGATACTCCAATACCTTGCAGCATTTCTGTGCCATTGCTTTCAATGAGGCCAGACACATTCTGGATATCCAAACTATTATTCTGTAAGAATATCAATATAAAGTGTATTCATGTAAATGTGAGGTTTTCTTTTGCTTGAGTGGATGGTAGCACTGTATCATTGAACTCATTTTGTATCAAAGCAATTTTGCTTGCAGAAAGCTCCAAAATAAACATGTCCCTTAACTTTATTTCTATTGTATTTCTTACTTCACAGGAAGATAATATTCTGCGTTATGTTTTAGGGCATATATAATTTCAGATGACCAATAATTACCATAGGCTTTAATGTAATTTCCCATTATCAGCAATCAGATTTTGGTTAGCTACTGTATTTGTTTAATAAAACACTAAATTGCACATGTCAGGTCATATGTAATTATTGTGTGTCGACAATTATTTTCTCCATATTAAACTGTGACACTTATATACCATGTATGAAAGGCATAAATAGTAATTCTGTTGCTCTTTTTGTCAGTGAAATATTTTTGCCATTCATGGATTCTTTGAAAGGATTAATAATAGTACATTTTCAGTGGAAAAAGGATGCAGCTTCAAATGGGAGAGCTGTAGAATGGCTGGGTAGATGCTGTAGTAAGTAGTGACAGAATCCCTAGACATGCAGAATGCTTTTTGATAACATCAGAAAGACTCAGGTAGAATTTGGCCAGGGTGGCAGAGCAAATAGTCTAAACCTGACCGTTCATATACCAGAAAATGGTGTACCTTCAGTCCAGGAATTGTAGGGGAAGACTCGTTTATGGTTGGTCCCTTAGCATGCTGAAAACGAAGCAGAAGCTCAGTTGATGACATGCACATAATGGTGATATCTGCATTTGCTGCTAACACTGGCAGTATTACTAAGACGATGATTTCTGAGTTGTCACAGAGCTTCCTACGGACTCACAAGTTGACTCACACAATCAGTTTATAAGAAACAGAAAAACAAAATAATCCTCAAAAGATAATTCAATCGATCAAAATCCACTTGTGTCAGGATTTCCTCCAACACGGAGTTGTACAAGGTTTTTTGGTAAGCAGATAGTAACCAGTCCTACTGCAGCTGGTTTGGGAGTCAGCACACACATTTACTGAATACTAAAGCATCAGTCTCTGCTGCAGTGCTTTATCTTTCTGTGTTTCATCTCTCTCGTTGCTGCTGTTCCATCCAGTGATTGCTTTCCTAGAACATTAAGATACATCAGGATGACTTCAGTGCTTTTTGGAACCCCACACCACCTTTGGGTAGAGAAGTAGTCTACATCTACAGATGCTCACTGAGGCATCTCTGCTTGTCTGCAGGAGAAAGAAAAAGGATAGAGTTTAGGCACTTGCATGGACAACTTGGCTGTAGGAGGACATGGTGCCCAGTGCGACATTCTTCGCGCATTTTGTAACCACGGGACTGATAGTGAAGGGGTAGGGATGGCAAATCTGAGTAACTCCTTTGCAAGAATAGGTACGTAGTTCAGTTCCTTCTATCCCAAATGGACAGAGCAGCTCCCTGTGCATGAGGTAGTGCTGGCACCTAACTGAAGCACCATGTGTGTATACTGTGGTCTTAGCTTAAATGTATTTATAATGCTTTATTAATATTGCAACTGTATGGAATTTTCATGTTGCTATGTTGTAATTTTACAGAAATACTAGAACTGTGACCACCCTCTGAGAAACGCAATGTCGGCTAAAAGAATCCACTTAGTAGTGGATTTCCGTGGATTGTTGGCAACTGCAAAACAGGGGAGGCCAGGACTGGCACAGTGGGGAATTTATGGTCTTCAAAGAATGATCCAGTGTTGGAAACCCAATTAATAGTAAATTAAATAGGACTAGGAATTGTATTTAAAAATCTGTCTCCAGATGTTATACCTTACTCGATTACCTTCTTCCAAAACTGATTTAACTACTTTAGATTGATACTAAGAACTCCCAAAACTAAGAGACTTTCCAAAATTCTGTTCCCTGTGTTACAAAAATCATACTGAAAAAGTCTGAAAATAACCATTGGATCCTCTGCATTTCTGGGACCCAAGGACAAAGCAGCAGAATTTCATGAAAAAGGCATATTGTGGACTTATCGGTAAGTGATAGGTAGCTCAGTTTTAGTGAACTATTTTTGTAAAGAAAGAAGTGGTATTCAGTTTCCATCTTCTGTAATCCGGAAATATTTCTTTTTTGGTACCGGCATAAATGAGAGAAGAAGGATCAACCGTATAACCATATCCCCACCTTGATCATTCGCTTGAGTTTTTACATAACCTCATCATCAGAGAGGCATTTTCTCCGTTTTATTCTCATCTTTCTAGCAGTAGGAGTTGATCATAAATTCACCCAATGTGATGGACGTAAGTAGTGTAAGTACTCAACCTTTTAGTGTGCCTTGGACTCTGTATATTCTGTGATTCTCCTGTGCAGTGAAGGAGCAGAGGTGACGGGGGGGGAAGAAGGGTTGGAAAGCCTCTGGCTGTGACAACCATATTGTTTAATGAATAATGTATATTTACCGCTTGGAAAAGCTGGCTCAGTTCAAGCCTGCTTTACTTTTTCAGTCATTTTCAGCTTTCTGCACTTCCGTTTTGCTGTCTTCAAAATAGGAATTTTCTGAAATCTACAGATGAAACCTGTAAGTAAAAAAACACCAGTAGAAGAGCTAGTGATGCCTTGTGGCCCAGGCATCCTCAGCTTCTTCAGCTTAGGTATTTTGTGAGCCTCTTAATTACATGCTAATAATAATTAATTTAATAATAATAGTAATAATAATAGTAATTCAGGCTTTGCCTGTGGCACGTCTCTTTACAAAAGCATAGGGATGAGGTTATATGCAATCTCAATTTAAAAAGTAATGCATTTTATAAAAATAAACTCTGATGGAAGCAGCTATGCCGTACCATAGTCAGCAGCAACGTTGGTACCTGTAGCCACCTCTGCTGACGTCTGCCATAGGACGGGCGACACTATCTACACCCCACAGCTTGCATAGGAGAGAGGGGCCATAGTGCTTACGTATGTTGGTCACAGTATGTGGCAAGAGGACACGTTGCTGAGCATTTGCTGTAATGTTCTGTAAAGAACCACAGGGATGGAAAATAAGCATTACCTGCTTTGCTGCATCTCAGTACAGCTGCCCTAACGGCTTCCTGGTGTTTCCAGTTCTTAGGCTCTGTGGTGGCATCTGAGCTTATCCTAGGCTAGTGGTATTTAACTAGGCTTTGCCAGAGGAGAGGGTGGTGATGTTAGGAGGTTTATATCTTCACGCAAGGTGCGTGGAATTTTGTAGAACAAAGAAAAAAGGTGCTTTCCCAATGAGAATTGTTCTTTCTGCTGAATTTGAATAACCTGTTTGCAGATGTGGAGGTGGGAGAGATGGTTGGCTTGATTGCTTGGGTTTTTTCCAATAGTGTTGGCAGGTTTAACGCAGGTAGGTTACTCATCTCTGTAGAAAAAGTTATAAAAGAGGAATATTGCAGAGGAAAAGGAAGCTCTTCAGAAATAATGGATGAGGCAGCAGCTTAAATTCCATGTAACTTGCATGAAAATGCTTGGTGGCTGATACTATTGAAGTATTTTTTATGCAGATTGAAGTCCTTCTCTTAAGACTTGTTCTGAGTTTGGCTGTTGCAAATGAACTGGTATCTGACCTGAAGCAAAAAAAGTCTTGGGGGTTGTCATTTCATAATTACGCAGTTCTTCTGAACTGAAATTGTTTAAATAGTCTGAATTGCAGCTCAGGTTGAAGGAAAGAGTGATGAAGGGAAATTGCGTAACTTAGCTGGCATCCTGGATGAGTAAGTTTGAGAAAGTTAATAGATGTGTTCTTAGCACTTGGATGATTGAATATGAGTAAGAACCCCAAACCGTAGATCAGGCCCTGTCAGCACCTACAATGTTTTTTGTTCCTCTAGGAGGAGGCAGCCAGAGTGATGATAGCTCTGTCCTGACAGGAAAAGCTGACTTGGAGCTTTTTGTGGGGGTCACGATGGTCCCTCCAACATTTAGAAAAATATCCAATGCCATTAATTATTTTTTTTTTCTTCTTTTTGGGGCTTGGTCATGGCTCTTCCAAGTCCTCTTTTACTGGCAGAATAACAGGGACCTGGGGATCTATGGAAGAGTTTGCACTGTCTGGGCTATTTTAAAAGGCAATGAGTTCATATGATAAAGAAATAGCTCTATATTTAAAGGTCTATGATCAAAGTATAAGACAAGAAACAAGTCAGTTCAAAATGAGGATGAAAAAAATAGTAAATACTGCAAATATTGAGGAACTCCACATTTGCTGATCAGAAGAGGGGGTGTAGCTTTGCTTCTAGGAACACTGATTTGAAGCTTCGTAGACCAGATCAACAACACAAGGTAATCTGGAGTTAGGTAGTGTTCACCAAAGGCTGCTACAGGAACTGGAGGGTGAAGTAGCTGAGCTGCTACTTGGAGTCCTCTCATCTTGTGAACATGAGAGGATTGAAAAGTGTCTAACATAAAATGCAAGCTTTTTCATAAAAGGCAGTGGTAAGCTCTGGGAAACTGCTGATCAGTTTGGACTTGAAAAAAATCACAGAAGCAATAATAAATGATATATTAGTGGAAACCTGAATAAATATACTATGGAAGAGTTGGCTTAGATTCTGGAGGGAAGTCATGCCTTACAAGCTGCCTGGAAGCCCTTGAAAGGATCAGTTAGTATGGACAAAGGTTGAGATAGACCACATGGCTTTGCAAAAAAAAATTCAAGTTGAAAGAAGTAAGCATTTATGGGATCAGAAGAACGGTCTTCATGAGAGTAAATAGCACATTGAAAGCTAGGAAAGACAGTGTAGGAGAAGGTGGTCAGTTTTAACAGAAAAAGGAGGTCTGCAGTTGGAGCCCTTTTAACACAAAGCTGCAAACGCTGGCTCAGAAGTTCCTGAAGTGCACATTGTTGGAAGGGTGCTCTGGAAAAAAACATCGCTGCCTTTCTGTGATTCATTGCGCCTCTTGGGAGGTGTGCATTGCTTTCCACTGACGCTGAGGATCCCGCAGTGACTAGCTCAGTCCTAGCCAACTAACCTTTAGATGGCTGATTTAAGTAGAACGAATCCCACCTCGAATCAATGAGTTTATTTCTAGCTAAGGGTAACATGGGATGGGATCTTCATGAATGGTTTGGAAGTCTGCACACTTCTGGTGCGCTAAATGTATGTTTAGGGATATGCAGAGCATGGACCAGCATATAATTTAGCACCATTTCTAGTCACATTCAGGAAATGCAAATCAGGTGATATGGGTGGCGAATCCAGTCACATTATTGCTTTCAAAGACTTTAGGAGCTTTTGAGCATTTCTGGGATCCTTCAGCAGCAAACCCAGGTACAAGCGTGTTCCCCTCT